TAATTGTTCATGTATGCACTAGGGATAGGCTACATGAATAGCAAACGTTAAAGATTCGTTGATTCTAAAGTTTAACTTGAAAAGGGATTTCTAAGGGATTAGGATTCCAATAGAGTTAATAAGGTTAAAGTCACTAAGGAATTAGGGTTTAACTAATCATATAAAAGATGATGAATTGTTTGATCAATTGAATAAGTAAACGTAAATGTAATCCAAGTTGCAAGGTGGGGATCATAAAGGTGCTTGTTTCTCTTTACCGCAATATTTTCTCAAATATTTTCTCAACCTTTAATCTTTTGTTCTTGAGTTTCTAAAAGAACCTTTGAATTATTTACATTTTCTTAAATTGTTCTCATTTATTTCACAAAGCACAATTGTCCTTAAACCATTTTTATTAATCCAACAAGAGAGGAATAGTTATAATAAATTCGGTGTCTCAGTCCTCGTGGAGACGATACTCTACTCATCATTTTATTACTTGGAACGATCGGTACACTTGCCGATTGCGCAAAAGTTCTTTTAAAATTAATTTTTTTTATTCTCAAAGTTCAAAATCAAAACCTATATATATATGGGGAAAATGTTTATCCTCTTAAATGACGCAACTTATATCCTTTCACTCTCACAAAGAAATGAGACCCATACTTTTTTTTATTTTTGTCAACTCTCTTTCCCTCTTTATCTATCTCTTTCTCTATCTTAAAATGACACAACTTTACATCCTTTAAAATGACACACATTTTACCCTATATATATATATATATATATATATATATATATATATATATATATATAATAGATTTCGTTCAATTTTATATGTAAATATGTGTTTATGTTATATGAAGGCAAGTTTAGAGCAAATGAGTAATGAAAAAGTTATGGGTTTATTTTCGAAATATAACCCTTTGTAAATATACAAAAATAAATCTGCATATAAAAATTGTCCTCACACCATTCTCGCTAATCGGAGTTTAATGAGAAATAATTTTTGTGTGTTTATATTAAATGACATGTCTACTTTTTTATATTTTAATGTGAATGGCTAAGGGTGACAGTATATTTTTTTAATGTGAAGCTAGATTACCAATCTATGCAAAAAAATTACATTGAAATTACAAATCATATACTAATAAAAATTTCTAAATTCAAATCATATAATTGTCTTATAAGTGATCATGTGAGTCAATTCTTGCCGACTGATTTGTATCGTTGTTTGCATTCTTATTTGTATTGTAGTGAAAGTAGTATTTGTTATGACAGGGAGAATGGATTGTTTTTAGATTGTGCAAGCTCTACATGGCTCTAAACCAGAAAATATGTGTGCAAAGAGAAAGAAGCAACAAATTAAGCTCACTAAATTTGGCGTGATTGTATGGGATCGTCGTAATGGTGAATGCATAATAAATTACCCCTGCTGAGTTTATCAATACGTACTCCTTGAGAATATTTTTAGTGCGACCGTACTACTGCCATTCAAATCTTGACATGTGTATGAATTTTTCACGTCAATTAGCTTAGATGGCATTGAGATATTTTCATCTTCTGTCCGCCTAACTCAACAGGGACCATACAATCCATGGCCGAAATCCAGCCACCGCCATTCTTCTTGTAGCCGCTCCTTCGTTCAACTGTGATCAGTAGCCCCTCTTCGTTGCCCGTTTTCACCATACTTGATTGATGCCAACTTCTTTGATTTATTGGTCAAGTGGTTCAACCCCCAGGATCCTTAAACTACACCCACTAGCAAAAAGAGACTTGGTGGAAGCAGAAGAAGGCTTGGAAGCAAAAGTTGGAGGTACCTCAGGAACATACTGTCATATGTATAGCAAAAAATAAAGATGCTAAAATTTTATTTACATTTATATTTTATTTGAAACGAACGGATCCTAAGGATGCAGGTGAGTTCAAGCTTCAAGGTGACTTCCTCTATTAGGACCTGGGTCTGAAACCATCTACTGTTCCAATTTTTAAGATTCTGATGCCAAAGATCCGTTACGTTTCCTTTTGAAGGAGAGAAACGTACTGAGGGAGATCTTCATTTGTGTTATTGCTATGGTCTATGGACCGTATTTTATTAGCAACTTTGTGCTCAGGTTAAGTGTTCAATCAACAACTTCAAGGATGCATATCAAGGTTGCATAAATAGAAGGATTTTTATTTTATTTTTATTTTTAGGGGGGGGGGGGATAGGGGTGCTTGGCCTTTTAATTTTAAGGAGAAAAAAATCCACTAAATTTCGGCTTTTTGACCTATTTGGTTCAAATATTTAAAAGTTTGATTGGATTAAGTTTCTGGCTAAATTTATTACCATATTAATGCAGAACGACGCGTCTCGTCAGTCACCACCAAATTTGAGTTGCATTGAACGCGTCATGTTTGCTACAGTGTTTTAGCTTGTCAGAATGTCAAAAAACGATCAAAGTGTCACGCTTGGACAAAAAAATTACCATACTGCCACGCCAACAGTATATTTTGCCAAAATATCACGCGGCATAATTCGCTACACAATGTAGCGAATTATGCATGCAAATAATTCGTTACACGGTGTAGCGAAATATGCAACGTCAGAATGCACAGAACTAAAAATGTCACATGTCAAATTTTGAAAAATTAGCTACATAGTGTAGTGAATGTCAAATTTACGTAGCAAATATCTCAAAAATTTGACATGTGGTATTTTGGTTCTGACGTGACATATTTCGCTATACTGTGTAGCGAGTTATGCCGTGTGGCATTTTGTCAAAATTTATTGTTGACGTGATAGTCTAGTAATTTTTTTGTCCAAACATAACAAAATGGTCACTGTTTCAAAAAATGGCTCTGTCCATGCCACGTTTAGGCTGCAATTTTATGCAGTGTTTTGCGTGTAGGATGTAACGTCCTAAGTGTTTAGAAAATAATATATATATATTAATAAAATAGTAAAAAAATAATACTAAATAAACAAATAAATATTTGGATAAAGGAATAGTTATAAAATATGTATAATACTATTCATAAAATTAAATAATCATGATAATAATAAATGAGCATTTATAATGTCAAATGAATTAATATATATATAAATATATATATATATATATATATATATATATATAATAGATAAATAAATAAAGTAAATACAAGAGACATAATTATATAAATTGAGCAAATAAATCATAAATCTGATTAAAAATATATATATAATAAATTATGACTTTGGTGTCACCTGTGGTATTAATTATTATATTTGAAAAACATTTACTACCTTATTTGAACAGTAACCAAAGTGTGAAAAAAATTTATCGAAATGTCACGCGAACAGTACTTTTTACGAGATTGTCACATGTTATAATTCGCTATCATTGGTAGAGAATTTCGTAGCCAGTAATTTTGTGACACGTGAAGTAGTAGAGGACTCCAATAAGGGCGGAACATCGAATAAAATGTCATTTTTTGGCAAAAATTTTATCCAAATGTCACGCAAATAATATTTTTTACCAGACTGTCATATGACGTAATCCGCTATGACTGGTAGTAAATTACGTTCGTCAATGATTTTATAACACGTGACACATTTTAGCAGGAAAAAGCTGACTGGACTAAATTTGCTATCAGTCGTAACGAATTTGGTATGCAATATGATCACGTGTCACAAAATTATTGGCCACGAAATTCTCTACCAATGGTAGCAATTTGGTAAAAACTACTGCTCGCGTGGCATTTGGATAAAAAATTTACACAATTTGGTTACTGTTCAAATAAGGTAGTAAATGTTTTTCAAATATAATAATTAATACCACAGGTGACACCAAAGTCATAATTTATTATATATATTTTTTTAATCAGATTTATGATTTATTTGCTCAATATATAAAATTATGTCTCTTGTATTTACTTTATTTATTTATCTATTATATATGGGAAAAATATTTCTGCAGTTAATGCAGATAAGTTACCTACATTTATTCCCAAAACGACGTCGTTTTGGTATTGAAATCTTAAAATATTATAAATATAAAGACTATTATAACCCTGAAATAAATTAAAATTACAAAAACACCATGGTTTCCGCCTCAAAACTACGTCGTATTGGCTTACTGCAGATAAGTTATCTGCAGTAACTGCAGAAAAACGAACCCAATATATATATAAATTAATTCATTTGGCATTATAAATACTTATTTATTATTATCATGATTATTCAATTTTATGAATAGTATTATACATATTTTATAATTATTCCTTTATCCAAATATTTATTTGTTTATTTAGTATTATTTTTTTACTATTTTATTAATATTATTATATATATATATATATATATATATATATATATATATATATATATATTATTTTCTAAACACTTAAGACGTTACATCCTACACCATAAAATTGCAGCCTAAACGTGGCATGGACAGAGCTATTTTTTGACATTCTGACAAGCTAAAACACGGTAGCAAACATGACGCGTTCAATGCAACTCGAATTCGGTAACTAACAAGACGCGTCGTTCTGCATTAATATGGTAATAAATTTAGCCAGGAACTTAATCCAGTCAAACTTTTAAATGTTTGAACCAAATAGGTCAAAAAGCCCTAAATTTCACACATGCTCCTGCATAGTACCACCTTGCATAGACACTTAGATTAGGCTGTTATCTGATTTGTAGGTACTGGGCCTAACTGCAATTCAACGTTCCTATTCAGTGAAAGCTCTAAGCTTTCTTAACTTTCTTTAATCAGCCAGAGATTCAGCGAATGGTAAATTGGGTCTTGTCATCAAGCCCTACCACAAAAGGTTAAGCAAAAGTATGCACACAACCGGACGTCTAGTCATCAATAAATACTGTAGACTCGAGCACATACATGTGGTGAAGGTACACCTGCCATCTCTCTAAATATTTCACTCTGTTCCCTCCCCTCATAGGTCATTTCGTAGCAGAAAATGGTCACTTGAAAAACGAATATCAAAGAATTAATAAGATCAACATCCCAAATTGAAGAAGTTGAAGGGTCAGTGCAGAATAATAAATGAAAAATGAAATGGTTGTTTCCATTGTACATATAAAAATTGACGGTAACAGGCTCTCCCATCTCTACACGTTTGAGATCAAAAGCAAAATTCCCAGTATTTTTAATGGAAAATTGGAGGCCTCTAAGAGGAAGAAGATAAAATAAAAGTAAAGCATGGAGCAAAGCAACTCCTCAACAATTACAATTGAAACTGCAAGCTCCATCTTCGCTATGTGATCACTCTCCTAAGTATCTTTATCCAACAACAGCATGACTTTTACATCCATAATACCCCAAAGCAGTATAAAAAAATTCCAGTATCTTCTTGATGGGGTTTATTTAAAAAACATTGGACAAAAAATAACCCGTAGAGGTAAACGCACTCAATCAAGGGTGTGTCAATGTCCACATTACGATTCTTCATTCAAATCAATTGTTGGAATCAAAATACTAAAGGTATGTACAGGAGAGACTTGCACCTCAATCCCATCAATGTCACCTCTTCGGTTTTAGAGTTCGATGGTCTGAGAAGCCGCTGACCATTACTAATCTTGCCCCGCAAATTTACAAGTTGTTGACACCACCCCACGGTCATTGGATGGTTCTGGTAAGCTTGCACTTGGAAATGAAGATGGTATCTGAATAATTTAAACTACACAGCTTCAATAGCTCGGCGGATTGTTGTTTCAATATAGGATTGCAACCACTTTGAATCACAAGAAGAAGTTTTGCAGCAAGCCCTGCATCCACGGCAATTGATGAGCATTCCTCAGGCGCAAGCTTGCACACAGACCATAGGATTGACAATGCATACTGGGTGCAGTTCTCTGAGATCCTCATCAACAGTTTCACCATGATGGGTATGGTGTTAGAGCAACCTTTCAAAGCCACTCTGCCTTCAGGTATTGATGCCAACGCATCTAAAACACAAAGGGCTAATTCCAAACAATCAGGGTCCATACCAGATAACAATTCAACCAATTGTGAAACAGCCCCAATGCTCACTAGCAAATTCCTAACTTCTTTATGCAAGCATATTGTTCTGAGGAGACTTAGCCCAGGACAGATTCCGTTACTGTGTCTTTTATCCTTAACAAGCCTCATCAACCCAACCAAGAGGCTATGGCTTGAGACAAGCTCCGAACGAAAATCCTTCTCCTCAATTAAGGATTCAATGAAACGCGTGCAATTGATTTTGGTCTCAATTGAACCCTCGTTCAAGATGTCCACCATCAACGAAATTTTGGCAGGCTGCATAAGATTCTTTTTGGATTCCGAATCAAGTGTCAAACTCACAAGAATACCAATGACTTCAGAACCAACAGCATGGGAAGTAAAAGGACCAAGTAAAGAAGACATAAGAGAGACTCCACCTTCATCAATCACTGTCTTTCGGGCAGTGGCATGAGCACCCACCACCTGATGGAGTTCCTTGAGGGCCTGAACTCGAGCTTGACCCTTCACCTTCTTCAGTGTCTCCAGAAGTTCCGAAGCCCTTCCCTGCACATCCTCTGACCTCTTCTTCGTCAGCAGGTACTTCTGAGAGAACCACGTGTATATGAGCCTGTAAAGGGTGGTGTTTGGAGTGATGGAATCATCCCAAAGCTCTTGCATCGTAGTGGGGCATGTGAAATGCCCCAAGTTGAACCATTTCAGAATGTTGAACCTCTCGTAGGTTTGACCCGTGCAAAGCGTCACAGGGTCTTGCATTGGTTCGAGAGAGATTGGGCATATGAACACACTGGGCACTTCGCATAAGTCCAGCTCTTCAATCATCTTCCCCAGATCCAATTTCTCACACACCCCAGTCCCCACAACCCCACCGTCAACACCGCCCAAAACACCGTCTTTGACGGCGGTGTCCAGATCTAGAATCTGGCCGTCGCCACCACCGTCGAACCCAGCAACCATATCCCTCTTGGAAACCAGAAACATCGGCATTTATGAAACCCCTTTTCAGAAGAAAGAAAAGTAAAGACCTAGAGGGAAAAAAGCAAGGCAGAGAAGGAAGGAAACCCAAAATCAATGTAATGACAAGCACTAGCACTCTTCAAGGTTGAAAAAAGAGGAATAAAACTCGAGGGGCATTGTCTCATGAGAAATTTACAAGCCACAAACTTGCTTTACTGTACAAATTCACTTTATTATCTGATCTCTTTCTATGGTCAAAAAAATAAAATAAAAAACAATGTCCATCATATCTCACATCATGAACATATAATCGAGCTTCTTTCACTTCATGCTCAAGCTTCAAAAGGGGAAGGGTGGTGGGTTAACAAAACAATAAAAGACGTGAAGGAAACCGAAAGAATCTTAGACCAAACAGTGCAGACCACTACTACGACTACGACAACTACAAATAAGTGAAAATCAATGGCAGCAGAAAAACCTGACAAACAGTTGAAAGAAGATGGGTGGGTTGGAGAGAAATAATTGAGAGCCAGATCACAAAAATGAAGGATAACTTATAACATAAAAGAGAGCTTCAGATAATAAACCAAGAGGACCGTACCACCACACAGTGGGAAGAACCGCACAAAACAAAAGCCATCCCTCCTTCTGCCAAACGCTCCTCCTCTACACTAACGCCTCTTCTTTTGGAAACACTTCATCATCAAAGCCAAAAATTTAATAATATGTCTCAATTAATTAATGGGTTAATCATTTCTTTTTTTTTTTCTTTTTTAATTTTCCAAAAGCCGATGACCGGTTATGTACGGGTTGTAGCCGGTGGATAACACTCTCGGCCCCCGCACCACACGTGCAGTCATCTAATCTGTCGCCATAAACTCTCCCTTTTCTTAATTATTACTTTATAATAACAATTATAATAATATACGATTTACGAAGGTCTTTATGATTAGAATTACTGTATGTATAATATAAGCTAAACAGTGGACCCCTCTAACGCAAGCAAAAATAAAATAAAAAAAAGGAGCTTCTGGTGTTCAATGGCACATCTCGTTTTAGCAAATCGAATATCTTAGATGCTTTTTTTAAGAAAAATAAAAATAAAAGAAAAAACAAAGTAGAAGAAAAACGACAACCCCCGGTCTTCAAAAAAAAAATCCAAAGATGAATTTACAAATAGAAAATAAAAGGGAAAGGGCCACCAAAAAGGGTTCCCTTTATATTTTAGGTAAAATGCCAGCAAAGCATTGGACTGTGACAGTTTTTGCTTTGACTGTACGCATCGGTTTGCTTATCCGGTCTTTGCTTTGACTGGCTTTGCCCAGTGGAGTTTCGTCCCACGCTCTTTCTCTCTCCTCTGGGTTCTCCCTTTGCCTTCTGTCTAGCCCAATTGGACACTGACACGTGACTCTGCCAACTCTGTCTCCATCCCACCCTGTATGTCACTGTTTTTTATGGCTAACCTTGTACATTTTGCACATTAAATATTCCTCTAATTCTACTTTCATTTTCATTACTATATTACTTACTACAGCACTAATCGCTTTACGCAGAAAGACAAAAAAACAAAAATAAAAAAAAAGGTTTAGATGTCTGGTAATGTTAGTTGTATTTGTTAAGTTGGTGGGCAGTAATTAGATGATTAATATTAGAAATTGGGTGGGTTGCGTACTTTGGTTTTAATTTGTTTGGTTTGATGGGTGAAGGTGCAGTATGAATATTTTGGTAGCAGATCGGATCGTTTTCTTAATTGAAATTGAATAAGGGTGTAGATAACGCCGATGGTAGTGTTATGTGTCCAGACTGGATGGATCTTTATAGGTTGGATTCAATTCTTTACTCTATTTAGAGTTGGGACTTGGAAGGACAGACATTTTTTTTATTATGTTATTATTTATTTTGAGTGGTCTTCGATCTAGAGGTGAGGAAAGCTTGGTGGTGTGAGTGCAATTCCAATTTTAAAATTAAAGGTCATAGAAATTGACCAAATCTATTATCGGGCACTCAACTTTCAGACACTGTGGGAGTCACGTGATCAAGCACGATAATATTTTTATATTATATAAACGATGTCACGTGATTCACTTAGCCACTCAGTCATAATAGTAATTAGAGGATCCCTATTCTCATATTCAATTTTAGCATCCAGATTTGGGACAAAATCAAAATGTCATATTTTGAAATATATATATGCCAAACTGGTGAAAATTTTTCCTCAAATATCACGTTTAAATCTTGTTAACTCTCCGACGTTATTGTTTTTTCGCCACGTTACATAGTCAACCAGTTTCGTTGGCTCGGTCTATATGACTGATCGGTTCCGCTTGCATGATCAATCTTGCAATTGAGCTAGCAACACTCATTCCTATTTGGCCATGTGGCAAGATCGTAATTATTCATCTTATCTATATACAATTGGGTCAATTTTTAACCCGAACCCCTTAAGGCTCTCTCATTTATTGGATTAGAATGGAGCTAATCTGCGAGCTAAAAACACCCTAACCCCACACAAATTAGGGTTAACTGGGTCGGACGCACTTGTTTAGACAATTATTTTTAAAAGATCGGATATTCTTCAATCCTAATATTGATGCACCCCAAAGTACGTTGTTGTATCATTTGCATCTTATCAATTCAATTTTACAAATCATTGTCCCCACCAATTTTTTTATAGAGTTCAACTTTGATGCATTATTATATGGCATAAACCTAGTAGAGATAAAGCTCGAGATGTCCTATGGCGGGGCGGGTCAATATAAAATAGGTTCGGGTTAGCGGACTAACCCGCTTCACCCGCCAAATAAAACGGAGCAGGCCTAATTTTTTTGCCCACTTTCAAAAACGGGATGGGTTGACTTTTTTTCGACGGGTCCATTTATTCTACCACATCTAATATAGACCAATCCATCCTAATTCAATCGACTGAAGCACAGATAACATGACTTCAATAGGTTGGGAGAGTTTGCATAGGACAAACTTAGTCTAGCTAGATTGGCCTGTTAAGGGTATAACAAAAAAAAATTATCATTATCTAATAATATAATTTATTTCATTTAATGAGTTTATCAATTCAAATACAGTCAAGTCCATTAAAAAATATAATACCATATAATTAAATAATAATGTGTTATACTATTAATATATACATATCAAAATGTTATTATGCTATTTATGAGGGCTAACACGAGGCCTTCGTAGTCCAAAGACACAATGAATGAGTTGTATTTCTGTCGAATTCAAAATGGTAAATAAAAGAAAGAAACAAAGAAAAATAAAGCGAAGGAAGGGTTGGGGAGTACGTTAATGAGTTGTACCGACAATACAAGTGTTTGGCGTTTATCGCAGTTCACAAACAGGCCAACGGTATTTGCTTGTATCATTCATAATCAACTGATCAATGCTTAATACAGCTATTCGTCATGTTATTTCCGAAAAATAATTGTATGTTGTTGTTGACCTATATCTCATGTTTCAAGCCCCATCTTTATACAAGGACGCAAAAGTATTTGTAAGATTACGATATTGAGGGGTTTTTTTTTTTTACTCAGGTTAGAGTGTTATAATATTACTCCGTGTCATACTTTATATTGAGATAGATGGCAAAAAAAATTAAAAAACTATAATTTAAATAAAAAAAAGGAAATATTACTCTCATTTCACATAAGGTATATTCTCGTTCTCTTACTTCGATTTTCGTACTCCATCTTTTTTCTTTTTTCCTTTTTTCTTGTAATGGGAGACCCACTTATTTTCTCTTTACAACATAAGATAACTATCTTATATGAAAGGAGACTAATAAAATCCATAAAAAATACAAAAATATAACAATTTACAAAATATTTATAAAAGTATTGTAACCAGTTGCGTACGAGATTAGGTACAACAAGTTGCACATAAAAATAGATGCATTAGGGGACCAACTGATTCTATTTTGGTGAGCAACTAGTTGCGCGTTCCATGCGCAACTAGTTACAATACTTTCATAAATTGTTATCAAAAAAAATTTCCCCCGTGTTTGAAACTTACACAAAAAAATTGAATTAGATAGAAATATTAGCGAAGTTTCAATTTTTATTATCATCTTTGAACGGGAAGTCATTGCATAAATAAGCATTTGAGCCTTGCATTCCCCGACAATCTGCCAATGGTTAAGCCCATTACACATGAACTCAAATTTAAAAGGATTTAAAACTGGACAATGGTTACCAAATTGGGCCTAAAGAGTAAGACTACGGCTCTTAATCTGTAATACTGAAAATTTATTTTGTTGAGTGGGTTTGTTTTTCTAATAAGTGGACATAAGTTTTGTCCCAAGCATTTAAAAGCTACGCCCAATACAAATAAAAAGAGAGAGAGAGAAAAAAAAAATCTAGTCCTTAAACCTAACAAAAAAAATTGTTGTTTGAAAATGTACCAAAATTTGACAAATTGGATGGAAAATACATTGCCCGTGGACGTCCATTTCGAGACTATTCTAAAATACCTTATTATCATTATACATAGTGCCATAGTGGGTTTAGTTTATGTCTTGCTCAAAAGACTTTTCAGTTTTACTCATGTTTTGCCTGGTGCCTGCTATTAGTTTGAAAAATTACACACGTCTACCCTTCACTTCCGGCCTGCAAATTCTTTTCGGCTTCCCCCATTTTTCTCAGGTAATTGTTTGTGTTTGATATAAGAATAAAGAACCGGTTTTCACCAACAAAACTCTCTCCTATTTTATCAACGCAGAAAAATTACGTGCAGATATCTCTAGATCTCAGCAGTCACTTTCTCATGTAATTATGAGTAAAACATGCAAATGGCACAGTTAGGAATTTTGTTTTGTAGGCCAAAAATTATGATAGAAATATTACTGAAAAAAGTAATTAAGTTTTAAGGAAAAAAGTAAATTGAAATGCAAATTGGGTTAAAAGACTGATCGTTTTATGATTCAATGTTATAATTTTCTTAGACCTTTATCATTCATTTCAAATTTTAAAATAGTTTAAATTTATTTTCGTGAAAATAATAAGTGCTCCTATTATCATCTCAAAATATTTTCTAAAGCAAGCTATATGTAATCTTTATTGTTAATGCTAAATCGGATCATGGTAAGCTGAATACCTTTTCAATTAAATTACGTAATTTCTAATATGCTTTTATTTTCCTATTTAAATTCATAGTATTTTAGTGTAGTAGTCCTATTTATTTTTTTAGGTATTGAGTTATACTTTTCTAAAAAAATAATGAGGGTTTCGGGAGCCCATGGACCCACAGAGCCCCCCCCCGTTCCCTACTTCATTAATGACTGTAGATAATGCGGTTTTCACATAATCACATTTGAAAATATAAATCTTTGGTAAATACAAAAATTAGAATTATTTAGATTTCATTTGATGTATAATTGACTCGCTTTATCGTAGTTTTACTTGTTTTGTTAGGTTGTGAGCTTATTTTCATTGATAATCAAGTAGTATCTTTCTAAGTGCGAATTAACGTCAACTTTAATAAGTTTTTCGTCAAATTTCTTAAGATTGCAAAATTTATAATTATCTTATACGACTTTTTATGATCTTCATTTAATTTTGGACCTTAAGGGAACTTATAAGAGGCAAAATAAGAAAGAAAATGTAATCAAATTAAGAAGTTCAAGCAAAAAGTTCAACCTAGTAGCATGTGTCACAGCGCACAAACTAATTCTGTAGCTGGCATGACTCTTCCCTAATGTAATGATGTGTGTACGTTGCTGCACACACAGTGCGTGCGTCACACGACAACTACTCTGACGTATACGCAGCACATAAGATGTGAAAACCCCACTAAGCGTTCCCCTTGATTTTTTTTTTTACAAGAAGCATTTTGTATTTGGGTCCAAAGTTTAAAGAAAGCTTTCAATTTTGTGGGAGGGTTTAAAAGAAATTATTGGGATTTAAGGAGATTTAGAGTATTTAAAAATCAACGAATTCATATCAGAATCAATTTCATTCTTCCCATTTTGTTTTTATTTTCTTCCTTATATCTTCATGTTTCTTGATATATTTGCATTCATTTGAATATGACTTTCGATATTTCCATTCACACTTGTTATATAATATTAGATTATTTATTGCAGTTCTTTTTTTATAATGAAATAGTTTTGTTTATTCATCTCTACTCTGGCTGTTTGTACTTGATTGGCTACCAAGTGTTTGACTATGGACCCCACTCTTACCACTTTTCTGAAGTAAGTTTGTATGTAAAATGCACAACTAGAAATGTATCCACCCCAAGTTTAATTTAAAATACATCATGATCTTAATTAACCTAGTGAAATTCAAGAAGTAATTTACATACTAAGTTACTAAATCAGTCATGCGAAAAAATAGAACATCTCCCCGTGATTATATTATTGAAGCCTTTGAATACAAACAAAAAAGCACGTATAAATCAAAATAAAACCCTCCAACCTTAATTTCCGAAATAGCAAGCTAGCTAGCTTTAACATTTATTGTACGCCAATATGGGTTGGATTTGATATAAATAAAGGGAATGGGGATCCTCAATTGCCAGGATATCAGAAAATCTCCAAACATGACAAAGAAGGAGCGAAGAAGTAAAGAAAGCAAACTCAGAAGGTACATGAAGGCACTCATGAGGCTCCTAAGCAAGACCAGGGACTTATACGTCCATGGCATGACTGAGTGTTCTGGTCACTTTTCTCATATGGACCCCACCATGGGCCTCCACACTGGCCACCTCTCCACCCTGCCTAGGAGTTTCAGTTTCAGTGATTTGAAGGAGCTCGTAAGTCCTGCAGCTTCCAATAGGAGTCATGGCAATGTTGAGTTTGACCTCATTGGGAGGAAACAGCCTGCGGCTGTGGCGGTGAGAGTGCCTCGGAGTCGTAGCTTTGTAATTGGAAGGATTGATGAAGATAAACCGTGTGACTTTGATGATGATATCAACGTCATGCCTCATATTTATCCAAGAGGCAGAAGCTATGCCGTCCACGGAAGAGAAGGAAGGGTGTTTTAGTCAACAAATAAGGAAAGAAAATTGGTATTATGTGTTTTTATACCATGTGAATGAGAACTTTTGATTCGTCTCAGAATTTCGTTTTGTCTCTTACTATTCAGGATTATCTCTTATAATTCCAAAGCAAAATGAAATTAAAAAAAAAAATTATATTCCAATTACAAGAGAGTGGCGAGGATGCAGTTTGGGGGTGAGGAGGGAGAAGCTACTAAGCCTGATTGGGTACATGGCCTCTAGCTACCCGTAGATTATAAATGATGATAATAATAAATGACTCTTTAGGGGTCGTTTGGTAGAACGAATTTGTTAGGATTTCTGAGAAATTGAAAGTGGTAATCTTATTTATCTATATTTGGTACAAGTTTTTTAAAATTTTCTCAGGAATCTGATTGTTCCGGAATTTTATTTTGTGTGTAAATTTTTTTGAAAAATTCATCCAGAAATACCATTCAAAAGGTGGTATTCTAGAATTTCTATAAAAAGGAAAAATTTAATACAACTAAATATAGTATCAAGCAAATTAACCTAATATTCTCATAAATATGTTAGTCTACCAAATAACTTTTTGATAACATCCCCAGAAAACTCATTTTCTCATCATATTCCTGAAAATCGTGATTCTCGAATAAAAAAAAAAATTTCCTCTACTAAACGCCGTGTCAAGAGAAAAACAAAGTCAGAAAAAGATGGACACGCCGCCTCAAGAGAAAAACAAAGTCAGAAAAAGATGGACATGCCTATTACAATTTAAGAGCTAAAAGGAAATACAGGAGAGTTGGATTTGGAGTGGATGAGGGTGTTTGGTACGAAGAATGTTGGGAAAGTGGAATAGGTAAAATATGTTAAGCATATTTGATATGTCTTTAAGTTAGAAAATACTGATACATTATTTTTGTCATGCATTTCATTTGGAACTAGGCAATGGAAAAAAAAATTGTTGTTTTAACTGTGGTATTTTTTAATTCGACCAATAGAGAAATGAAATTCACGATTTGTGGGCAATATTTTAACATTTGCCGTGTACGTGTTTGACTAGGGATAATATTTCACGAAATTCAATATTTTAACGTAATGGAGTGCTGACTGTTTCAATACTTTAACATTATATATAGGAGATTTTGTAATTTTATAACACATTTCTATCAATATTTTATCATCAATCAAACATAGCATTAGTAAAAATAACCAATTTTTAGATAAATTTTTTGCCTACCAAACATTTTTTTTAACTTATCCGGGCAAAAAAAATATCCATCATATTTTGAAAAAAAAAATTCTCGATAAAGAAAAAATTTCTCTCATACCAAACATCTCTTAGGGTGCGTTTGATATAAGGTTTTTTTAGGATTTTCGAAAAATTGAAAGTGGTAATTGTATTTATCCACGTTTGTTACAAGATTTTTTAAATTTTTAAGGAAATCTGATTTTCCCGGAATTTTATTTTATATGTAATTTTTTTTAAAAATACCATATAGAAATACCATCCAAGGGATGGTATTCTAGAATTTCTATGGCAAGGCAAAATTTAATATAACTAAACATAGCATCAAGAAAATTAACCCAATATTCTTGAGAATATCAAGAATATTTTAGTTTACCAAATAACTTTTTGGTAACATCTCAGAAAACTCATTTTTCCATCATATTTATGAAAATCGTGATTTCCGGATAAAAAAAATTTCTCTTCTACTAAACGCTCCCTTAATGTATGATTTCGTGAACGGGTTATCTCAAAGGTTATAACTATTATAGATAAATTTAAACGGTATATTTTTTTCACCTTTATTTTAATATTTTTTCTCTTTCATATCTTATTTGTTATTGATTTATCAAAGGTCAAGAATATTACACACTATCTGATTATGTAAGAGGGTTAATTGTTTCTCTTACGGACACACACAGAAATTCGAATATATATATTTTTTTAGATGATGAATCCCACTTGATTATGAGTCAGCTTTCTCCTGTTTTGCTCGAAAAAAAGTATTGCCTTGTATAAAGTCACAAACAAGAGAATGAATTAGGGTTAAATAGACTAATAGATATTAATGAAGGCTTAAAAAGAGTAAATTGTAGCTCAAGGAAACTTATGCAGTCATTTATTGTTTAGGCAAATGTTAGAGAATAATATACATTTTTTTATGGTTTATGCCACAGACACAAAACATAAGCGAGCTCTATATTGGTCTCTGCCTTTCTCTTTCTTATGGTTTCTCTCTCAAATGTTTATGTCTTTTTTGTCACATATGTAGAAATAATTTTCTGATAATATAAATCATTAAAAAAATTATATTTAAGCAAATGTTAGAGAATATAAACTATTAAAATGATTCTCACTTAATAACTTAAATTTTGGGTTGAATTTAAATTGATTATTTACACAAAATATGTAACGGGTAAAAGATGCAAATTGCGTTTGCCAACATCTTGAAAAAAATCTTAAAATAATGAATTAATTAACCCATTTTAACTTGGACGCTGCCAAACGACGCAGCTTTGAAGTTCGAAGGAACAGACCAAGCCAAAGGTGCATATAGCGTATGCATCTCCGCTTTGGTTTCCTCGGCTCGCTGGAAGTTAATAATGTCCTTGCTTTTGAATGATCTCTCCAGTTCTTCCTCTAACTCACGTTTCAGCATCTGATAATTTTTTTATTTTTGACGTTTGATTTCATGAACGGAGATGAGAGAAAACGCAGATTCAACGAAGCTATCGTTAACATGCTTTATCATCCCTCACCGACGACTCCTCGAGTATATCTTTATCTCTCTCATCTCTTCTCCCGGTTTCATTCTTTATACTCTTTTTTAATTCGATGGTTAATGTATTGTTATCACAATCATCTAGCTTGAACAAGAGTCGGAACCTGTGGAAGCCTTGATCGAAGGGTCTGGTTCTGATGTTATTTCAGGTTCGATTTTGAATAATAAATAGCAGTAGTCTTTAGCAATCACTAAAGTTGAAACATTATTCGCATCGCATTGAAAATGTAGGCACTTTGGATGAGTATGAGAATGCCACGACGAGCGGCGACGAAGAACAAGACTCTGAGACGGAGAGGCTCACAAGGGCTCAACGAAAGAGAATTCGTAAGAAGAAGCTGAAGGAAGAAGCCACCCGTCGCGGAAGATTAATTGGGCCGCTTTTGTCTCTGACACCCACAACCACCACCCAGTGTGGCGATCATGTTGCGGAGGATGCTCCAGGTGTTCGATCAAATGCTTCTGAGGAAGGTACTGGAGTTGATTATATTCTATGTGAATGTCTTATTATGTTGTTGACCTTAAACTAATAAATGGCCCCGTTATGTTCTCTCTGACGTTTATAACACACAATTTGGTTTAGGTGATGAGCTGGCTTGTGCTAACTCGAAGAAAATGAAGCACCGGAGGATGGCAAAAAAGCTGGCCAAAGAAAAGCGAATTGCCCCTACTTTGGAGAACTGCAATCAAAGTTCCGGTTCAAGTTCTGCTCTTGACCTGAGAGAAGCCCGTATATAAGTGTTTGGGTGTAGCTTGAGTCCGTGAATTTATAAAATTCTCATTGGTATGTATTGTAGACTACTGTGCAGCGTTAAGCTCGTACTTCACTGATCAAATTTTTTAGTATTTTGGATTGAATGGCTGTATTAAACCTTGATTATGCTTCTTGTTAACTCTAGAAATTCGCTCGGTTAAAATTTTGGTCTTGTTAAAAGTTGCAATTATTGAATACTATTAATCTTATAGCAGTAATTGTGTGTTTTTCATAATTTCATTTGTTCCCCCTCAATTTCACGATGACATCCAGTTTCTTGACCTACTTCACCAATTGGAGATTTGGGGAGTTAGTAGTAATTCCGTTCTACATGAACCAAATATTTTGGGGCTTAAAAGTAATACTCAGATTGGACTACACGTCACATGTCCACAAGTTTATTGAACCATCTTGGTCTAGGATGGTACCAAATATTTGATATAACATCGTCATAAAGATTAACACTGCTATACTGCTATATATATAACATTACCAGCCAGGCGAGGAAAGTGAAAGAACAAATAAAGGGTATGTGTATGTCTCTCCTGGCGGTATCTGTGACTGTGAGTATTGACATGGTAAAGTTTTGATGATATGTGACCCACAACCCAGATGATAATACAGGTCCATGATATTTTTGTACGCATGCACGTGCTTCGTCTAGCCATCTTAATTTATGGGCCGCAGTAAAACTTCTGCAAACTAGGTGGGGCCTTCATTCTGCAGGTCCAAAATAATACATTTATGAGATCCACAAGAAAATGCTTCCCCAACAAACAACAGAGAAAGAACGGCTAGGAAATCTTGGCAGGGATAAGATTTTTTTTAAGCACAATTCTAAACAATTCACGATTTAAATATTTTTATAAAGCCACAAAAAAAAAAAAAAGTTTTGAAAGCTTCAAAATTAGTAAATCACGAATATAGTGTTTCCAAAAAAAAAAAAAGTAATTCACAAATATCACTACATGCCTGGATTAGGCATATTAATTAGTAAAAAGTAGTGACAAATTAACTTATAGCTAATGACATAATTGTTTGAACCAATATTGAAAAATATAATAAACATGCATGGGTTGATTAACTCTCGTGGATTCCAATAATTTGAACATCGTGGTGGTTGAGCGGCAATGGACAACTATAACTTCGCACCCCACCCTTATATTGTAATAATAAGGTATCATTTCATTCAATTGCCTAAAATCATATAACAAACCACCTTTCTTTCATGTTTCATCTGTTCACCGGTTGTTATTCATCTTAATTAACATTTTCACAGCTGTTTTTGCTAACTTTATAACGGTAAACATTCAACTTATATCTTACCGACACCTGCTTAGGGCATGGCTTATATAAATTATTGATAAAAACAATTTAATGTAGAATCTTCGTTTAAGTGATTTCAAATATTGTTGGACTACTTTGTTCCAAAATTGAATCTGTGTCATAAATCTTCTTTATAATAATAATTTTAAAAAGTTAGACCTAAATCATAATAAGGTATTAAGTATATTTTGAAGAATTAGTTTAAGTTTTTTGTTTTTGGTAAACAAGAATGAATTATTTTAAGTTATTTGATATAATAAAGTTATGAAAACAGCATCCTATATTAGTTTTCATAAAAATATTAAATAAGAAAGCAAATATACTTCATATCTTAAAATTATTTAAAAAATATTTTTTAATAATTAAAAATATCATTAGTTAAAAGAATTTACAATTATTCTTCTAAGAATCAAGTAAATTTATTAATAATAGGGTATGTTGTCATTTTCAAGGCGTGCATAAAGATTAAATAAAAGATCCATTCTTTTGTCAAAAGACTCAAAACCAGCGTCAAGGGAACAAAAATTACGGAAGAGGAAGAGACAAACCACCCAACAACATTATGCTCCTCGGGATTCGGGAAGAATATAATTATCCCTCCGTTTATGCAGCATTAAATGCTCTTTGCCAAAGCTTACCAACACTAATATTAATATATTAAAGCCCTTCCCAAAACTAAAAGTAAAAGCAATACGCCAGAAAAGATATTATAAACAAAAAAATTACTTCATAATAACAACAACACACAGAATCTGAGTGGACATTGGTCAACAATAATTGGATCCCATTAAATATGATTAATGGATTACCTGAGGGGTCATGGCTGGGGATAGTCAAAAGGGATAGGAGAAACGGAGTTATCCAGTAGATCCGGGTGCAGGAAACCAAATTTACGCATAACCTGATTATCAGCGAAATTAAGGGCCCTCTGCATGCCGTTCCAGCAAGCGTCGGCAGAGTACATTTGATTATGCTTTCCACTGCAAGGTTGGCACCCCGTGAAGTGCGTCACGAAGGGTCTCCTCCAGCTACCTCTACCATTCCCAGCATCCTTAACATACTCCTCTCTCATTTCACCATAGCTTTCACTCACCTTCTCCGCGTGCCTCCTCCTTAACCTGCGCTCCTCTCTTTCTATCTCATCGTACCTCTGGCTTATGTTCTGGAACGTTCCAACAATCTCCTCCCAATACCCTTCGAAATAATACTCGCTCTCCAGATAAATCCTGTCCGCCCATTTCTCCTTCTCAATCGCGATCAGATAAGCCAGGCCCGTCTGATCGTCTGACTCCGGGAAGAACTTGTCCTTGAACGTTGACCGCAGCGTTTCCCCCCATTTCTCGTAATTGGGAGTCTGTGGGCCCATGCTGGCCCACGCGTCCATGAAATCTAACGACCACTGACAGTTCCTGATTAAGAACACGCCGGCGTTAAGTCCCGTCCAGCTCCGTTTCTCGTGTATGAGGTGGGCCCAACCGTGAACCACAAGGTTGTGATCCTTGTAACGTTCCAGTGGAAGCTTGAACTCCATGTCGGTGAACAACGCGTCCGAGTCAACCCACCAGATCCACTCGGCCTCAGGGTGGGCCATCATCGCGGCCTTCACCACCGGGTACTTGGCCCAATACGCGAACATCTTGGGGTGCAGCAGAGCGTTGTTGTAGAAGATATCGTACCCGTGGAGCCGACAGTAATCGACCTTGTTCTTGAAGAACCTTAAAAGCAAGTGGTCGCCGATGGGATTCCGGCACGGCGACGGTTGCGATCCGGTCACCATGAGCACCCTTTCTCGTGCTCCGGCGGCGAAGGAAGGATGACGCTTCAGCCACTCCTCGCGCTTCTGGTCCCAGTTGCGCACCGTCTTGTCCATGGTGTACCCCATTTCCGGGTCATCATAGAAGGTACGTTCGGGTGGGTCGAACCGCAAATCGGGAGTGCCATGCTTGGCGGCGTCGGCGTCGGCGTCGTCCAATTTGTTGGTGAGGGACTGGAATTTGGGGTTGTCGTTAGGGATTGGGGTAGTGAAGGAGGAAAAACCCCAAACGAGAAGAAGAGCGGAGAATGCTCCGGCGAGGAAGAGGCAGCCATCGGAGAGGTATACAGAAGAGGACTTGTTTCTTGAAGTGGATTTTGCCATGGAAGAGTTGTGATGGTGAGAGAACTCCGATGATGCCATTTTAAGCGGTGGGGTTGTTGTTGGGTGGCGTAGTGTGCAAGTGTCACTCGTCGGATTGTGCATAATTCTCGGCTTTCGCCATGTGAGAAGTGTGAGTGACTCGCTAGATTTCAAATTAGCAGAGATTGTAAAGTGAGAAAAAAAGTAACAGAGATTGTACTTGGCGATATCGCTCTAGTTATAAAACTTGAAACGGAAGAGTGAACGTGTTAGAATGCTCGTTTCGATGGAGCTTGGGAGCCTATCTTGATGCGCATTGTCGTTTATGTTAAAAGGGGGCGAGCTATCTAAGGCATGGACGAAATGGGGAAGGGCTTGGTTAGGGTAATGGTGTTCTTTATTATTTTTATCATGTAACATGATACAGAAAAATATTCTTACTCACACATCGAATATTGTGTCAATATTTCTTTTGTTTTTCATTTTTTTTCATGATGGGTCCCATCAAAGTTTATTTGGGTAAGGAATTGATTTTATATTATGTTACATAACATTATTATGTTACATAACATATGTATTTTCCTTTATTTATATCAGTAAATAAGGGAAATTTTTAACATTTCCTGTGAATGATTACGAGCTTTATATTTTATTTTAGATAATAACAATTATAAGCTTAGTTTTATAATAATTTGGATTTGTTAACATTTTTTATTCATACTTTTATTTATTTCTTTAATAAAAAAAGAGAATTATTTGTGTTCTGATTTAATGAAAAGAAAAAAGAATTTCGACTTTATTTTTAACTTACTCATCTTATCAATTCTTAATTATTTAATTTCTGTTTGAATCATGTTTTGATATTTATATATGAGAAAAATATTTCTGCTAGATAAATTATCTATATTTACTTTCAAAACGACATCGTTTTGGGATTGAAATATTAAAAAATTATAATTATAAATACCATAATAACCCTGAAATAAATTAAAATAAAAAAATACCATGATTTTTAATCCAAAATAACATCATATTGAGCTTACTGCATATAACATATATGTGCAGAAAAAGCGAATCCTTTATGTATTAATTCTTACAATAAATATTTTCTTCAAATAAACCATATGAAGCAATAAAAATTTAATTTTCAATCAACAAATTAATACATATTATACCTTTTTCATTGTAACAAAAACAAATATTCATTATTCATAAAAAAAAAAAAATTTCGGTCTTTTTTTAAATAGATAAAATTATAAATAAGTATCAATAAATTTAATTTGTTATTTAAAAAATCATGAGCGTTTTTATTCAAAATAAAACGTCAAACTTGTCAGTCTCCACATGAAGCTGTAGAGTTTATAATTTCCTAATAACTCAATGATTGAGTTCGTTATATAAACATTACTTTCCCAAACACGTTTTATTTCTTTTATATCTTTATTTATTTTTTAAAATGTTGAGTATTTCTCTCGTTATTCCATTTCAAAAAAAAAAAATCAGAAAATCGACTTCCTAACTGTTATTATTTTTTATTGCCTCTGTTTGTCAAACTTTTCATCAATCAAGTGTGATGGATGAAGAGGCGAAGGGGCAACTTTGAAACCACGCACGCTACCAATTTTGTTAACATGTTGTTATCGATTATTTCGTGATTGAAGCTCCTAACTTGAAAAGATTAACGGAAAATTCACACTCCACTTTCAATTTGCACCAAATCATATAGGATGAGAAAATGCAACTACGAAAATAAAATACCATTAATAGTTCGGAAATCAGAAAAATTTCAAAACATTAAAATGGAAAGAATAAATTAATAAAAAATATCAGTGAATATTATAAATAATATTACAAATGGAAAGTAGAATATTTAAAAAATTTAATTCATAAATTTTATAACAGTGAAATATTATAATATAATTAAATATAAATAATAATATATAAAAACAATATTCTATTATACATTCTATATAAAGCTATATGATAAGAGCAATACAATAAATAATAAAAGAATTATTTTATATATATATATATATATATATAAAAGAAAATTGTTTATCTCATTTAACATGAGATAGACTCATTTTCCTACACTCACAACCTCTGAAATTCTTTTCATATTGGACCTTGGACATATCATAGTTCCCAACTATAGGAGAGACGAAAGAGAATAGAGGAGAGAAAAAAATATAAATAAATCTCACCTTAATATGTAAATGTAGAAAAATAAATGATAAAATCATTTCTGCAGTCACTTTATGTACAGCAACGACAGGTGTATAGTTATAATTTTTTATATTTAATGCTTTCATCTTTTGTATGGTTCCGATTTCTTACATTTAATGTTTTCAAATATATATATATATATGATAAATATTCAATTACTGCTGGTACAGCAGCGGTAATTAAAAATATAAATTTTAAAATAAATTTACTTCATATTAAATGAGAAAATAATTCTCCTCAAAAGTCATGAGTTGGTTCAAACATTTACTTTTCTTTTTGCGTTTGAGAATTCATAGATCTTTAATGTTGTTATGGACACGTGGAATATGACCGACAGTTGGTCCCGCCAAACTCCCTCAAGTCTGTTTCAACTTTCTCTGTCTCGCTTTATCTTTAGATTCTTTACAATTTCCGTAAGTAGATGTCAAACAATTTCCGGAGTATATGTAATCTTGTTATATTTTTACTTTCTGCATTTTTTAATACTGTATTATCTGTAAAGTAATAAAGCAATATTGTATTAAAAAAAAGTAATAAAGAAATATTAAAAAATGTCAATAATGAAGTATTTTTATTCTGTCCAAACTTTTCATAAAGTTTATCCCATGAACTGACTCGTGTCTCCAGACTCTCCACCATTATATCTGGAAGATTGAAATAATCAAGTAGGGCTGTTTCGTTTATAGCTGTAAAAAGGCTCAACCCTAGGACTAGCCTTATAAAATTTTAGCCTTCTATATAATGGGATTATTTTAAGTCTATCTTTTTAAAGCCCTTTTATTATAGGGTTAGATTGAGGCTAGCCCGCGAGCTACAATATTCAACCCAATTTACAATGAAAAAAATTTCATCAAAAGTTTTGACGAAAAAAAGAATTCCTTCAAAAATTTTGACAGAATATTTTCCGTCCAAAATCTTCGATGAAAATGTGATCCAATGAAAATTACAACGGAAATATTTTTTTTCAAAATTTTTGAGGGAAATGTATCTGTGAAACTTTCGACGGAATTTAAATTTCGTAAAAAATTTTGACAAAATATTTTTTCGTTGAAATTTTTTACAGAAATATTTTCGTCAAACTTTTTTACAGAAATAATTTTCGTGGAAAATTTTTAACGAAAATGTGTTTCGTTTAAAATTTTGATAGAAATATTTTTTATCGAAAATTTTGTCAAAAATATTTTTCGTCAAATTTTTTTGACGGAAATGTGTTTCGTCAAAAATTTTGACGGAAATTATTTTCTTCAAAAATTTCAACGGAAATTTTTCCGTCAAAATTTATTTCGTCAAAAATTTCGACGGAAATTTTTTCGTCAAAAACTTTTACTGAATTTAGATTCTGTAAAGAATTTTGACGAATTTTTTTTTCGTCAATTTTTTTACAGAAACATTTTTTGTCAAAACATTTTACGAAAAAATTTCTATGCAATAATTTTTCTAAAAAGTGACAATTTTCTAAAAACTATTTATTTGTTTTTTCTAATAATTTCTATGCACCATTTTATTATAAATATTTTTTTTAAAAAATACATATTATTTTTTTAGAAGGCCCGCGGGCTGACCCTAACCAATAGGGCATTGGCCCGTGTGGATCTATATCATTGTGGGCTTTTTGGCCCTAACCAATAGGGCTTTGGCCCGTGTGGATCTATATCATTGTGGGCTTTTTGGCCCTAACCAATAGGGCTTTGGCCCGTGTGGATCTATATCATTGTGAGCTTTTTGGCCCTAACCCACTTGGGCTAGGACTAAATGGGTCGGGCTGGCCCGTTTTGACAGCTCTAATTTTTTTAGTTATTTATGAGTGGCATTGTGAGTTGTCTTTTGTTTGGTAGAGGAGAAACATAAATATACTCATGAAACACGATTGTCTAGCCATTGACAAAAGCATGCAAAAAAGCAAGAAAATTATTGTGCCATTTGACCACTTTGAATGTGGTATTTTTTTTGTGTGGAGGTTACAAGGAACTGAACACAACACTCTTTACTGCACACACCCCCACACACCACTAAGCTAACTCTAGTGGTTTGAATGTGGTATTTCAATAAACATAGCTAAATAGCAAAAAGTGAATTAAAGGGATTGGCAAAACTACCCCGTTCTAGTACTGAGCAAAGTAACTGCTCAACTACCCTATCATCTTTGTAAGATTAAAAATTTTAAATAAAGAATATTTTTGTTATTAATATTAATTTTTTCATCTATATTTTATTTTCAATCAAATATAGACTCACATAATTTAACTTAATTTCTCTAATAATATTTTGGTCAATCAAACAACTTTTTTAAAACTTTCCTACCAACTTTGCTTTCCTTCTGTTTTCTTAATAATTACGTTTACCTGATTAAAAAAAATTTCTCCTGTATCAAACGACCCCGTAAGTTTATGTTTTCATAATTTATATTTTCGAGTTTTTTTTTTTGGTATATTATATTTTCAAGTTTCCAGTCATGTGCTGTCACTCTCTTTTTTTTTAACTTCAAAAAACAAAGGTCATGCGATAAACTACTTTTTTCATTTTATTTTATTTTATTTTTATATTTGACTTTCAAAAAATAACTCGATTAATTAATGAATTAAATGATTCTAACATTTTAATTCAGTGATTTGGTAATTGGATTTAATAATATTTAGTTTGAAATATAATTCCATAAAGAATTGATTGCATCTAATAATAAATGGATTCAAATCAAAATTTTATAATTTCAAATTATAAATGATTCATGATTCATTATATACAAGTTCTCTATAGTATTTTGTGTTCGTTCATATTTGGTTATTTGATTTATATTTTTACCTTTTCTATTTTGGTTCAATTTATCTTTTTTTGTTTTAATGTTTCATTTATACACCTTTTTTTCATTTTCTTTATATTCTTTCAATCCTTCTTTGAGATAAGCTTATGTATTTCTTTTTTTCATTCGAGTGACTTTTTTTCTTTCTTTCAAATTTCACGTGATATTTTACGCCTGCAACTTGTTTACCATGTTGTTTTGCCCTACATTTTCAGCCTATTAAGATGGCGCTAAATTAATACAAACTATATTCAATATTTTTTTTTATACATAACTATATTCAATATAAATACATTAATTTACCATCTATTTTCATATGGTATAAATCAATTCTTGTCCATTATTCTGACTGAACTATACTACTATAGTAATCCTATTTATTTTTTTCCCTTTGAAGTTATTTCCATTCTTCCTTTAGAAGTTATTTTCTCTTTCTTTTTAGAACTTTGTAAATTCATTTTCAAACTCGATTTTTCTTTTCAAGTCTATTTTATTCTTATTCAATTTTATACTTAATAAATTTTCACCTTCATCTCGTGCACGAGCATTAATCTAGTCAGAACATGAGAAAAATGTTTTAGTTTTTTTTTTTTTTGGTTACACAAATGTTTTAGTTCAATTACGGGTAAATATTACGAATTATTTTTTACCATGTAGGTTAAAGTGTGGAACAAAACTTTTATTATTTACCATTCTGAGTGTGAACAATTCGACAATTTCTGGGGTCCAAGTATTTCCAATCAATTCATGAATTTCTCATGTGGGTAAGACTATAAGTTTTTGACTCTCTACTTTTGAAGAGATTCTTGACGCTCAAGGGGTCACATGTCACATGCGGTTATAGAATCAATTAGCCTATAGCTCTAGTTGTGCCAACAACCAAGATGCTCACCATGGTCATCTATACCAAGATGATGTGTCATAAATTGTTTTAAGAGTTTATTGTTTATTAAGGAGAAAAATTTATTTTTTATATATACGTAAAACTGTGTGATATCTATTTTTTTTTCTCTTTATATAGATCCATATATGTCTCACATACTTTTACGTGTATGTTGGAGATAAATTTATCTCTTACAACATAAGAAATATTAAACTCGTTGTTTAAAAACCAAAAGAAGAAAGTGACACCGTGAGACAAGTCATAAAATTTCCAAAGTTTATTTCCACATGACATCCCAGAAGTTTATTTCCTTGTGATGCCATAAATAATTAAATGCCTCCGGAATTTCAGCCGAGAAATAACTTCTAAAAAGCAACGATCATTTTTATATAAAAGGATAGAATGCCGAAAAAGGTGTAAAAGATAAAATGGTAGGCTTTCCATGAAAAACTTGTATGAGGAGAAATTCATTTCCTGGATGCTTAAGATATAACAAATGGACTACGGACAATAAATGACTAATTGGTTACGTAAGGAAACGACTTAATATAAACAAAAAACACATATGTATTAGCGAGTCCACCGCCTAAGACTTAAAGTGCATGAAAACATCATATTTTCGCTGCTTTTCAGAAAGGTCCAAAACCAGAAAACGGTGATGCGGTTGCCTTGAACTTGAGGGACACATATTCTTTTTTCTCGCCATTCCTTTCGGAACGAAAAATTAAAGAATCTACATGGTCCGTCAAATGATGCTTGTGTATAAGTATTGCCTTCAATCATGCATTAATTAAAGGCCCTCGTAAAGTCCTTCTATGCACTTTTAATGACCCCATGATAAAACGAAATGTAAACTGGTAAAGGACAAAAATAATTAGTGGTTATTGATCAATGAATTCCATCGTTTACCAAAATCATACAGATGAAAATACGCGAAAGCAACAATTATTGCCAAATAAAAAATGGAAGCAATACACATTCTAGACCACAAGCATCATACAGAAGAAACACCCCTCCAAAAAATAAAATAAAAAAGTAGCGGCTATACAAACGTTCTCTCTACTTACGAGTTGAGACCTTTTCTACGTCAGGCAAAGAAAAGTTAGAGAACAAGGATAAAAGAAAGCTAAATTCTTGTTGGTGAAGGAATCTTTTTACATTATATTCATAGCAGTCTGATCTGGTTAGTTTCATTATTTTAATTCATATTCGTAAGAATCGTCACATGGTGTAAAAGAGATTTATGGGAGTTAAAACAAAAATCCCTCCAAAAGGAAAACAAATTTATTAAAGAATTAAATCTCCAAATTTTATGAGTCATGTGACTTATGTCCATTATTTAGCTGTTACATTATGAAAAGAATGAGATTATAGTGCAGATTATGAGTAAATCCGTTATGATTTGCTAATCAATTAGATGTTTCTGTATTTTGTACTTTTGAGTTTTGACATGACATCTCTTCTTCATCAAGGCTATAAAAAGATACTATCCAAGCACATTTTTGTCTTTAGAAGTTCATTTGCTACAAAGTTTTGACATATTTTGTACTTCTGAGTTTTGACATAACATCTCTTCTTCATCAAGGCTATAAAAAGATACTGTCCAAGCACATTTTTGTCTTTAGAAGTTGATTTTCTACAAAGTTGACATATTTTGTACTTTTGAGTTTTACATAACATCTCTTCTTCATCAAGGCTATATAAAGAAACTATCAAGGCTATAAAAAGATACTATCCAAGCACATTTTTGTCTTTAGAAGTTGATTTGCTACAAAGCTTTTCTGAAATTTAGAGCAAAGCCACGAGACTTGAGTTATTCTTATAGAGAAAATATAATTTGTTCGTCCCTGATGGTTAAAGAAATGCAATCACACTACCGAGCTATGTGTATAAAATATAATTTAATTCAAATGGAAAACAAATTGAGTGCTACTATCTTACGGAGAGCGCAATTGCTCCTGGCTCCATCTGAAATCGAGTAGATCCTACGTTAGGTAGATTACATGACAAAACGTGCTTCTTCAAGTTTTCTAACATTTATTTTTCGGCAATAACTTTTTTTCCCCTTGTTTTTTGGGTCCCCTCCCTCTCTAATACAGGAATGACAAGGCAATCAATGAGGTTTTTCATCTTGAGAATAATACGCTTCCGCTCCTAATTAGTATCCCAACTTCCCGGCCAAGCACCAAACTAACACAACTTGAATACAAATAGATAGAGATACACCAAATGAAATTTTTATTGTTGACTTAGCGCATCAGGATACTAAGTGTACACATAATGCCTATATGGTTTGCATAAACAACCCCCACTAGAATTACAAATTCACATCAGTCCAACCAGTAAGCACATACTTACCAGTTATACACAACAAACAGAGCAGTCAACAAAGCTCATTAAATCAGCAACCTCTAAGGTCGCGCCATCTGAGATAAACTAATCCTGCACGATAATGAGTGTATGCCCCAGCCACCACCAATATATGAAACAATTGGTGACTGTGTCCAGCAATGTCAAACTTCCCAGGCATCCATCGTTCTGGAATCCTAGTGGCATAAACCACTGCTCCAATTCCATAGAGAGCACCCATCAGAATCTCATAGCCAGTTGTGTGAAACACCTCAGGTTCGCCCCAGAACAAAAAGAGCTTGTGAAGAATAGGTGCTAAACCAGACAAACCCATTCCAAAGAAGAGGGATGCACGGATGGTGCGGTATTCTGGAGTTTGAAAGACAGGAATGAGAGAAACCACGACGGTGGCAATACCCAATAGAGTAATAAATCCCATGTAAAGGTTGCAGAAGAATGGATAACACATAAAAGAGTAATATACTGGAGGATAGAAAGAGGTAGCTATCAGGGCTGCAATTCCAGCATAGTCAAGCCTGAGCATAATGTAAGATAGGCGCTCAGAGTGACAAGAGAGGAGATGGCAAATGCTGCTAGATAGCAAGCAAAACATGGCACCCCCTAGAAATGCGAAAAAAGGCCACCTTGTAATTGGTCTAATCATCAGCGGTGCTATTATGTTTCCCAGGTCCTCTTTTACACTGTGCTGCACATAATCAACAAAGAAATAAGCAAAGTTGCATTGGCTCCCAAAACCAAATCAACCATCAATAAACAGATGAAAAAAAAATAAAAATCAAAGGAGCGGAAATACTTCTCTATTGAGAAATATATTTATTTCTGAAAGAAGGTTCTCAGCAGGAAGTTATTGACAAACTGACATCTTTAATCCATCAATCAGTACTTTTCCCCCACCAAGTCTAACTCTTAAGATTTTTATTTTTATTTTTTAAAATTTGCTCTACCATGTCATTACTATATTCCATATGAAATATACATCTAAAATGATTTGGACTCCAGCACATTGGCTATTGATAAGTATTGTGGATACCTTCAAAGAAGAATTTATCCACAAGTAAGGAAAAGGGTAAAATAACAGATACTGATATATCAATGAGAGAGCTAGTTTAACTTCTCAATGCCTCTCCCCCAACCACAAAAAAAAGAAAAGGAATAAAACTAGTCAGTTGTACAGCAGTTACCAGAACACAAACATCAGTATGATTCCCACTGGAAAAACTTTCAGGCAAACAATTATACAGAAGTTCTTTTACATGCCAGCTTGAGATTTCCTCTCCGAGTCTGTATAAATCAGACATAGAAGGAAGGCACGTCAAAAGTTCTGATTGTAATTTGTATAGGTCGGCCTTCTTGAGTATGTCAGGAAAATGCTGTAGTGAATTAAGATCTACAACCTTCGGAACTTTCATGGCAGTGTATATGGTCAATGCAAGAAATAGGAAGAATCCAATCAAATGCCTACAAGAGATAACATTTTGTCATTTTATGATTAAGAACAAGAAAATTAGGAACAGTCTCAGACAAGAAAAAAAATGCAATTTATTCAAACCAAATATCATTTACTTCTTTCTAGCAGTCTATATTCTTACAAAAGTGACAAAGAATGAGAATATATATATATATATATATATATACGGGGGCTGTTAATGGATCAATTCGAAATCAATGGCAGTTATTTTTTACTCTTTTTTAAAAGTTGATTTCAAATCGATCCAGCGATAACCAAACAGGTTGTAAGCGTGGTAAGCCAAAAATGGGGGTAAGTATAACCTTCCCCTATATATATATATATATATATAAAATCAAAATCATTAAGGCAATACACACACACACATTATTTAACTCCATCAATTGAAAGACAGGGGAAGGTTAAGAAAAACAAAACAGAAAGAAAAAAGGCAGAGCTAACTGAATACAATTCACTTACAGACATTCTTTTTCTAAAGCAAATTTTTTTTGAATGTTCAAAAGATCTATTGACATGATATACCCCCCTCAAAATAAAGAACAGAAAATTATTATTCGATTTTAAATAAATTTAAAACAGACAAAATCGTGATTAATGCTTTGTGAACTGATGGTCATGGGTTCTAATTGCAGAAAGTGCCTTTCTTTCTGCTCACAGGGGTAAGAATAAGGCAGCCATGCGTTGGGCTGCCCTTTTATAAAACGTCAAAACTGCATAAGTTATGTGCTCATACATCACATTCCCTTTCTTCATTGATCACAAATACACAAGGGCAAGGTCTTCTAATACTTCAAACAAGGAAGGAAATGATACATAAAGATCCAAAGTTCCGGAGTGACTATGACATTAGCTACATGTTTCTAGGGTATTACACGAGAAAGATAATTACAACCTTCATCCGGTTACTTTATGTATATGACATTCTTTTTTCTTTTTGGAGGGAAATGAACCAGTAGTATTCATTGGTTATATAACATTATCCAGCAACACATATCCCCAGAATAAAAAAGAATGCTTAGAATTAGTGCATATATGAGAATTAAGAAATCATTTGAATTGAGTTACAAACTTGAAAGGTTCCCACATGAAACAACAGCAAAAGTTGTAACAAAATGTGCAAAGTCAAATAAGAAGGCTCACGTCCAAACATTAAGAGTTTCATTGTGGATGGTGAAGATGCTTAGCAAAATCTGCTTCATTGGCCATTCAGATCGATAGTGACCTAGAATGTACTCGTTGTCTCTCAAGTAACCAGGCAAGGAGTGGTACTCAACCAGCTGGTACTTCACCTTCTTCCACAGCCTTTTCCCTTTCCCTTCCCTTCCAGAACATGCCCCTTGATTATTCTCCATCGAATCCTTAGAATTTGAATCTTCACCTGTCATCCTCTCTCTACCAACTCCACATGCAAAACAATTAATGATCTAAACAAATTAAACAACTAAACACAAGAAGCTTTTGGCAATCGCCTAACGGTATATATCTTATTAACAACAAAAAAGGGGAATTTTTAAAGAAAATCGGTTATATATAAAGTACGAAACCAATAAAAGATTATTCTGTAGTGTTTGCAATTAAACAAAGGGAAAGGTACCTGAAATTGAAGAATCTGCAACAAATACGAATGAATAAATGAGTAGGGTGAAGGGGGGAAGACAAAAAAGAAGGCTGCGGAAAAATCTAACAAAGGTGAAAGGAGATGGTGACGATTCCGGAGGTGATTAGACCCGCCAGATATGTCGACATTAACAACCGAAGATTCTTCAAAGAGATGCGGAGATGCCACCAACGATCTACATCGCTTTCCTTCTTTTTGTTTTATATTAGTACGTTTAGGTGCACCGTTTCTTCTGCACCAACTTTTTTGGGGAAAAATAATTTGTTTTTTAAGAACTTTGCTATTATATTATTAAAAATTGGAACAAGTATTGATATTCAAAACAAAAAAAATTGGAACAAGTATGTGTGTTTCTAAATGAAACAAACTTATGTTGTTTTATGGCAGAAATAAATACAAAAATATTGAATCTTAATAGAACCTTTATTATTATTTTTGTCTTGACTTTTTTTAATAGAATTTTATATTTTTTTATGTTTATCTCTCTCTTAAAAGAAATTTAAATTTGTATCCTTTAAAAATTTAGGTATATCTTTCCCTTAAAAATAAAGAATTTCCACGTTTATTTATTTATTTATGTTATTGGTCTAAAAGCCTCTCTCTTTTTTCACTCATTTGTCGTGAGGGGAGGAAGTCCATATGTTTTTTTTAGTATTGTATTCAAAATTGGTCAGGTTAATTTTTTGTTTCACCGTATAATTAACTAATCAATTAATTCACGTACTTAATACTTGTTGAACTAATTATTAAATTGTTAAAAATAGCGGTGCACCGATTTTATAAATTTAAATTTCATGTAAAATAATGAGTAGAATATTCAAACTTAAAATATATATAAAAGTTAAAGAAGGAGTTGAGTTATCTCTTGTCTTATTTATATCTAAGTTTTATATGTAAGCTATTGTAACTTCTAATTACACTTCACTTGGCTTAAACAATATTTTTAATTAATTAAAAATAAGTTTAGACCAATCCAATACTAATTTGCAGTTTCGCACTAATTCAACCAATACTCTACGCTATTTTAGATTTTTTATGTTGATTAATCCGCTCAAGACGAACAAAATCATCACAAGGGTGACCAAGCTTTCATTATCTGATTTATTTTAAGTACACGGAACATCTAACTTAATTTATTACATACTTTTCCAATGAAACTGTTTTATCTAATATGATTTTTTATCAATGCTTTGTACTGAATGAACGCCTTGTTTTGTATTAATTTTGAGATTAAATAATAGTTGATGTCATTTACTAAAAAAATGGTTGATGTACTCAATGCATGTGACCGACTCTTTTTTTCTTTCAAGCATCCGATTTTTCTCAAAGAGTTTATAATGAATGACACAGGTGTGCGGTGTCGTTTGCATCTGGGAAACGGAATCTGTCCACTTCTGACCTCAGAAGAAACACATGAAAAGGAAAGTGTCCACTTGTTACTACTTTACTATATGTATGGTGACTCAGTCCAATTTTTAAGCATAGATCTTTGCTCAAGGTCTAGGTGATGAAGAGGTAAGGTGACAGCGGACAAAACTAAAAATATAAGGAAGGTTAGCAGGTTTTTTCTTCTTGTTGAGGTGTTTGAGGGAAAATTGAAGCCTTTGCACCTTTGCTCCATCCCAACCCCAAAGCTTTGTCCTTTGATGTAAAGAATCTTGGGATACATCACTCCAAAAGCTAGCTTAAAGAATGGAAGTGTCCAAGGCCTTATAAACTCCACATTAGTTGCACATACAACCAATGTGGGACTATATATCTTAACACGCCCCCTCACACGAGAGCTCATTGGGCATGAAGAGTGGACAATGCAACAGGCCCAACCCACCTGTGTTAAGAAACGTCACAAGAGAAAGTGGGGGGCGACGAGGACTCCAGCAGACGTGCGATCAGGGTAACCATGGAGTTTGTAACACCGAAAAATGTCATGATTGGGACGTCCACAGTGGGAACATATGATGCGGGGCTTAGAAGGATCAAGCGGTGCAGTGTGGAGAGCACAACCGAGAGCATCAGATGGAATTTCAGCAGCTCGAACCATAGCCTTATGTGATTCTTCTTGAATCACCATAGCAAAAACACGATTGATGGTGGGAAGAGGATTGCTGTTAAGAATTTGAGTAATAAGAGTACCATATATATGATGATCAAGATCGATAAGGAATTGATAGACTCGATCATTCTCGAGTTCAGCAGCGACAGATTTTGTGAAGGCACACGTATCACCAGATGCACAGGAAGTAAACGTGCGGCTAGATTCTAGTTTATCCCAAATCGAGCGAAGCTTGGTGTAGTAATCAGTAACAGGGGCATCATTTTGCTTCATGGTGGCGAGAGAAGATTTGAGATGAAAAATACGAGGAATGTTTGCAACGGCAAAACGTTCCTTTAGATCGTCCCATAGACTCTTCGCAGAGTCGAAACATTTGATGAATGGCTGCATCTGAGGATCTATGGTATTGTGAATCCAGCTATTAACCATGGACTTGCACAAGGACCAAGCATGGGCTTCATCAGAGGATGTATCAGAGGATGTATCAGAGGGTTGCTTAACGCTATTATCAACAAAGCCAAGCTTATTTTTGGCTTTCAAGGCGTTGCTCATGAGTTTGGACCAGTTTTCATAATTGGATTGGCCACGTAGAAGGACAGTAGTGAGGATAACCCCAGGGTGATCAGAGGGATGAAGGTAAAATGGGGATTTTGGGTCGGTGATTTTAAGGGTGGCAGCCATAGTGTTGTGGTGAAAAAAAACTGACTTTAGAATCGTCAGGCTCTTGATACCATAAAGGAAGTTGTTATCGAATGAACAACTTGCTTTTCTATTCATGTATTGGTCAATTAAATACACCTATATCAGCAACAAACTACAATACAGATGCGCAGGAAACTACTCCTAAGATAAAGGAAGGTCTGCAACTAAAATACAAACATAGAATAAACCAAGTAACAAACTAACAAACCAAGTAACAAACTAACAAGTTAATCCTATCATAATAGACTTTCTAAAAGAATAAAATGTAGTTTTCAAGTTTACTGACTTTTGATTGATATCTAACAAAGTATTTCAGAAAAATCATTTCTCCCATTTTCGGTTTTCCTATCTTACGAAGTGAAAGTGAATACACTATATTCATAAAACTGAGAATGAAAAATCTAACAAGTTACAAGTGAAGTCATGTACTTATACTACTGACTAAATCCAAGAAAGAGCCCAGGTCTAAACCCTAAAGATAATTCTACGTGGCACTAAAGAGAAATTGATTACCACTAAGAAAATAGAAAATCAGCTCAGATAATACACGTGGTAATACAACTGAAATAAAGACCCCTAACACCCCACTTAAGTTGGGATGTGAATATTAATAAGACCCAACTTGGATATGAATTCTCGAAAAGGAGCAGGATGCAGCCCTTTGGTGAACACATCTACGAGTTGTTGGGCTGAAGAAACAGGTAACAGATGAAGTAACCTTTTTACAATCTTCTCATAGGTGACATGGCAGTCAAGCTCAATATGCTTGCTGCGCTCATGAAAGGAGGGATTGTGTGCTAGGTGAATAGTCATCTGGTTATCGCAGTACACCATAGCTGGACTTGATACCACAATGTGAAAATCATGAAGAAGGAAAGTGAGCCACTGAATCTCACAAGTGAGTGTGGCTAGTGCGCGGTATTCTGCCTCAGCTGAGGATCGACTTACAGTACTCTGCTTCTTTGATTTCCATGAGATCAATGAAGATCCCAAGAAGACACAAAGTCCAGTGGTCGAACGCCGTGTGTCGAGGCATGTTGCCAATTAGCATCGGCAAAATCAAATAACATAAGTGCACTGGTGGAAGAATACAAAAGACCCTTTGCAGGAGAGCCCTTAAGGTATCTTAATACACAGCAAGCTGCTTCATAATGGATCTTTATGGGATTGGCAACAAACTGACTCAGTTGCTGGACAACAAAAGAGATGTCGGGTCTAGTATTTGTCAAATAGAGGAAACGTCCCACAAGACGGTGGTACGCAACAGGATCTGAGTACGGATCTCCTTGATTTTGGGCTAAGCGAAGAGTGGCCTCAATAGGAGCAGAGGCTGGTTTGACAAAATGAGGAACAAGCTCGAGAGCACTTGTCATAAGAAACAACATAAGAAAGTGGATACAAAGTGTTAGCAGCTGATATATTACAATTAAAATCATTTAAGTGTTTTGGACGTGACCTCATTCTGGATGGTCATCTTTGCGCAATAGGTGGAGAAGGATTATTGAGTGGAGCAATTGAGTTGCTATTTGGCTGAGACAATGTGATAGTGGCTAAGAAGGATGATCAGTCAAGCTATTTGAAGGTGTTGCTTGCTGATATTGTTCAAGTGTTTCATATGAGACAGAAGAATCAACAATGAAAGGCCAAGTATGTTCATATGTCTCCAATTGCAAGTCAGAGAAAGGAAAGCGATGTTCATAAAAGATCACATTTTGTGATAAGAAAACCTCTTTGGATATCAAATAAAAAAAGACATATCCCTTTACTCCATCTTTGTGCTCAAGATAGACACACTTACTAGCTCGAGGGTTAAACTTTGAAAGTCCAGCCATGATGGTAGAAGCATACACAAGGAAACCAAATCTTCTCAGGGTAATAAGAACAAGTGGTCTATTATATAGAATTTCAAATGGGGACTTGTTGTGTAGCGATGGGGAACTCAATTTGTTGATCGGATGGATAGCATAAGAAATGCAACAACACCACGGATTATTTGGAAGCTTACTTTGGAAGAGAAGTGCTCTGGCTATGTTGGTGTTTCCTCTCCACGGTTCCATTTTGTTGAGGACACTCAGTATAGCTAGTTTGATGGAGCATCCCCTACTGGATAAAAAAACTCACGCATCATGAACTCTTGCCCATTATCCTTACGAAATGCCTTGACAGTTGTTCCAAACTTATTCTCATTGAGAACTACAAAAGTACGATTGTGATTACGAGTTTTTGATTTTAGTTTCATAAGAATTTACCAAGTGTATCGTGTGTGATCATCAACAATTGTTAGCATATAACAGTGCCTATGGATAGAAGGTACCGCGTAAGGTCCCCATATATGAATGTGGACTAAATCAAAAGCTACATTAAAAATAGTAGAGCTAAGGCTAAAAGGAAGTTTCCTTTGCTTAGCTAGATGACACACGTCACAAGGATCATCTATGTTATTACAAGAAATAAAAGGAAAATGTTTCATCATTGACGTTATTACAGTCTTTGAACAATGGTCTAATCTTATATGCCATATGTCAACAATAATTGTTTGTTATGTGAATCTTCTATTGTATCCTTCTGCATGAATGTAGTGCTTATTCTCAAGATCACATTGTCCAGCAAGAATATACAACCCTTTATGCAATCTAGTCGAACTAATCGTCTCCTTGGTAGAAATTTGCTGAATAGTGCACTTCTGGGACTGAAAATCCACATGACAGATGGACTCACACACTAGTCTATTGACTAAAATTAGGTTCACCCTAAACTCCTTAACAAATAACACATTTGTCAATTTAAGTGAGTTTGATAACATAACAGTTCCAGAAAATAAATAAGTCGCCTAATATCCAATAGGTAATGAAATAATAATAGGCTTGATCTTTTGAATAGAGGAAAGATTTTCAAGAGAATGTGTAATGTGATCAATGGCTCCAGTGTCCAAGATCCACTTATTTTCATAATTACCTGAAGATGATTCTTTTGCTTCTGCATTAAGAGCCTTTGATTGCACCATATTGCTGGAATGAGATGAGTTTTGTTGCATTGATTGGTGGAATAATTCTAGTATGGTATGGTACTGATGTTTTGTGAAATTATCCTTCAAATCATTCACCATAACATTGTTTCCAAGATATATAGAAAATGAATCAGAAACCTGTTCCTGAGAGGCAGCTGCATTAGCTCAATGCATGGGACTCCTCTGCTTGTATCCAGGAGGATATTTGTGTTTCTCATAACATGTCTCAACCATATGGATAGTCTTCCCACAATATGTGCATAGCCTAAAGTTATTTGACATTCCTCGCCCACCATTAAAATTGCATCCTCTTCTTTGAGTAGAGGAATGTCCTCTGCTTTGTATTTGTTCTGCCGAGTTGTAGAAGATCTTGGTGGCATCATGACTGGGAATGCCTCCTTCCTAATGAAGCTGCCTTTCTTGTTGCACAACAAGAGAAAAATCTCGATTGATGGACGACAAAGGGCCCATTAACATAATTTGCGATCTTACATGTGAGAATTGTTCATTAAGTCCTTTAAGAAATCTTATGGAATAGTCTGTGTCACGCATTTTTTCACCTCAGAGGAAATGTTACAACAAGGATGCACATATTTGCAGGTTGGAGTTGGTTGTAGTGCTTCCAACTTATCCCATAGAATTTTAAGCTGCGTGTAATAGTTTGAAAACATGCAATCTCCTTTATGTATACGATGAATATCGTCTTGTAGATTTGAGATTTTGAACACATCAGATTGTGAAAACCTCTCCTTTAGATCATTCCAAACATTGCAAGCGCGATCCATCCGTAAGATTGATTGAGATATCGATTCTTTTATTGAACGATGCAACCATGATAGCACCATGGTATTGCATTGTTCCCATGCTCTATAACGTGAATCTGAAACATCTGGAATCGTGATAGTTCCATTTACAAAGGACAACTTATTTTTCGACCATAAAGCCATCCTCATAGCTTTGGCCCAACCATGGTAATTCTTACCATTCATTAGAGAAGAAACCAGCACCAAAGACATATTTTCATTAGGATGAAGGAAGTGTGGACTTCCTGGATCAGATGCATCGAACACATTATTATAATTTGAGGAATTACCTCTATTTGCAGAATGATTAGTGACTGGTATTGGCTCAGTCACATGTTCTTGAACCGAAGCAGAACTCTAATTCACCATTTTCAATGAATTCAAGAAATATAGCTATAGAAATGAACATCAGAATTTCAAGAATTCAAGCAAGAAGTGTCAAGAAAGAAACGATGAATATCAGAGCTCCGCGAAGAGCTCTGATACCATCTTACGAAGCGAAAGTGAATACACTATATTCATAAAACTGAGAATGAAAAATCTAATAAGTTACAAGTGAAGTCATGTACTTATAATACTTACTAAACCCAAGAAGGAGTTAAGATATAAACCCTAAAGGTAATCCTACGTGGCACTGAGATTTCTAATTATCTAACAGAAATAGAAACTGATTAACCACTTAGAAAATAGAAAACCAGCTAAGATAATATACATGGCGATACAACTGAAATGTACAACTGAAATGAAGACCCCTAACATCTTATTAAATTCCACTATCATTTGCTTAGTCTTTGAGAAAATGATAAAGAATGGGGAGTGGATGGTGTGTTACCTTTATTTTTTCCTCCCTGTATAAGAAAAAACTGAGCCTTACATTACATTTCTAATTGTGTGATTTTTTTTAATACAATGGTGACATTTAGATTTGAACCAATCAAATCATATAAATTACTCAAATCTCTTACCATTAAATTAATACAAATGGCTTAATTGTGCGATATTATAAAATATAGATATACGAGATATTTATGATAAATGCTTCTATGAGATATAAAGGCCGCTCATGCAGCAATTGAACTAAGCAGTACATAGTAGAATATTGATATGCTTCTATCATTCAATGGGTATGGGCCTGCCGTGAAACTTCCTCTTTTAAATTATTCAGCGTCATTAATAATAACTAACAACTTAGGAATTCATGTCCGTAATTGAAGTCCTAGATGTAGATGTACGTACATTTCCAAAAGAAACATTGGTAGTGTCTCTCTTGAATCTTGTCCTTAATAATTGCAAGCGTCTCTGATATTTTTTAAGTTGGTTGTTCCTGTCGGAATTCAATGATATAATAATATATGGAGTGTCTAATTTTGTTTAATATAACGTTTCGTAGCAAATTTTAACGAAATCACCCCATAATACAAGCTGATCTCGTCGACTGGAGCGGCTTATGTACCTTGTGCACATTGCATAACTTGGTAGATAGAAAATTTCAAGTTCAGTAGAGTCGTGCGGAATTTGCCTTCGATTTATTTTCTAAATAATCAAAAGTTAAAATGAATCTTTATTTCTTTTGTCTTTGAAGAGCGCAAGGTAAACCACTTTTATGATTACTTTTATTCTACGAGTTTATTGGCTAAAGTACCATTTTAAAATTTTTAGGTAAAAGAATTATTTTGTTAAAGTTGATTGGATAAGTTTTTCAAAATAATGCAATCAAACATGTCACATATGCTGACGGGACTAGTCCGGTCAACGATACTAACGGGACTCGTGTCACGTCAGCACCGCGTAGACAATCCCGTTATCGTAAAACTTTGAAAGGCCATAACCTGTGGCTCGGATATCCAAATCATATAATTTTTTTTATTTCACATAACTTTTCGAGATCTATGCATTGACACCTCATTTGACATATTTTATCACTCACAAACATAGTTTGAAGATCTTATGGATTTAAATGCTCTTGTGATTGTGGTACAATTGTTACAAATTCAAACTATGTTTGTGGGAGATAAAATGTGTCAAATGAGGTGTCATTGCGTAGATCTAGAAAAGTGTAAAATAAAAAAAATCATCTGATTTGTATACCCAAGTCACAAGTTATGACCTTTCGAAGTTTTACGATAATAGGTGCCTACGTGGCGCTGACGTGGCACGAGTCCCGTCAGTATCATTGACGAGACTAGTCCCGTCAGCATATGTGACATGTTTGATTGCATTACTTTAAAAAAATTTATCCAATCAACTTTAAATGGACAATTCTTTTGCCCAAAAATTTAAAAAATGTGCTTTTCCCGAGTTTATTAGATATTTAGTAATTTGACAATGTTAACTGCAGTTACTAATCTAGACAGGGATTTTCTTTCTTAAACTCCTAGGGGGCGTTTGGTACCCGTCATTTTGTAGGATTTCCGAGAAATTAAATTTTTTTAAAGTTTTAAATATTATCGTAAATTGAATATAAAAATTATATTTTGAAAATCGAGATTCTCGGATAAAAAAAATTTCTCCTCTATCAAACGTCCCTAAGTAATTCAACTGGTTTATATTTGAAGGAAAAATATTCGAATGAAGAAATACATAAATTCATGATGGAAAATAATTGAAATAATTCTATGGAAACATTGAATAATGCTAAGAATCACTTCAACCCAAAATTTTAAGGTGACAATGATGATCTTTTTCATACTTTATATTTTATTCTCTAACATACCCCTCACGCAAGAGTCCTTTGAACTTAAAACGTGAATATGACACAAGTCTAATTTTGATTTGTTTTGTGCTGACCCATTTTTTAGTCTGATTAGTGCTTTTTTTAATTCCACCAGAAAATAATTTTTTTTTTTTTTTTTATAAACAAGTCACATTTCGATAATTATATTTATAATTATCGTTGTGAGGCTGATATATTTAAATACATATTTAAACTAAAGTTCGGCGCTCGGCCCGTCATTACAACTAAGTAAAAGAGTGTCGTATAACATATTCGTACCTCCTGCTCCTTCTTCTTCTTCCCTCGTCTGAAGTCTGAAAGTGCAGATGTTACAAAACCCTAAAAAACACACCCAGAAACATCGGAAGGAAAAGGGTAAATGATGAACACAAGCAACAACGAAGTGGTTCTGAATAGCATAATCTCAACCCTAAGGAGCAATGAGAACCCATTACAGAGACTGCAACCCTTGATTCCCCACTTGACCCTACCACTCATAATCTCAATCCTCTCCTCGAAGCACCTCCACGCTCACCCAACCACCCTCCTTTCCTTCTTCAAATGGTTCCAAACCAACGCACCTTCCCCTCTCTCCTCCTCCCCAGAACCCCTTCTCACCCTCCTCCATCCCCTCCTCTCGCGCCACAAGTTCTCCGACGCCAAGTCCCTCCTCCGTAACTTCATCTCCTCCGATCGCCGCCACGCCCTCCACTCCCTCCTCCTCCACCCCAATCGAAGCCTGCCCACCATCTCAAAATCTCTTCTTGACACCTCCATTGGTGCCTACGTCCAAGCCGGTCAACCCCACCTTGCTTTTCAGATCTTCAAGAAGATGAAGCGCCTCCATTTACGACCCAATTTGCTCACTTGCAACACACTCCTCAATGCCCTGGTTAGGTCCTCTTCCTCCCACTCTATTCTCTTGTCTAGGCAAGTTTTTAAGGATGCTCTTCAGCTTGGTGTCAATCCTAACACCAACACCTTTAACATATTGATATATGGGTATTGCACTGATAATAAGTTCAATGAAGCTGTTGAGTTGATGAATCGAATGGGTGAGTTTAGGTGTTTCCCTGATAATGTCACTTATAACACCGTGTTGGATGCGCTATGTAAGAGAAGTCAGTTGACCAAGGTGCGTGATATGTTGCTCGAAATGAAGAATAGCGGGTTGATTCCGAATAAGAACACATATAATATCTTGGTTCATGGGTATTGTAGGTTGAAATGGTTGAAGGAAGCTGCCGAGGTTATTGAGTTGATGACGCGGAATGATATGTTGCCGGATATTTGGACTTATAATACAATGATTAGGGGTTTGTGTGATGAAGGGAAGATTGATGAGGCGATTAAGCTTAGAGATGAGATGGAGAATTTGAAATTGATTCCGGATGTTGTTACTTATAATACTTTGATTGATGGATGTTTTGAGCATCGGGGCAGTACGGAGGCATTTGAGTTAGTTGAGGAAATGAAGGTAAAGGGAGTCAAGCCAAATGCAGTGACTCACAATATAATGGTTAAGTGGTTCTGTAAGGAAAGTAAGATCGATGAAGCAAGCAATATCATAGTGAAGATGGTGGAAAGTGGGTTTTCTCCTGACTGTTTTACTTATAATACTATGATTAACGGTTATTGTAAAGCGGGAAAGTTGGGAGAAGCATTTAGGATGATGGATGAAATGGGAAGGAAAGGATTGAAAACAGATATTTTTACTCTTAACACCATAATACACACTTTGTGCTTGGAGAAGAAGCTTGAAGAGGCGTACGGGTTAGCTGTAAAGGCCGGGAAGCGAGGTTATATTCTTGACGAGGTAACCTATGGAACTCTAATCATGGGATACTTTAAGGATGAACAAGAAAATAAAGCTTTGAAGCTTTGGCATGAGATGAAGGAGAAGGGGATTGTTCCTAGTGTTGTTACTTATAGCACTGTAATCAGAGGGCTATGCCTGTCTGGAAAAACTGGTCAAGCCATAGATAAATTGAATGAGCTTTTAGAGAAGGGTTTAGTCCCCGATGAAGCTACATATAACATAATTATTCATGGTTACTGCTGGGAGGGAATGGTAGAGAAAGCATTTCAGTTCCATAACAAAATGGTAGAGAACTCATTCAAACCAGATATCTTTACATGTAACATTCTTCTTCGAGGACTTTGCAGAGAGGGCATGTTGGAGAAGGCTCTTAAACTTTTTAACACATGGATATCTAAAGGGAAGCCCATTGACGTAGTTACATACAACACATTGATATCCTCCCTTTGCAAAGAAGGGAGACTTGAGGATGCGTTTGATCTTATGACTGAAATGGAGGCTAAAAAATTGGGGCATGACCGGTATACTTATAATGCCATCATTAGTGCACTTACTCATGCTGGTAGAGCTGAGGAAGCAGAGAAGTTGAGGTCAAAACTTGTAGAGACAGGGCAAGATGTGAAAACTCATGACACTTCCCAAGAGCTTGGTTCAGGTGATATGATGTACTCAGAGCAAATAAGTAATTTGTGTACTCAAGGGAAGTACAAGGAGGCAATGAAACTATTTCAAGAGACGGAGCAGAAAGGAGTTAGTTTAAATAAATATACATATATCAAGCTAATGGATGGGCTCTTGAAGAGGCGAAAAAGCATATCGAAGGTTGCTTGATCAGACTGACACAATAAGTTGGCTAGGTATTTATTTTGGCATTTGGATTTATGATGCCCATAATGCTGAATCATGCTGTAGAGGTGGTGTTGTGATGGCATTTAATGATTTTATGTAAGTATCTTTTTTCCTGTATAATAAATAGTTAATCTTCTTTAGCTTTTGTGACTATTTAGCCCACATATTTCATGTCGTTTTTGCCTAACTGTTCATGTCTTTCGGGGAACCTTTAAATGGGATCTGTAGTTCGAGTTTAAAGGAACTTATCCATTTCTTGGAGAGATGATTATGCGTTATAATGTGGGGGAACACGGAATTGCTTGCTGTGAGTTGCTTTCTTCTTCGTGTCGATGAGTTGTGAGAGGGTCAAATAGAAAAGTATTCTATTTATTTCAATGTAGGTCACTTCTTTTCCTCTCTGCAGAAGAGGAGAGAAAGGTACTTATTTGTTGCTTATGATACTATATATTCTTTTGTTGGATGGTTGGCACATATTAGAAATGTGGACTTGGTTGTCTGGTGTTATTTTTTCTCTTTCTTCTATTGTAAAATGTGCTACTTCTTTTCCTTGGTTCCATATCAGTCTTAGATTGATGTGCTATTGTTAGTGGATTATGACAATCAAATGTATTTTTCTATTCAAATTATGGATACTGATGTATGAATATTATTTAAAAAGGATAAAAATATGGACTATTATTTCCCATCTAAGTACTTGAACACAAGCTGTAAATATTTGTACATAGCTCCTATTAATGTTCGATTCATTGTCCTCTCATTGACCCTTAACGAGTGTGCTTCTGTCTCCTATTACTGCCCATATAGGAACTAATTATGTATAGAAACTTGTCTTCATTCATGTTATGGTGGGCTATTATGTATACTATCCCTTGGCGTCTTTGTTTGGAGCAGGCATTTTCATGGTCTTTCTTTAGTGTTCAACACATAGGTTTTCCCCCCGGATAAAGTCCACAGGGTAGGCATATAGAGGGATTGGAGAACTATCTTGTTTTAATGACTTTGTTTTCATTTTGCTCTTCAAGAACCATTGTTAGTCTGTATTGATGTTAACTTTTGAAAGAATGGAGAACCATCTTTCCCAATAACCATCCTTTTGTTTTAACAATATCAACAACAATACTTCTTATCTATTCTTAGTTTAAATTTTTTCTTAATCAACGACAACTTCTGTGCTTGTTATGATTGAAATGATGTAATACTAACTACCTTTTAAGATTCCAAATGCAAGCACTTTATGACAATTCTTTTCTCTTTTCTTGGACCGCAACTTTTCCCTTTCTTATATTGAATTCTTGTCATTCCCCTCCCTTTTCTCTTTTTTTCCCCTTAATTTGTTTGTTGCTTTCCTCATTCGTTTAGCATATTATTCATTGTTTTGGTATCTTAAAGTAGTTTTTAACACTTGTAGTATGACCCACTACATAAACAACGTACCAGAAGAAGACAAACTTGTTGATGTGGAAGAGCAAGAAGAAAGTGATGCCGAGGCGAAATCTGAACAAGGAGAAGATGGAAGTTCAAGACATGATGACTTTGACAGTGCAGAAGATAGTATATATAAACCACCCCCAAATGGCGACATTGACACAGTAGAGGCTTGATGTCATGGTAGGAATAAAGGTAAAGAGCTTGCATGTGAGATTTTGAGGTGCCTCCTAGTACACCTAAAACGTTCCATAATAAAGCAAACAAAACAACAATTGGTATCAATCCAGAAAAAAGAATAGAAGAGAGCACACATCAAGGCCAGTCAGACCTACTAGACCTGAAGGTGGTGTTAACCCATTGGGGGATGAATACGAGTAAGTTTGTCAGCCTAGTTGACTTTGATGAGGAGGATACTGCTACGACTGAGAAATACCCTCAGTTTAAGGATGAATATAAGTATGGGGATGTTGTTATTGACTTCGAGATGGAGTGCAACAGTTTAGGGGTGTTTAAAAGTGCCGTGAAGGACTGCAAATGGCAAATATATTTGGTGAAAAAAGGGTAATGGTCAGAGCAAGATACATTCTCGCCTGTGCAGCTATCATTATTCATCTGTTCTCAGTTAAAAGGATTTTTTGGGAGAGGTTTACTCACTTAATGTGATCTTCCGCCTCGAAAGGATTAGTCTTCAGCTGGAAGATACCTATGGAAACAAAAATAAATAAAAATTGCTTTACTCGTTAAAATTCCATGTATAAACTTTGAGCTCCATTGCAAATTTAACTGATCCAACCAGCTTCTCAGGTTATAAAGCAGATGTTAAAATGGGAAATCTGGCTCCCAAAACAGAGTTTGATATTTCCTCAACCTTTTATGGGTGAGAAATAATTGTAGAATTTTCTTTCATTAAATGATGATTTTAAGGCTTAGATTTGCCACGTGGGGGGAAGACACTCCTTGTCTGGTTTAAAGCAAACTAAAATGCAAATGAAGAATGTATTAGCTCGCATGACTCTGAAATATGCATTGATTAATTCAAGTGTTCTTGTCTTCTTGATATTCATCAGGGTATTACCATAAAGAAGAATAAGAATATGTTCCTTTTTTCCTGTGCACATAGTCTTCATTTCAAATTTCCAATTCCCAAATGGACACCGCCACTTGAACTGTCTTCATTTTTGGCCTTTGTTGGCTTCCACAACTGTATTCTTGGGTGCAATAATAGCCTTTGGAGGCGTTTCCAAATTATCAACTGAAGTTCATGGTGAAAAGAGTTGGAGAAGGGCTCTTGGATTACATAGCAGGCATGCCAGAACATACTGAGGAGGCTCAAAACTTCTAAAGTGCAAGAAGGGTGTTCAAGTTTAACACTTAGTATAAATAGAGGAAAACCCTTTCATGTCCAAAACAATGATCAATAATATCTTGTTCTCTGTATCCATTTCATTCTCAAATGACAGTTGTATCAATTCAATGAGTATAATGAATGTCACAGCAATATGAACGAAAACAAAAACATAAAATTCTGGAATCGGTAAGTGTAAAAATTTCTATGAAAAAAAACATAGCTTCTTGTCCCCTTGCTTTGTATATATACTATTCTCAAACATCCATCTCAATTAAATGGTAAGTGAAGCCCATCAATGATTTCGTAAGTCTTAACCAAAATATCTGGTTGAGAGACAAGAGGATAATATTTCTGTAAGAAGAAATTTTAAGCTAGAATGGATAATGTAATTCATAAGACATGGACTTTTTGTCTTATGAGCAGCTGATGCATGACAAACTAAAAAAGTAGCTTGTATTTCTCATCCAATATAAAGGGTACTTAACCCGTATATAACAATTTTTTTTTGGTGGAAGCAATTATAATTTTTCTTTATGTGTTAGGACTTAAGGGAGAATAATTACACTTTATATTAAAATGAGATGATAATATATTTACATCTTTAATTTGCATATAAGGAGAAAACAATTGTGTATCTCTCTAAATAAAGATAAAACAATTATATTCTAGCTTGGGATAAGACAATATATTCTTTGTGCAAAATGGTAATAACACTATCTCTCTATACTCTGTCTTCATGTAAGAGAATAAACCTCTATATTGAGATAGTCCATGCTCGAAAGCTCCATCCTTTGAATAAAATAAAATAATTTTAATGCCTCAAACGACTTTGTCCCACTTGAATTATGATTTTGTCAAACTAGGTAGATTTATTTTTGGTTCAACAGGAGGCTTAATAGGTTGGGCCAATATAAACCTGGCCCAAGATAAGCCAGCGAGGTTTTTGAGTCAATAAAATTTAAAAAGTCATAGAGGTGAATGTTATGAAAAGAAAATGTCCAAAAACCATTTTAGAAAATTATTATCTTGTATATTAATTTGATTATAAAGAGATTAAAATTTAATTCGATTTTGAATATATATCCCATAAATTATAAATATTTTTTTAAAAAATACCATTGATATTAATTAATTGAATTATTCACTCCGTTCTTCTTCTGTCTGGCGATTTTTATAACAGCGGTGGCACTTCTCTCTTTGGGCCTGGGCTCGTGTTTGTTTAACAAGACGGAGACGGAAGGAAGTTTAGTACAGGCCCAAATAAAATTGCAGTATTACCCTCAACTCTTAGCGGATTTTGAACGCGCGCCTCTTGTTCGTATTTTCTTTCAGTTCCAAACCCAGGCATGGCGATGGCGGGTACTCACACTCCACAATCTGCTTGGATTCTTCGCGTCTTCTTTCTTTGGACTTCTTCTGTTCTGGTATTCGCCAATGAACGTTCCTTATGTATGCATTCTTCTCCCTTTCTTCTCCATTTTTTTTTTTTGATTCAAATATAGGGTTTGGTTACACTTTTACTTGTTTCTATTTCGCGATAGTTTGGCTCTCGAGATAGTTTAGTTGAAGATATTGAATTACAATTCTATTAATATTCCTTTCAATATTAATATTCTGTACAAATTGTTTCTTCAAGTATGGATTATGGTTGATAGTATGAGATTGTGGTTTGTATATTGTTGGAATGTTGGGCTGCGGTTGTATACCCACTAAATCTGGTGTCATATGCATTTTGAAATTTCATTTATCCCTCTCCATATTTCTTTTGCAGTTCTCATACCAAATGCCACACTGCAGCTATCCCGTGGATTTCCTGTGGAAAATTCTCCTGGTTCTAAGCCTGGGGCTACTGTGGTTGTCGAAAGAGTTCATATACATGGACTGTCCAGGTTTAGAAACCTGGGGAAATTTGCCCACTCCATGAAAGTGAATGTGTTACCTGTAAATTCAGATGTTCGCTTGCCGAACATAGAGGTTTGTTTCCATAGGTGAGTGTCTACCATCAACGCATCTTATTGTGTATTTAATTAGTATCTCTTTTATTGTTTAGATTGGTTCTCGTAATTGTATTGATGAGTGAACACGTTGAACATTAATTTTAGGTAGGAACATTGCTTTTATACCCCAAGTCTGAATTTGTTTATGCAAGGGCTATCACTTTGCTTTATGACTGATTGTCCTGTGTCAAACTAGAATTCAAATAATAATCAATATAATCGATTCAGACATTTCTGTGTGTCTTGTTCAGGAATGCATCTCTTGCAGTGGGGATGTGCCCACAAGGCCAGTGGGAGAAAGTTGTTAAGAGTTCCTGGGCACGATCAATGTCTCCTTTTGATCACAAGCTCTTAGACATAAGGACTGCTGGTTCATCACTGGAAAATTTTGAGGTGTCCATTAAAGAAGGTGAATGCTCTTAGTTTTATTTATCATTGATGAGTTAAAATTTCTTGAAGTGATATTGATGCCTCTTTAAGAACAGTGACATCCAGCACTAATATAATTTTTTCCCCCTCATTTGCAGAATTTTTTGTATATCGTATTGTATTGTTAATATCGGGTATTATTCTGATGAGCCTGGCATCTTTTTTAAGCAAATCATTAGTATTTTATTATAGCAGCGCGATGGCAATTGGGATAATTCTTGTCATATTGATTATTCTTTATCAGGTAACTTATTTCTGCTTCTCAATTTTGAAGTTTGAAATGTTTAATATTCAATCTTGTTTGCTTTGTATGATGAATCTTTTTGTTGACCAGTGAACCAATCCTTCAACTTCAATTCTTTCTCTCAAGAAAACTATTCGTATGCCTTGTTTGTACATTATCTTATCTAAATACAGATTTTTGTTTTTGTTCGTCGTAGATGATCTCTGTGGTCATGGCAACATAGACATTGTTGATTGCTGGAATTGCGTTGCCTAATTCATTAGCTTTTGTTTTATTTTATTTTGTAATTTTAATCAATCCAGGCAGTTTGGGAGGGAAATTTGTTGAATATCAAGTAAGTGAGAAGACTAGAACAACTAATAAGTTTTATACCTATCTGAATTCAAATTTATAATGTGGTTGCTGGATTTTGAGGTCAAAACTCCATTTCTCTCCATAATTAATACTTTGATGCCACACTTGCAAATTTTTATGAGATTTATCTGGTTTGCAAATCCAATTCTGATATTTGATTGTGAAGAAAGTTTCTTGTTGACCTTAACATGGAATTGGCCTCTTCTAATTGACAGGGAATGAAACTTCTTCCAACTGGTCGGAAGAGTTCCCTTGCTATATTTTTATATTCATCTGCTGTAAGTGTAACCTCAGTGCTGTTCTCTTCTATCTTATCTACTACCTTATAATCAATGTGGATCTTATAATTTCAACCATTGTTTTAATCAGGTTGGTTTTGGGACTTTTCTACTTCGCTACGTTCCTGACTTAGTTTGTTCAGTACTTACAGAGTTAGGAATTGATGAAGACATGTATAATCCTGTATGTAAGTCTCCTCTTTGCTTTCTGCTAATTTGCTTTGACATGTGCTTCTGATTAAAAAATAATTTCACTTTATTTGTATGTATTCTGAGATATGGTTGTGTTGATTGGTGTTAGAGAATAATATAAACCATTAAAAAGGCCCTCACTCAACACCTTAAGGTTTTGGGTTGAAGTGGTTCTTTACATGGTATCAGAGCTTCAGTGACCAGAAGGTCACGAGTTCGATCATCACCGCCCCTAACATGTGGAATTAAATAAGCATAAAGTAAACCAGGAAAAAAAAAATTTGAGCCTATGTAATATCCACGCTTCAAGCCCAAAGGGCTCTTGTGTGAGGGGTTTGTTAGAGAATAATATAAACCATTAAAAAGGCCCTCATCCAACACCTTAAGATTTTTGGTTGAAGTGGTTCTTTACAGGCTCACTTCATTTGTCTGTAAATTTGAACAATTAACTATCCAAGAGTGGATGGCCTAATAAAAGTCCCTAAAAATAACTTATGCAGGGTTTCCATTTTCTGCATTTTTGTTACTTCATCTACAAAAGAAAAGCTATTGAAGAATGAAAGCCTTAAGTTCTCATAGCCGGTTCCAAGCATGGGGTATGGAGGAGGGTTGGCATTTGTTTGACAGCCAGCTGTAAGATCATGTCACCATATTACGCCATGAATTATAGATGAATTAATCTCGCTAATAGCCTAATACTAGGGTGTTCCTTGGAATGGATGTATTAAATTTCTGCTGTGCAAAGTAAACAAGGTTTGCTGTGTTGGATGTCTCTGAGAAGAGGCATGTAGCTAGGCAGCATGGATCTCAAAGGAGGAGGGTTAGGAGGAGTCAGATACCTAGGAATGCTAAGATCAGTGTTAGGAACTTGGAAAGACTATGTGTCAGTACCCATTTTTGTCCAGGCCCTTAAAAGTTTTTCAAAAAGAAAAAGAAAATAACCCAAGATTGAAATAAAAAAGAATAAGAAAAGAAAGCAAAGAAAAACATCTAACATTAGGAAAATCACGTTCTTTCTCCCCCCCTCTCTCTTATATAAAGAACTGATCTTCAAATCCTAAGTAAGGTGAAAAATATTAAAACAACTTGGGTTTTGCATACTATTTTTTTTAAAAAACTTTTTGGGGTTTTCAACTTTCCCCCCACAAAAATTAGATAGATGCCTCCATTGTGATTCCAGCCATGACACTATGGATAATGGATACAATAATTACAAGAAGGGTAAACATATTATGACTGCAAAGTGAGTTTGGATAGATTTGAATCAAATTTGATTTTCAAACATCAGATAGTTAATATGGCTCTCAATTTGCGATATTCAGCGTTCAAGCAGCTTTAATATAGTGAACTTTTTTCTTTCTTGCAGTCACCCATTAAATTGTCATTGCTTTCCTGTTTTCTACAGGATGCATTGCTTATTATTTTTGCCTTTTCTTATTTATCTTGTTTTGTTTTCCATGTACTAATATCTGAGAGGGTCTTTGAATGCTTAACTCATTAAATGCCAACTGCAGTTGGCAATATTTCTGGTGACTTTTGTTGCAATAGCCGGAGCGTGGTTGGGATTCTGGGTGGTCCGCAAGCTTGTCCTGACTGAAGATGGATCAGTGGACATAAGCACTGCTCAATTTGTTGCATGGGTCATAAGGATTTTGGCTGCCGTTATGATTCTTCAGGTATTTTGTTTTTGTTCTTTTCATTTTTGGTTTATCCCTACCTTCCTATTTTATGTTATGTTGATTGCAGTTTTGATATTAATATGGTATTTCCAGAGTTCTATGGATCCTCTGTTGGCAACATTGGGGTTATTATGTGGATCACTTCTGTCCTTGTTGAAGAGAATGCATAGATTGAGATTCCTTCGTCGATTGGGCAGGTTAGTCCACTTTCTTGAATTCTGGAGCTTACTTTGTTTCTGCCCCCGGGGAGGTCTTTATATTTTTAATGAAAAAACATGTTTGTTAATCTTCGGTAGAAAGTTGCAAATTCTGGTAATATAAAATATTTTTGTGGATTGTTTTGGGGATTTACATTTACCTGGTTTTGCCCTATAACCTATTAAACTATACGCCACTTTGTGATCATGAGGTTTTCCTTTTGTAATTATTGATTCAATGTGTCCTTTGATTTTCCGTATGCATTTATTGTGGAATAATTTTGCAGGAGTTTGTTTAAATCACCCAAGAAAAACAGGAGGAGATCCCGGGTTCCTGATTCATCATCACCTTTTGATGTTTCACATGATGAACATATTTACAACATCCGACATAAAGAGGACTCTCCTTTTCTTCGGCCAAAATTGGAAAGCTTCATCTTGGGCCCTTGCAAATCTTCTGAACAAGGTTTGCTCCACCGCTTATCCTTACTTTTCATAATAGAAATGTCGCCTCTTATCTATTTTCCTAATTGATTGGGGGAGAAAGGTAAGCATCGGGATAAGTGGTGCTTAACATGCTAAATTGACATCATCAGGTTTCACTAGGACTCCACCTAAAACACTGACAGAGGAGTTATACCCGTCCATCATTCACACGACCCCTGAGAGAAGAAAATATTCAGCTGCAGAATGGGATGCGTTCACAAAGGAGTCCACTGAAAAAGCCTTGGGAGAACTTGTTGCATCTCCTGATTTCAGTAAATGGCTGTCCACCAATGCAGATAGGATAAGTGTAACGCCCAACTCCAAAACTGATCGGCAGCACAGGTGGCAGTTGTGGTCTTGAGCCACGTTAGCGTTCTTCACAAAATCATGACAGGTTGATAGAAGTAGGTGAGATAACCATAGAGGGTTTCATGCCTGTAAGTCCAACGGCCGGTTCTCATATACAGAAAGTGAAAGAGAGAATGGCAATGTTGTATATTAGAGAAACTTAAATGGTGTAAATTTTTTGTGACAAGTTGTGTTTTCCACGGTGTAAGATATTCATTGTGTGCCGGTGGATTCACAGTTCTCGTCCACTGGGAAAGGTTCGGGGATATGTTTTCATTTGTATACGACCATCGATGACGAGAGGTGTTTTACATGGTTCATGTAGTCTCTAGACGTACTGTGTTTATGATGTCATGGTAAAGCAAATTATAAGATTTTGTTGGTGGTTGTAGAGTATTTTTTGGTCGAAGCATGTAATGCTTTAGGTTGTAAGCTTTTCAATCTTGAATCTGTTTTAATTTGGTGTTCGGATTATATATTGTTTTGTGCATTACTTACTGTATTTTATATATATACATAGTGAATGCAGATCAACTTAGTCCACCTACTGTTAAAGCCATAAACGTTTTTACACTGCAAACCGAGAATTCAGAATTCGAAGTTGCCAATTAAATTAGTAATACATGAGTTAATAAACTGGCCTTTTCTGTAAAATGTTCTAAAATTAGACTTAAGTGAGATGGAACAAAAGCCACTCTTGAAAATGAGAACGTATTTGAATGCCTAATGTTAACCTAATAAACTTATTTATTTGGTAAAATCAACGGCTAGTCCGTTGTTTTCTAATTCCTCTTTGGGCATATTAAGGTCTGGCTAAGAACTATTCATTATTGTCTTCCATGTGCTGGATCTTAAACAAAAAATTTTAGCCTGCGTTGATACGGTGAATCTTAGTTCCCAAACCAGAGTTGGAAAATTGCAAGTGTATAGTTCAACGAACCAGGCGTTATTACTCATTACAACTGACAGTTTCGTTACAGCGTTAAGTCCAAACCAGTAGTTCTAGAATAGAATCTAGATTAAAGTTGTTACAAGTAGAATATATGTGACACATATCACCATAATAATAGAGAGCATAATTGCCTTGTCTTCGTCAAGTTTTAGGATCTACGATGGAGAGCAATGACATCACTTCATGGCTCATTGGATATTTGAATTTTCGGAGACCAATAGGACGGTGGCAACATTTAGTAGGGTAGTAAAAAACTATAAAACAGACTAGATTAGACTTTAAAACAAATGCTTAATTATTTGAGGGAGAGATCATTTTGAATTAATCAAAATTTAATTAAATTAGTTAATTTATTTATTAGACCAAAGACCATCAGTATATTTTTAAAAAGAAAAAAAAGAAAGAAAATCGATATTTTTTATATTTTGTAAATGCTTTTCATAATATCATCTGATTCAATTTAAAAACGGGTTATGAACTAATCAAACCTGAATGGTCAGTCTCACCTGTTTAATTCGGGTGTAATCTTAACCACAATGACATTTAGCTTCTTTAATATATGCCCCATCGCTGAGGCGTTGATGCATTGTGCTATCATATCCCTAGTGGCCCTCCCTAACTTTAGGAAAGTTTACTTGACGTTCCTTGTTGATATTTCTATTTGATTCCCATGCTACAATAATGCTAAAAACATCAACATTCAACAGGCTGTTATGGCATGTCGTTTACCTTAACGGGTGGCTAACTGGAAGTTCAGACTAGGAGGCCAACTAGACCTAGTGCTCAAAACCGAAAGGTTCAGACATTGACTACTGAGAATTTAAGATGCACAAAAGAAAACGGGAGTCATCCTCCCCTATATTATTTAAAAAAAAAAAATTATCTGACCAAATAATGATAATTCAGTTATTGCTACGAGATTGAACAGGTGAGAGTGAGAATATGTGTTTTATCTTCATGTCCCGAATCGGATTAGTCGTGAAATAATGAACGGACTAGAATATAACCAAAAATAAATAAATAATAATATTATGTGAATAATATGAATAAATTAATCATTTTTTTTTGTCATTTTATAGTTTAAAATATTTTTCCTCTCTTCTATCATCACGTTAAGTTATCTACGAATAATTAAAATCTTCTCAGGAGAAAACAGATTCTCCTAGACTTTTTTTGTGTGACTTTTATAGCGGATTCCTTGATAAAATAACCATGTCCTTTGAATTTTTGTCTTTTATGTTTTATTTAATTCTTTGCACCAATTATGTGTTATTAGGGTTAGATTCATTGTCAACAAAAAACAAAATGTGGGACTCACATGTAAAAAAAAATAAAATCAACAGTGCGAATTTCTATAAATTTTCTCCTGCATACTGGAGATATTTTAGTCCATCTACTCTTTCAAACGGTGTATACTTCTTGCTTAATGCATATTATTTATAAAAAGAAAACTTGCATATTTCTCAAAATAGGTAACCATATCCATGGCCACCACCTGAACACACAGCCAACAATCCAGCGTTCTGTAAAAGCTTATGCTCATAATTCCTTACTTTTTAGGAATTAATTTGCAATATTACACTTCTTTAAAGTAACCATTTAAGGTTGCATTTCAATCCTTCACTGAGGACGGGTGCTTCCTTAAGTTTGGGGTTGCGTTTAAACGCTATTAAAACAGATTCTGCAAAATGGGAAAACAGGGGTTCTTCCTTCGCATATTAACTGTACGCAATTTCTTTATTCTTTGATACCACCCACTTTATAATTATTCACAAATATTGCTTTTACCTATTCAGCCAGTAACCGGTAACTCGTTCCTGTCAGTGATGCTTTTTTTTATGCAAATTCAAAGGCTATTGTTAAAACGACCTTTCAAGATTCCTGACATACAAAGTAAACATTACCCGTAGACATTAATTTTGGTGGAGTCCACCGCATGCTCAGATAAAATAGAACTACCTTATTATATATTATTAATAATATTATTATGATGTTATGTTTCGAGCCTCAGTATCTCTCACTCTATATCCAACGCTACCGTGTTGCCGCGTAATTTACGTTTGCTAGCGGCCATTTTTTATTTATTTTTTAAAATGAACACTCTAGCTAAAAATTTCGTTCTCTCGTAGTACCAAAAGGAAAATCTCTCTCTTGTTGAGTTAGGTTAGAAAAGAAAAAGAAAAAGGAGAACCATGAGTGCTAGTAGTTCGAAGCCACCGATGTCTCTGCGAAGCCAAGGAGAAACTTGGTTTTCACGTGGCCCCACTTGTTACCAATTCTTCAATTTTGGTTCAAGAGTGAGAATTGGAAGACTCAATTGCTGTGGTATTTCCATGTTAGAAAGAAGCAAAAAGGCAGAGTTTTTGGTGAGAGGGTGTGGGTGTGACCAAAGTAGTGGCGAGGACTGTGGTGAGATGGAGGAAGACCAAGATTTTGTGAAGGTTCTAAGAGAATCCCAGCCTTATATTTCTGTGCATAGGGAGAGAGTGTTTGTTGTGCTCATATCTGCAGAAATTGTTGCTAGTTCTTATTTGGATGTCATTCTCAAGGTACCCACCTCTCTCCCTCTCCTACGCACACATGTTTTTTTTTTTTTTTTTTTTTTTTTTCAAACTAGTTTAATTCGAGCACTCTCAAATTTTACAACTATTTTCTTTTATTTTCAGTGCTCGAACTCCAGATCTCAACTTAAAGAATACAAACTCCTTATCATTTGTGACAACTTTGTTCGATACACACACATATGTTTTTTTAGTATTGATCATTGCAAAAAATTTATTCTCCGAAACTATAACATATTAATTTTAATTTGTTAAAAATATTCACGTAATAACACCAAATGGGCTCCACCCCAATAAAATTAAAACCCTCACGGTGGTTATGGCAACGCTTGTTTACAGAAATTCATCTGCGACGAAGGCATGGTTCATGACATGATAGAGACAAATTCATCCGATTCTTCCACTTATTGCTAGTTTAGCTGCCCAAACCATAACTTGGATTCTAATATTTCAAAACTGTTACGGTTAACTGTCTTCCGATGTCTTAAAGTACTTTGCCACAACAGAGCTTTCGGTAGTGTTTGGTTCGGGAGAAAATTTGTTTTATTAAGAAAATGGTTGGAAAGTGAGTTTGGTATGAAAATGTAAAAAAAGTTGTTTGGTTGACCCAAATATTACCAGGGAAATTTATTTAAATATGCAAAATTTATGTTCGGGAGAAACTTTGCACCTGTTTTTGTTCACTTCTCCAGTTATCTCAAAATACCACATCTCAAGTAATATTCTGTAACAGTAAATTTCATCCAAAAATCAACACAAAAGTCATTTTTACATCTATTCTATTTGCCTGGTATTTTTTGAAAAAAACTGAACCAAACGTAATATTTTTCAATATTCACTTACACTTTCTCATCAATCCCAAAATAAACCTTTAACCAAACACTACTTTCGAGTTTTATTTGAAGAGTAAATACTTCTTTCGTTCCTAACAAAAAAAAATATGGTCTTCACATTAATCTCTTATAAAAGAAAATTAGTCTCAATGTTCTTAAGAAATTCAAAATGGATCTATTTTGATCCTTTTGAAAGATTAATGTGAGACTTTTTTAAATTTGTGAGAGACTACAATTTTAACTAAATGGATCTACTTTGAATTTCTTAGGGACCTCGAGAGTAATTTTTTTTATAAGGGACTAAAATAGAAATTGTATTTTTTGTCAAAGATCCAAAAAGATATTTACTCTTATTTTAATTTAAAAATTTTTGAAACCAAAGAGAATGATATAAGAATTCACAACTTAGCTAAATTTTGCGAATCCTGACATTTAAAAATAAAAAAGTTAGAATTTACGTGCTTATCCTGATTCATCTCTCGCAACATAAAAAATATTAAAATTATAGTATAATTACTATTATAAAACTTTTTAATTTTTTATTATTTTATAAATCTGTAGAATATTTTCCATTTTTTGCTGCTTAAAAATGTTTTCGACAGACACGTGTCACTCTTATTTTTACGTGTAGTGTGATGGAAAAATCTAACACTGCTACAGCATATGAAAAGGAGAAGAAGGAAGGACGAAGAATTAAGACGGAGATGTTGTCCAAATACCGATCGATCTTCAAATCTCCCCTCTTTTTATCTCTACCAATGTCCAATACCATTTCTACCGTCAGAAACAAAACCAGTGTAATGTTGTTGAAGACTCTCTCTCGTCCAATTTGTGACGTGACCGTCAATTGGTCCATATTGAATTTATGTCATATCCTAAAAAACAAAATTATATCAGTAGGACCGAACAACGTTATCTTTGACAAATGAATTTATACAAGTGGGACCGACCAAAATTAACGTTTAAAAATTTGTTTGTTATTCATTTATATTTTATATTGCCGGCAAAATCTAAAGAATAAAACACAACCTATTCATGAAAAACTATTCCATGTTCATGTTTTAAAAATTAAACCAATTTTTTTAAAAAATAATGACTTTAGGCCACGATTTAACGGTTAGAGATGTAGTCCAAGTGGATAACAAAATAATATATATATTGTCTACCAAAAAATATAAATAATAATTATAATTATATTCACTCATATATAGCATAATAAAAAATAATAAAATATATTATTTTAAAACATAAATTAAATAAAATACACATTGAAGTTTGTATACTAACAAATATTTTTCAAAATGCGATCTTATTTTTAAAAAATACTCCGTTGCTTATCTTAATTACTTGATCTTTCATTTTTTAACAAATAATACTTTTCATTACTTTCAAATTTTAAAATTATAATTTTTTTTCTTAAATTTTTAAATTTTTTATGATTCAGTATATAATTTAAAAATAATAAATTTTTTAAAAGAAATCACGAAGTAAACTCCAATTTTATTTATTTATTTATTCTTTTTCCATATTTTACTATTGTCCCCCTTTCTTTAACTCTAGTTCTGTGTCTGCCTTTTGTTTAAAACTTCACCGATACCTCATTCTATTTTGTCTTGTTCTTCTTCGTTTCGTAGTATTATTAGTTAACCCTCTTTCTTTCCTTCTCTTACATATTGCCACAAACCAAGCATTTCTTTCTCACACTCGCCTGGCGGCTAACCTTTGTGTCTGCCTTAATAATATATCTCCGACCATCACCGCCACCGCCACCGCCAAGCCCTGATCGTTTGCTCTTCTTCAACGGTTTCAATGGCTTCTTCCTTATCGTGTTGTTACAAATTCCTTCTATATCCTCTTAAGTTTTGTGATTTCAATGAAGTATGCTGTTCTTCTCACAACCCACAAGCGAAGCTAAAATATAAATCTCGTTCCCCAAAACAATCGCCTTTGGCGGTCCATTTCGCTAACCGAAAGAAGGGAGTGTCAACGAAATGCAATGTGTTGAGCGAAGGAGTGAATGGGAGCGTGGAAGATGAGAGCTTCAATAACTCAAATCTTGAGGATAAGCAATTCGTGCGTTCCTTTCGCGAGGCATGGCCTTACTTGTGGGCCTTTCGTGGCAATACCTTTGTTGTTATTATTTCCGGTGAAATTGTCTCTAGTCCTTTCTTGGATCCCATTCTCAAGGCACGTCCGTCAAAAATTTTAACCTGTTAATTCTTCAAAAATCTTGTTTAAACCATGATTTTTTTATTTTATTTTTATTTTTATGATCTTTGATCCATTAGCTATGCATTAAAATATGTTTCTGCATGCAGGATATAGCTTTCCTTCATCACCTGGGAATCCGGTTTGTTCTTGTTCCGGGTACCCATGTGCAAATAGATAAGCTTTTGACTGAGAGAGGTTAGTCACAATAATGGGTCGTTTAATTAGGCTCTTCCTGCTTGTGAAAATGAGTGCTTTTTAACCTTAACATTGTTGCTTGCTTGCAAAACCCCATCACCACCCTTCCCCAAAAAAGTAGAAAATTTAAAGGAAAATTATTGTATTTGTAGGGAGCCAGCCTAAGTACGTTGGTAGATATAGAATAACTGATGATGAATCTCTAGAAGCTGCAATGGAAGCAGCTGGGGGAATAAGATTGATGATAGAAGCAAAACTTTCTCCTGGACCTTCCATATGTAATATTCGTCGACATGGTGACAATAGTCGTTGGCATGAAGTCGGTGTCAGTGTTGCCAGTGGTAACTTTCTTGCAGCCAAGGTTCGAATTTTTTGATTCATTTACTGTAAAGTAACAATCAATGGTGTTCTGAAATTGCCCCTCTCTTTCTGTTTCTATTACTGTGTTAGAGCGTCTTGTTATTTTTATTTTTTTGGCAGAGAAGAGGGGTGGTCAGTGGAATTGATTTTGGGTCAACTGGGGAAGTTAAAAAAGTAGATGCATCTCGCATGCGTGAGAGGCTTGATGGTGGTTGTATAGTTATTTTAACCAACTTGGGCTACTCCAGCTCTGGACAAGTATTAAATTGCAAGTATGCTTTGGAGCTTTTGATGATTACTTTCTTCAACTTGGCTTAACTGATTGCATGCTGACATGCTGTTGTCATAACATTTTTTTAGTTTCTGATTATTCATATCTTATATAACAACAAGTTCATGCTCTGTTCTTGTATCAATATGTTGAACAATATGTAATTTTTTTAAGAATTAGACTTATGAATAGATCTGAAAAACAGCCTCATGGGGAATGTGATAGAAGTTAAAGCCAAAGAAGAAGTTGGTTTCATAGGGAAAGAATAATAGAAGGTTTTATCATGCAATTCATTAGTTGGTAAAATAGCTGATTGCTAGGACTTTTTTCTTGTGAAATGTGAAAAAGCAAATACTGAGAAATTAATGGTACAAGTTTTTCAGTGAGCATGTTAATCAGAATTCCACTTGTGCCAATATGTTCAATTTCTTTTTCTGTTATATGTTATTATCTGCTACTTGGATATGATCCAATCATCCAAGAGAAAAATAAATAAATAAATAAATAGAGAGAAGAAAGGGGCAGCTGAAATCATGTTTGCATCACCCACTTCTCTTGCTTGTATGAATAGACACATGATAGTTGATGGACTTATATATGGTGCCCCTTCACCCAATTGATGAGTCTGACAAATGCTTGTATTCTGGACATTGATGATTTTTTTTTTCCTCCAGCACCTATGAAGTTGCAACTGCTTGTGCCTTAGCTATAGGAGCGGACAAGCTAATATGCATTATAGATGGTCCAATACTTGATGAGAGCGGACGCCTAATCCGTTTCTTACCTCTTCAAGAAGCAGACATGTTAATTCGTAAACGGGCTGAGCAAAGTGAAACAGCTGCTAACTATGTGAAAGCCGTTGATGAAGAAGGTTTCAACTCTCTTGAGCATAGAAGTTTTAATGGGACAGTCCAATCTCCACCTAATGGAAAACCTTTTACAGAATGGCATAATAATGCAACCTTCCATAATGGTGTTGGTTTTGACAATGGAAATGGCTTAGAGTCTGGTGAGCAAGGTTTTGCTATCGGAGGTCAAGAGCGACTTAGTAGAATGAATGGTTACCTGTCAGAATTGGCTGCTGCAGCTTTCGTTTGCAGAGTGAGTCCATGATTCACCTTTATTTTTCATGTCAAGTGCACTGGTTGTGCTTATTTAAGTCTATATTGGTATACAAGCACTTCTGAGAACAGGCATTTTCCAAATCATGACCAGAGTGAAAATATGCAGATGTTATACATCATTTTATACTTTCTGCTACTGCAATATGTGATGAATAATATTAGATCTTTGACTGGTTTCAAATATTCCTGCTGTACAGTGGTTGGTTTGGATTTACATTTAAATTTCTCTGAGAAGTTGCTGGTTGAAATAGTGACTGCTTGAAATTCCAGTTGATGCATGTTTCTCAAGCATGTTGCTAAAAATACCATCTGCTATTTCTCAGGGTGGTGTTCAAAGAGTTCACTTGTTGGATGGCACTATTAGTGGAGTTTTGTTGTTGGAATTGTTTAAAAGAGATGGGATGGGAACAATGGTGGCTAGGTAAGCAGTTTTGCAGTCTGTCTCTGGAATAAGTTTTTTTATGATTGTGAATTATTCTGTGCAAGGGTTTTTAACTATTTGGTAAGAAAAATAGGTGGTAAGTTATGATGCTTTGAAACAAATTGTATCCTTGACTTTTCTGTCCAACTGTTTTAACCATTGTTTAATTGGCATCCCAGTGGATTTCCTGCTGGTGTCATCATATAGGTGACATGAGTGAGATTCAGACTTGTTTGTAACTCCTTATTGTTTGCTGATGATTACATGGTAGTTTGTTGAGATTCTGATTGTGTAAGGCTGTGAATATATGGGTTGGATCTGAACTCCATCTTTGAGCATTCCTCTTTTTTCCCTTTTATGAAACCATAAGTTACAAAAAGATTGAAGGACTAGTTCAGATAACTGTCCATGTTACTGTTAAAGAGCTCATGCTTGTTATGCACAAATGCAACTTGTTATATTCTCAAGTTGACATACCGTATCACTACAGACATGTCACAACCCTGAAGAGTTTTTACCTATCAATTTTTATTTTTATTTTGAAAATCCAAAATTCAGTTGATACCAAGATCTGTGATGTTCATGGGGTTTCCTACACGAAGCAATATACTATATGCAGCAGATTGTTCACGGTGTTATACTTCATTAAGATTTTCTTATCAGTAAAAGCCTTTATTTCATTTTCTTATCTTTCAATTAAATTTTGCAGTGACCTTTATGAAGGCACTCGGATGGCACAGGTAAAAGATATTTCTGGGATAAAACAAATTATTCAGCCCTTGGAGGCATCTGGCATATTGGTTAAGCGGACTGATGGAGAGGTTTGCTTTGCTATATCTTCGTTGTAGATACCATAGCTTACATGGCCATTACTGGTAATTTTATCTAGATGTCTCTCACATTTTACCATTCTCTGGTTATAGCTGCTACAAACGTTGGATTCTTTCATTGTTGTGGAAAGAGAAGGTCAAATAATTGCTTGTGCTGCCCTCTTTCCTTTCTTTGAGGAGAAGTGTGGAGAGGTTGCTGCCATTGCAGTATCTCCTGATTGTCGTGGCCAAGGACAGGGAGACAAATTGCTTGGTATGCTATTTCTTCTGTAGTTGACGATTCTTGTGCTTGATGGATAGTGACTAATAATTTGTGAAATGTCATGGGTATTTTTTGTTGTTATGCTCGCTTGTACAGTGTTAAATAGCTTGAAAACATATCTGTTGCAAAAAAGCTTTAATAAAGTAGAAATATAAGGACCTTATTATATAAACCTAGATTTTGATTAAGAAGAAGATTGGTATAGGCTTCAGTTTTGGAGCTGCTGTTTATTCTCATCTTTGAATATGGTTGCTCTATAATCCTGCTTGGCACAGGTTTTTACGATATTTATTTAACTATATGATTAAATATATGCAGATTATATGGAGAAGAAAGCATCATCTCTTGGATTGAATATGCTTTTCCTGCTCACAACTCGGACAGCTGATTGGTAAGTAACTTCCCAAATGCATGGCATGTAAGCCTTGTCTGCAATCAATGCCATTTTTCACCTAGTGGCTTGTTACTGCATATTCAATGATTCTTGTACACAGCATATGAAATGTTATCCCATTTTGTTAGTTTGATGTTTAGCATGTCTTCTTATTTTTCTGTTCCGTTTCTAGAATTCAAAGTAAGTTTTCCTCGGGTGAAAAAAAACAGTTTTCGTCACGAAAATGTACATTTGTAATCCACTCGTGGATTACAAATTTGATACATTTATATACATGGAGTTAGTAGGGGTGTGAAAAAAAATCAAATGAACCGAACCGTGAACTAATCCGAACCGTATCCAACGTATCATATTTTTTCGTACCGGTTTAAGAACCGAACTATTTTCTTTGAACTAGTGTAAGAACCAAATCATTTTTTCGAAACCGATTAGGGTTTCAAACTGAACCACTTTATCGATTCGGTTTGGTTTAGGTTAAAAACCAAATTGAATCGAATGATACCCACTCTTAAGAGTGTGAAAAAACCAAATGAACCGAACCGAATCACGAACTAAACTTAGTTGTACTATATTTTTTCGAACTTGTTTAAGATAACAAACCATTTTCTCCTAACCGTTTCAAGAACTGAATCACTTTAATACTGGTTCCCTTTTTTCGAACTGGACCACTTTTCCGATTTGGTTTGATTTGATATGGAAAATAGAACCGTGCTTACATGTGATGTATACAGATTGTGACCTACATTTTAATGTATGTTCTAGTATCTTCATGGGTGCATTTCTAAACGAAAGGATTCCCAACTTTTTGACAGGTTTGTGAGGCGTGGATTTTCAGAATGTTCAATTGACTATATCCCTGAAAAGAAGAGGAAAATGATCAATCTGTCCCGCAATTCCAAGTATTATATGAAGAAGCTTCTACCTAATAAAAGTGGAATTATTGTCGGTAGAAAATTTGCTTCAAATTAGCGCTATTTTCCTGTTTTCCTCCCACTACGGGGTGAAGGGTGATTAGATGCATATGTTAGGCACTTCTGTAGACAATAGATTGTAATGTCGTAATTATATGGTAGCTGTAATCAGTATCTCTTATAGGTCTTCGACGTGTAGTAGCATCAAGTTTTCTATTGTTAATTTATAGTTAGTATTTATTTTCCTCATGTCCACCTTCCTCTTTACCGATAGAAATAATTATTGATGTGCTTGTTTGAAAGATACTTTTATTCAAGGGATTGATAGTTTTGCTACCCTTTTTTTGGTCACGAGACCAATAAAACTATTGACATTATACCCATACAAAAGAAAAAGGGTTGTGCTAGAATTTTTTTGATGAAGTAATTTGATTATCAGGAACAAGCTGAATTATAAATCATGCGTATATATGCAAAAAGATTTCCTTCAGTAGATAAATGTTCATGTTCTCGTCTACACATTTCACGACGAGTAAAATGCCAACTTAAAATTAATGGAGGGTGAATTCTAGTGATGGTGTTAGCGGTATCCCAGTAACCCAACAAGAAGGGAGGTTCACTGGATCACTGAAACTGCAGTGGCCATTGCCTTCACTTTGTTGACCGTTAACAGCAATACGAATTCAAATAAATACTCTTCATCAAATTCGGGGAGGCCCTTTCATTTGAAGTTGTGTGCATATGACCTAAACAACCACCACAAGTGACCGTTAACAAGGCTGTCAAAGGTAATGCAAATGCATTTTCTAACAAAATTGACTTTGTGATAATAAAGGTCTTCTTCTAACTTTAAAAAGAAGCACCTCTTTTGCAATTTTTGCTGCAACAGAATTCTTTGTTAGTATGATCAACTTGTTTCCCTTGGGAGATATTTCATCTTTTGTATTATTCAACAAATAATGATTCATTTCCTACTAAAAATGATATTAATCACTTTCTATTAATGATTCCGAAAGAGCTATTGCACTAAAAGGATAAACATTTTCATATTGAATCTCTGCATATTGCCATAGGCTAGGAAATGCCAATGACAGCAGAAGTTTCAATAAGACAATAAGAAATTTGTAAGAATATTGTTTGTTAGACTAGCACAGCATGAGCCTGAGAGCTGTGAGTCTCTAGGTTAAATTATCATACAATAAGGAGAAAAAAAGTATTCCAAATTCCTAAACTTGTGATTATGCCTTGGCTTGTACATGATTGACTTACAATTAGAAGAGAATACTAATTGAAGAGTGTGTCAAGGACATGAAAGGAAATTAGAAGAGAATACTCCTTACAATTTTTTAATTGTGTGGACTTTATTAATTAATTATGTTTTAGCATTTTAAAATATTTGGGTTAATAATATTTCAATTTGATTAATTATTTTTATTAAGCTTATTGTGATCATATTGTGTTTTTGAACTGGTGACATCTGATTCAATTAGGCCTAATTGGGCGGCGGTGTAAATTTATTGTGACCCTAATTTTTTTATAATGGATCTTCTCTTTTTTAAGCTAGAAGCTACTTATAAGCTGGGCCAAACAAGTTTTGAGAAAAGCTCTTATAATGAAAAACTCTTTTTTTATAATGAAAAAAAAAAAACTAAAAGCTAAAAGCTCTAGAAGGAGCTTTTTTTTAAGCTCTTATATGTTTTTCTTGAATTGTATGTTTTTTTTTAAATAAAGAGTTATAAAGATAGGAGAGAGATATTTTTCTTGAAATATGTGCTTTTAAGTAACTTAATAACTTTTAAGCTAAAAATTTTATGTAATTATCAAACAGTTTTTAGTTTTTTTAAGCTCTTTTTTTTAACTTTAACTTATAAATAGCTTCTAGCTTAAAAAAAGAGAGGATCTAAAGAGGCTCTAATTGAGATTTTTAGCTACTTCTCTCTCTAACAACGATTGGCAATAAACAGAATTATCTTAGTATCAAGTTCCTTTCTTTACCTATGCGATGGCACAGCAAGATTTTAATTTTAGTATTACGAAGGTGTTCCTCAAGAATTCCATAAACCATTCCGATCTCAAAAATAAAGTGGGTACTTAAGCCCAAAAACAAACTCTGCACAATCCTTTATCGCTTTAAAAAATTACGCCAAGAAATATGATGTGGGTGTGAACGGTGAAGAAAAATATGATTCGATTAGGAACGATGGTGTTTGCTATAACCGGTTGGTTTGGGTCGACCTGATTTAAAATCAGTTTTCAAACGGGTCTTAATTGGATTAATTTAAATAATAAAAGTGGTTTAACTTTCTGAACCAATTTAAAAAAACCGATTATTTTTATTTAATGCGGGTCGGTTCCATAACCGGTTATGGTGCACCGGTTATTATGCACATTCCTATGTGGGGAGGCCATTAGCTGCCCAATACATGGCAAACATTTATATACATATAATATTGTAATATTTTTATGGAAAATTATTTTCTTATGTAGTAGTAAAAAGTTGTTTTATATAAATACATTAATAAATATATCTTTTTATTTTTTTTTAACACATAATAAAACTCATCATATGTTGGATTTATGGCATAAGAAAGAGTATCTCCTATAAAATATTATTAGTGCATTACTTGTGCGATGCATGAAAGAATATAAATTATGTGTTGTCTTTAATTTTTTTCACTATTCAATGTAAATTATGTGTGGTCTTTAATTTTTTCACTATTCACATAACATTTTGCAATTAATTCGAAAGAGTGATAGTGCCATTCTAGTTTAATTAAACAAAATGACTTATTTAAATGCATTCGGAGTATATCTACATAATAAAATTGAAATCAAGTGTTAACATTCTTTTTCTGTCTCCCGGGGTGGGTCTTTTCTTGTGCTCGACGAAAAAGATAGGAGATTGCGAAACAATGGGAACACACAGCATTTTGAGAAAATGAGGGGATCTTTTAACAATTTCCAAAAATATTGAACTGCAAGTTTTTTCATAAAGCACACAGATAAAGAAAAACACATTTTTTATTTTTATCATATATCTCGTTATTCTCCAGTTTCTCGCAAAATCTATCGTATCAATTCCATTTATCTGCGTGTAAATACTTGAACTTTTCCTAATTTGCACCTACGCCCGCTGATTCTCTGATGCGTTACACCTTTGCCCACCGATTCTTCTTTGATTTTCATCCCTTTTTCTATTCCCAGGTCAGTGTGCATTCTTGTAATTTGTGCATCCGTGATTATTTTCTGTGTTTTTCTAACTCAATTTTTGCTAATTGTGCCGGTGTGAGCTGAAAAGCGTTTCCTTTTCTCTATTGTCATTTTGTTTGTTCAACGTAAATTTCGTCTGCTTTATGAATTTGAAACCGAGACAATAGCATGTGGGTTTTCAATTTGAGGGGATGCAATAATCCTTAGATATTACGGCACTGTTGTTAATTTTATGGGTTTAAGTTGATTCTCCATCCCCAAGAATCAATTTACACGTATTTGGTTGTGTAAATCTTTCTGTTTGCGCGTATATGCAGTTCTGCGTTGCTTTTTACAAGACCTAGCCTAATTGCGTTGGCATTGCAAGATGCTTCTTTCAATGTTATAATACACTTCGCCTGATAAATAATATGACACAGCGGTTGCTGGACTTTCCTGAGTTGTTCTATTCTATTGTCAAACATTGGATGTCTAGTAGATGAGATTGAAGCCAATTTGGGAATTGAGGTAAGTGTGATTTTGGGATGAGCTTTTTTCCTTCTTCTTTTTTTATTGGATTGTTTATAACCATTGAAGGATGAAATGTATCTACAACTTGTCGTCTTATTGTTATTATTTGTTTTATTCTGATGTTTTGTAGGCCAATAATAGTCATATTTTTCTTGTTTGTGGATAGAAATGCAGAAGAAGGCTGCCCTCAACTTCCAAGCTTTCCTCTAGGATAAAAGAAAAGCTCGTACCGTTGTAAAAAAGGTTGTGGACTTATTTTAATGGGTGCTCCTAAGCAAAAATGGACTGCAGAAGAAGAAGCAGCGCTGAAAGCTGGAGTAATCAAACATGGGGCTGGAAAATGGCGCACTATACTTACAGACCCTGAGTTTAGTGCCATTTTGCGCATGCGTTCAAATGTAGATCTCAAGGTAAGTCTTTTCAAGGGCCTAGCAGGTTCCGGGAAGTGTCACAAAAGAAGTTTTATTATAATGTCAGACTTGAGAAGTTACTACTAGTGCCCTTGTTGAATGACCTTCTGTTTACTGTATCATAATAATTATGTACGAAATCCTTTTCTTTGAGAAAATTGACAAACTTATGGCATACCAAGGTGTATTTGTATACATGCTTTGAACTGTGAACAGGACAAATGGAGGAACATAAATGTGACAGCAATATGGGGATCCAGGCAGAAGGCAAAGCTTGCTCTAAAAAGGAACCTGCCAACCCCCAAAGTCGATAACAACCACATGGCCTTGCGTACCATAGTCCAACGCGATGGAGAAGTTGCAGATACTAAGCCCGTAGCAGTTTCTGGTGAAACATCTCCTAATTCAAAAGAACAAATATCAAGGTTACAGAACTTCCATTTAAATATATCTACTGTTTACTCTTTACAGAAATTAAATGGTCTGTGGTGCTTGGTTGGTTTGATCTTGTTCTTAATAGCAAATGAACAAACATTGTCTAATTGTACGTATTACCTCCCTTGTAAATATTTAGTTCTAAGATTGCTTAAAGTGGTGTGCTAGTATACCAATTTTTTCAAATGAATAAATAACTAAACCAAGTTGCAAACAATTTTCACTATTTTCCATGTACCAATTGGGTATCTTGTATTCTGACTCTTCATTATTTTATTGAATTTCATGATGACTCTGCTCTAAGCATGGCAAAGATACACAAAAAATATGATTCAATTACTAATTTATCAGTTCCAGTTGCAGTTACAAATAATTGATATAGTTATCTTCTTTTGTCACTGCTGATGACACATCCTGTCAAGTTTGCAGTGATTTTGCTGAAATGTTGAAACTGTGGTAAATTATGTGGCAATATGCTTTTCAATGACTGCAGTAATATGCTTTTTAATAATGGCAGGTTGGATAATCTTATATCGGAGTCTATTATGAAGTTGAAGGAGCCAAAGGGTTCTGACAGAGCTGCCATTGCTTCTTTTATAGAGGTACTAATACTTCAATTCCTACACTTACGGTAATAGAATTTAAACATCTCAAGAAACAAATGATCCTCAAAATGTTGGTGCATGTATACTTCATTTCTACAAAAAATACTTAATTTCTGCTTTTGTAGGCCTCTTCTTTTTCTGGTCAATATCTTATGAATTGGTTTACATCTAGAATTAGACAGTAAATTATTTTCATTTCTTCCTCGGCTATCAAATAACTCCCCTTTAAATATATATGTTTTATAGTGATTGATGTATCACCTATCTATGACTAAATTTATGTAAGTACCAGCCTGCTATGTGATCAAGTTTACAACATTAAAAATATTTAAACTGTTTGTAAATGTTTCTCTCCTATGTCCATGGAGTTATATATTGTTTATTAACTATCAGCAATTTTGAACTAGCTGTAACATGTAACTCGTAGAATTCCTTTCTGCTGGGTACCGAAAGTTCCTGGCATTCTTTTTGTTTAAATGTTTCCTTTTGTCAAGGTTAAACATGTACTCTCACCTGGCAAGTAACAAGCTGTTAATTTTTTGCCCTCCCATGTTCATAAAGGCTTAGCATAATTCAACCAATCATAATATGCTATCTATTGCTTTTCTTTTTAAATAACTTGAGAAGCTTACAGCATTCGAGAATACAGCGAATACTAGCAATTTAACTGTCCTTTATGTTCTTGTCTGCAACATTGCATTGAAACTAATTCTGAAGCTTTCCACCTCATTAGGATCAATATTGGTCTCCGCCGAACCTCAGAAAGTTACTTTCAACAAAACTGAAGCATATGGTGGCAAGTGGCAAATTAATCAAGGTAATTTTACTGTTTGCTGATGCCTTAGCAAAGCACAATGAGCTCGGGTTCTTGGAACTTAGTTGCTCAAGAAGCACCATCCTTACATGCATGCAAACCTGTGTAATTAAGCATAGTCAATCTGGATAATTTTTGGATCATGTACGACATAGATACTTTGCTAATAACATGTTTGATGTTACTGGAAGTTATTAACAGAAAATGATTTGCACTGAGAAATTAATTGGTTGCCAGATGTAAATAGATATTGGTTATCTTGTGGCAGTTGAACTGTGCATATCTGGGCATTTTCTTTTGCAGGAGTGAAAATTCAATTGAAGTTCATAAAATTTTCCCATCTAATAAACCAATATTACTGTGACATAAATATTGGGCATGTAATTAAATTCAATATGTGATCAATTGATCCTGAGTGTGACATATCTAATGACAGGTAAAGCATAAGTACAGAATTGCAGCAAATTCAACAATACCAGAGAAAAGAAGATGCTCTTCCTTGTTACAAATGGAAGGGAGGCCCAAAGATTCTCCAAAAGCAGAGAATACTGATGTCAACATCCTTTCAAAATTCCAAATTGATGCAGAACTATCAAAAATGAAGGGTGTGACAGCTCAAGAGGCTGCGGCAGCAGCTGCAAAAGCGGTGGCAGAGGCAGAAGCCGCCATTGCCGAGGCTGAGGCAGCAGCTAGAGAGGCAGAGGCTGCAGAAGCCGAAGCAGAGGCTGCACGAGTGTTTGCAAAAGCAGCAATGAAGGCACTAAAATGCAAAACACTTCATATTTGGTAAGCTTCCTTAACAAGAAAATTAATTAATGCCTATAGCTGTGATGCTTATAGATTCCTTTTTCCATTTTGAATGCTTTCTGCAAGTGGTTAATTTTCCCAATGTCTTTGCCCAACTTTTTACCAAGCTAATCTCTTAATTGTTGACAATGTCTACTCTGCAGCTCCATGCCATCATTTCCTAATGCCTATCCGATTGTTCCGGAATAACGTGTTACAATTTCTTAGATAAAACTCTTTTCACTCTTATGACTTAGTGTCTAACGAAACAAAACATTAAGCCCTCTTTTCTCACTAGAGATCTCGACCTTCATTACATTTTCCGCGAGCCAAAACCCTGTCTCTTGCGAACAAACCCTATTTTTGTTAATTACTGCGGGTAAAAGGTTTTCTCGAAGCTTTCATTAGTGCCCCACTATTCTGACTCCTCCAGAGAATTGGTTTCTGTCAGTTCTTTTAGCTAACCGTTTTATGTTTGCAAATTTGTGCAGATGGTGTCAGCTTCTGCATGATTGACATGAGCAGTATATTGGGTTAGATCATAATTTTGCTGCTAGGCTTCCTGCATGTATTTAATTACTGTACATAATTTAGGCTTGTAAATCTGGAATATGAGAGTTTGATCCATGAAACATTTTGTCAGAGTTGGTAAGAGCTTATTATTTATTATTTTTTCTCTTATTTTCAAAAGAAGGCAAGGAGGCGAGGGTTACAAAGTATTATTGGAAGTAGTGATCAAGTGCTCATAGTAAATGAAAGAATACAATTTTAACTAGTGTTCCAATTGCAATATGGGGTGTCTCTGTCTCGTAGGTCATATTTATGTGGATCCTTGTTGTAAATTGTTGCTACATTACTCTGACTATGTTATAATTATACTGAATTCTTTTTGAGGTTTGTAAAAACTAAACTTGTGAAAGAGGTATTATGAAGAATGCTTGTTTTTGGGACTGGGTTCGTGAAGGGGGCTGGTCAGATATTTGGGCATGGGCACATGTCAATTATGTTCTGAATTTCCTTCTCGCGGATAGAGTAGATAATTTTGGGAAATGATATTTGCACATTAATTCAAATAATATATGTATGATGGGTCCATTTAGAGTTAAAATAATTGCGAAAGGAATTCAATTAGAAAAATTCTACCACAAACACTGTACTACATTAACTCTTTTTGACATTCTAATTCAATGGTTATATATATTTATGGAAAAAGTGTTTCTTAGGAGATAAAATTATCTTCTATAATTTTAAAGTGACATTATTTTGGAATTTAAAAAAAAAACTGACGGTATTTTAAAAAAAAATTATATTATAAATTATATTAAAATATATTGTATTTTTTTGTCAAATTTTAAAATAACATTATTTTAAAATTGTACGGGAAAATTTTATTTCTTATTATAGGAAAAATATTAATTCATATATATATATATAATCTATTTTCGTTCAAAGTTTCTATTTTATTTATGGGAAAAGAGTATCTAATGTTACTTTGGATAACTTTATCTAATGTTCATCGAAACGACGTCGTTTTGAGATTGAAAAATTTAAAAATTAAAATGATAAAGACTATTATAACCCTGAAATAAAATAAAATTATAAACACACCATGATTTTCGCCTCAAAACGATGTCGTTTCAATGAACATTAGATAAAGTTATCTAAAATAACTTTAGAAAAAATAAATCCTTTATTTATTTATTTTTTATAATCTATTTATGTATTGATATTTCATTAAAAGTAAAAGTGTTAAAATAGGTAACTTTAATACTCGATAAAGTAATTGAGTCTGGAAACTTTGAATGCGGTTTGGGGATTTCGAACACAAAAAATGATATAATTTTTAGGTGACAGGCGAGAATGGTAGTTCTTGTCACATTTTATATCGGTTAAAATGACAAATACTATGTACCAAAAAAAAAAAAAATGACAAATACTTTTCTCATATATATAAGGAAAAGTATTTGTCATTTTAAATGATATAAAGTTATGTCATTTTAAGAGAGATAGACACAAAATAATATTTTTTATTTAAAATTTAAATTAAAAAAAAAATCACCCACTTTTTCTCCCATGATTTTCATTTCTTGTGTTTATCTCTCTACTAAAATGACATAACTTATGTCATTTAAAATGACAAACATCAAACTCTCTCTATATATATAGGGTTTTATAAGAGTTATGTTGTAGAAAAAGTGATTGTGTAATGTTATAGAGATTCGTTTTGCGTGCCTTAATTTTTTATTTATTTTTTTGTTTTAAAAAGTGTGGACCCCACAAAATGTTGTGAGAGTAGGAAAGTTTGTTGTGTTATGTTAAAGGATAAAATGAAAACCCATATATATATATATATTACTTTGTGTCTATATGTAATGTTAATATAAGTATGCGTTTTGAGCTAAATCAACAATTAGAATGTAAGAAAAATATAAGGCAATAATTAAAGGAAAACTGTATAATGTACTTACAATTTGCTCACTATACATGATCCAACTGCTGATTCAAAAAGTTTGAAATCAATCAAAATTGTGACCTAATAAGTATGACTGAATTATTAAAAAATGTAGTAATTTAAAATATAACAAAAAACAATTAAATCTAAGTCTAAATAAAGCAACGGATATGATTGTTATGTGTGAAAGTGGATTGGGCTGGGTTGAACCTTGTTCTGAAAAGCTCAAGTCTATGACTAAAAATCCCAATTTGACCTAGCTCGATAACATAGTACAGGTCTAACTATTAGCCTGATCTGGCTAAAAAAATAAATGGCCTAACCTGATCTATTAGCTTGTTAATTTTTAGCTTCCAAGCAAAATATGAATCAAATTCACAAAAACTCAAATTATGTTGTTAAAACAAAAACACAATTTCATTGTCCAAACAGAACCATAAATCACAACAAAGGCTTATCACAACCTGCATTTCAGTCACTCTCAAAAGCAAAATGCCCAAATTAAATAACATATATTTCTTCAGATCCAACCAATAAATCCATACTATGTAAATTAAAATAACTACATGAATCTAACAAACACATCATGATACTTGTAGTAGCCAAAAACTTCTTATCAAGTTCTCTCCCGTGCAAATACAATTCCAAGGTTACATAAGTTGGCAAACAATTTGTAAATATAGAAAACAAAAAAATGTATTAAAGAATAGAAAGAAAAAAATAAGATTAAGAAACAAAAAACCTTGGGAGAGATTATACTTACTACTTTTTTTTTTCTTACCACTAAATCTTAACTGTTGAATTTCGTCAATCTAATAGTTATAATTTACTGAAAATTAATAATTAATTAATAAGTGTGACCCAATAAATTATAACTATTACAATGGTGAAAATTAACAGTTAAGATTTGATAGAAAGAAAAAAAAAATAAGTATAACCTTTTCTAAAAATCTTTTAATATATTTATATACACAATCTAACATGCTGAGATATTGATTTCTCCTTCATAAGAAATAAAGTCAGATTTTTATTAAAATATAATCGAATATAATTCAGTTATAAAATAATTTCAATTGATTAAATTTATATCTTTTGTTTTTTGTTCAAGTCATATTTATTTTATTTTATTTTATTTAAAATAAATAGTATAATATAGGCTGACTTATAGGCTTATAGGCTAGGATTTATGAAAGTGGGCCTACAACTTATTTATTAAACAAACTTTTTTTCAAGGCTCAAGCCCGATCTATTTTATGAAATATACTAGGTCAGATTTTGTCTAAAATAGACCGAGTCGTAGGCCCCTGTACGCTGATTCTGCCCAGTTTCACCCCAATTGTAATTTATATGGCAAGAAAGGGAAAACAACAAATTTGCAATGATTTTAAATCTAAGATTTGAATCGTATTTTAAATGATTTAATTGTATTTATTTATTTATTTTAAAAGTTAATTATGGTTGTATTTATTTTAAAAAAAATTCTTTATTTTTAGAATTTTAAATTTTAAATTAATTTGCAATTAATCTATAAAACAATACTTATAATCCTTAATATAATAATTCAATTTTGTTATTTTATTAATAAAAATTAAAAATCAAAGAGTTAGGCTCTATTTGATTACTGTTTTTAAAAATAATTTTTTAGTTTTAAGAACAAAAAAACCAAAACACAATCAAAGACCCTTAATCTTTTACCGCAACCTAACTTTCTGTTTGTCTATTTTTCTACATGATTTTGGCATCACTGTAACGTGAGTTTTGTACATTTATGTATTAATACAATAACTATATTAGTACACACTGTATTTTGGATATATTAATAACTTAATTCTTAGAATTACTTTCCATCACAATTTAATCTAAAGTTAATTATTCCCTTAATTTATTTATTGTATTAATACATAAATTGACAAAACTCACATCCCAGTTTTTAAAAACTTAAAATAAGATACAAAAAACCTAAGTTGATATAAATTTTTTAAATTCAGAAATTAATCCATCTATAATTAAATCCCACGACTAAATTGCAAGAAAAGAATAATTTCAGAGACTAAATTGCTAGTTTTTAGCATCATTGAAAATAAATTTCACGTCAACATTACGAAAATTTGAAATTCTAAGATGTATATAAATATAAAATATTTATTCACTATTTAAAATATGCATGCATAAATAAGAATAAGCAGAGACAAGAATCTAATATATATTCGAAATAATTAAGCAATGCCGATCAATCGAAATGCAGAGTTAACAAACATAATTAACAAGCAAAACTGAAATGCTGAACATTAGAAAGAACCTAATATCTATTTAATTTACAAAGACAAGCATAAATTCCTCGCACAAATGCAGTTCTGTGAATTTTTTATGATATAGCTACACCGTCAATACACAATATGATTTACTCAAAGTAACCCTCGACATGTATGTCATACCGTTTAATTGCCTATAAAATAAGAATTATATTACATTGCAAAGCATGGGGGAAAAAGGAAGAATAAATCAATCATCAACCAGGTTAGACATGAACATGCCTCTAGTAAATCCAGAAATGTGTCACCGAGAAATTACATTAGAGTTCAAAGCAGAAAGTAGGTTCTCAGCTCTTTGATTTGGAGTGCTTGACAAGCCAGTCAATAACAGAGTCAATGTTGGTCGAGTTTTTGCATGAGATCATGAAGCAGCAAACTTCCCTGTCAGTAATTGACTTCAGATCCCTGCACAACAGAGAGCACTTTTCAGCATTAGAGTAATATAAAGGTAAATGAATTAAAAAATGGAAGAAGAAAATGTGATACTCAAATAATTTAGTTTACTCCGTTATTGCTCCAAGACAACGTATCTTACATTTGGTCAGTCAACGCTTGTTTAGACAGAGCCCCCGCTTTGTCAATCTTGTTCCCCAACACCAACAGAGGGATACCGCTCAATGATGGTTTGCTCAGCAAATCATGAAGTTCACTTCTTGATATGCTAAGGTTATCTGGATCAGCAGCATCAACAACGTAACTGCAGGAAAGATCAAATAACGAGAACTTGCTAAGTTTCACAAATTCAACCAATGGTTTCTACCTCAAGGTTAAATGTAAAAGGAGACAAGACTTCAATTCGGAGAAATTTGAGAACATGATCCAATTACAAAAGTGCATTAGATGTAAGAGGCAGAGAATACCCAGCAGTATCACAATTTTCAACAGAAAAAAGTGAAAATCGCTTTTAAATATAACCAACCAAGTCTTTCTAGAAATAGGCAGCAGCAAAGCATACACAGTGTAAGTTTTAACTTTTTAACCTGTGGACCGCAGAACTCACATGTAATCAAGTTGTGCAAAGTTTCAAGAAGCTATAATATATTCACTTCCTTGCAGCACAAACTGTTTTAACAATGATAAGTAGTATTAATTATGACTCATAGCCTGAGAGATATTGCTTGTAGAAGGCATTTATGAAACCAAATTGTACTGACGAATTTCTCTAAGCTTTTTCAGGGACATACAAGTGTTTTTTTTTTTAAATTAATATATGAATACACCAGGGAGGAGCTATTTACTCGGGCATGTAAGTGACAAGCAGTTTTGCATCACTGGTATTTGATCAAAAAGAACTTTGGGTTCATAGAAGAAAAAATAATAACTCAACTAACAGTTATCATTAAAAAGTACATAATCTGGTGGTAATGGAACCACTATGAAGACTAAAATAAACAATTATGCATTTTGATCAACCAAAAGAAAAGTATGGCTTTAGATAGACCTCATATCCATCACTAGACAAGATATCAAACATATAGACAACATATAAGTTGATAACCAACACAAGTCTAAAAATATATATTAATGCACATATACACTTATCAGATTGTATCTGCATCAGTGTATGCATGCACCAATGCTCCTTTGAGAAAACACACACACACACACAGAGAAGAATTTTCAAAGTCAGAATAAAATAAGAAGTTTGTTCCGTACACAATAGCAGAAACCGCACGACAGTAACGTTCCCACATGCTGCGGAACCTAGGTTGCCCTCCAAGATCCCATAACTTAATTGTAACATTGCCCTTTGTTACTTTCCTCATATTGAATCCCACCTGGAATCAAATAACAATAGATCGATCAGAATGTTCTTGCCCTGGAGAGATAGAAAACTTCATATAATCAAATAGAGGAGAAAACAATAGCCAAAAGCATTTGGTGAAAAAAACTTACCGTGGGAATCATGTCCTCGCTATACCCACCAGTCTAGAAACAATATTTAAAAAAAAAATCTGTCAGTTAATCATCCCCAAAGTATAAATTAAACAATAAGTTTCTAAGGGAAACGTCAACAAGATTATTGTACTTACAGCAACAACATTTACAAGGGAAGTTTTTCCAGCATTCTGAAGTCCTATCAGAGATAACTCCATTTCCTGCTTGAAGAAAAGGCTGCAATCAAAGTTACAACGTAGTAAGCTCAAAAGTTTCAAAGAAAATGATCCACTAAGCTCAGATCATGCATTGACATAAATTTCAACTTCCAGGTGCAACCTAAAACTGAAACTCTATGTTATAAAAAGAGAAGAAAATTTAGTGCAATAAAAAGCCATTCAAAAAATGTAATGCTGTTTTGCATGAGAAAGATTTCGTGAGTGCTGGGCGAAAGATGTTTGATTGGGTGGTTTTTTTCCATCTCAAGTACTTCCACTTTTTTCTCACTCATGATTTCCATCTGCTTTTTATTTCATTAGTGCCAACAACATTCGTACACAAAAAAAACTCATTCAGAAATGTACACACACAAATTTCCTATACATCCAAAGTTTTGAAGGCAGCAACTTTAGAATAGAAAAGAAGTCATCTGAAATAAAATGATTCACGAAACATATCAGAGGTGGAAAGATTTACAAAATCGTGAAACATTACTCACAAAATAAATAACTAATTGGATTGAACACCTTAAAAATATTACAAATGAATGCAAGAAAACCTAAGAATACAAACAAATCCTCTTCATCAACAATCACGAAATTCCTAACCGCATTACAGACAGAACAGACATTTCAAACCACCAAAGATACTCAAATTGAAAAAAATAAAAAAAATAAATAAAGAATTATGTAATTATGTAATTATAGCATAGTATGCAATTACCAAAACCTGTTTTTTGAAAAAGTAAATGAAAAAAAAAAAGGCGATGAATGAGAAAAACCCTGCTCGATCAAAGTTAAAAGCAAAAAACTGTGAAGCGAATGACATTGTTGGAGTTTAAAGGAAAAGAACAAAATGATAAGCTATCGCCAAAAAAGGATAATGATAGCGAAATCAATAAAAGCTTACCTGCGTAGCCAATTGAGAAAAGCCTCCCACAACCCCATTGATTTTTCTTCTGATCAAAAGAATGATAGGGAGAAAGATAGAAAGAAAACAGATCTACGATTTCCCTCTTCGAGCACAAAGAGAGAGAGAGAGAGAGAGAGAGAGAGAGAGAGAGAGAACGATCTAGAGGCTTCGCTGCATCCAATTCACCTTTCCTCCTCCTCCTTCCCTTTTCCCTCCCTTACCACTGTTTATATCACACCCATATCAAAAACAAAACAGATTTTTATATTTATTTTATATTTACGATTTTAATCACATCGAACGGCAGTGGAGGATCTACTGAATCATATCCGCTAAATAATATGGTGGATCCCATATGATGACGAAACTCTTAATAGTAGCGATACAGCAGACCATACCTCTCGTGTAACAAATCTTTAGTAAATCATACGTATCCAACTCGATATTTTTTTTTTCCGCCGCATTTAAAAAGATTTTTTTAAAAAAAAATATATATATATATATATATATATATATATATATATATATATCAAATTGGGTATATTTGATACACCAGAGATTTATTTCCTCTTATAATCTTTATTTAGATCGATGTGTAAATCATATGTATCCAACTCCATATTTTTTTTTTTGGCCATATTGAAAAAGATTTTTAAAAAAGAAAAGAAAAAATATATTAAATTGAGTATATTTGATGCACCAAAGATTTATGAGTAATCTTAGATTTATGAGTAATCTTTATTTAGATCGACCTGTAATGGATAGCCACGAGTGCTTATGACAGGACCAAACTGAAAATGATTTGTGCGTGGATAACACGAACCACTAAAAGCTGGAATGTGAGGTTATGATCGGAGAGCGTGTAGGTAAACTCACTGAATAGCTGCGATGCCAACATGTGAAAGTGAAGAGCATCCGACAACGAAATTATGATTATCTTAAATTATCATGACCAATCAGTGTAGGTTGTAAACATGCCAAGTGTGAGCTGGATAATGGTTAAAAGTTTAAAATATAGCAAAAATGTAATATATGTAATTATTATCTTTCATCAATCTTTTTAAATCTAAGCTTTAAATATAGGAAAAACATTTTTTTACTTTACATCAGATAATTATTTTCTTTTCTTTTCACATAAAAAATTATATTATTATTTTTTTGGATAATGGATTCCATCATATTATATGTTATAGTAGGAGTTACATATCTTCAACAAAATAAAAAAATATAAGCCTTTAAATATATATATATATATATATATATATATTTTAATTAAGTAATATCTTAGCCAGCTCATATCTTGTGAGTGTGGGCTGTGCGGCCTACACATTTCAAATATTAGTATATGACCCGTGCAATTTACGAAGAAAAAAAAATCAATTGATTTGTCACAAAAAAAAATCGATAAGTAATTGTATAGCATTATACTCAAAAAAATACGTTTATCAGAGTGCACCCAAGCGATTGTATAACGTAAGATTTGTTAGTACTTCAAGTTTCAAAAATGCTTTTACAGAAAATAAATTCAAACAGAATTATAAATGAAAAAATAACAGATTTTGTGTAAATTTAAATTAAAAAACTATTAAAACAGATTCGAAATTATTTTTCAAAATAATATAATCAATAACGTATGAAAAGAATACATAACAGTTCAGGATCTTTGATCAAATGAGGTTCTTTGATCATTTATGGGGTGTATTGAATTTGAATTTTAAATGATTTTAATAGATTTTTCTTGGACAAAAAAAATCTAATGGTAATCAATTAGGATTTAAAAATATTGTTTTAGAGTCTGTCTATATTCATTGGTAATCAATCAGGATTTTAAACAAAGAAAAAATAATATTGTGGTATTAAAAAAATTGATGATTTTAGTAGATTTTCTATTGGTGTGATTTCGTGAGACTTTTTAGTAAGAAATATAAATAGGATGTCTCTCTCGCAATCTCACCATAACCCGTAGGATTTCTTGAAATTTCTATATTGCAATGTTTTTATTCTTCTTTTGGTGAGTTGACCCGCTTAAAACCGAGTTACACTACGAGAGCTTCGTCAAAGCTAAAAAACATATATTTTTAGCGATTTTCATCATAAAACAATCCAAAAACAACAAACCAACAATATTTTAATATAATACATCTCAAAAATAGCATATTTTTTAGAGCTTTTGGAAGTTTTAAAAAAAAAAATTCTATGGGTTGCGATTTTTCTTGGCATAAAAATATATAATTTGTATTAAAAAAACATAAAATAGTGGGAAAACAAAAGGGGAACTAAAACCCTCAAATCAATTTTCGTTTTACATTAATAAAACAATATCAATTTAAAGAAAGATTGAAACTTTCATAATATGAACCTTATATTTCGTAACAATATATCATGAACGAAATTTCTTCACTATAAGAAACAATTTCACATAATTTTTGTGTTAATTGATAACTAAAAACTTATTTTTCAAAAGTCGCAAAGCAATTTAATAACTTTAGGTAATAAATTTTCTAAATTTTCACATAATAAAACCCAAAAATTCTTATTCGAAATTTTATTAGAATACTCAATGAAATCATGCATATGATATATGGTTAGAAAACTCTCATCACGTAGAACAAAAACCTCAATGTTTCCATGATCAATTGCGAAAAATTTCAAACGAAATTTTATCATGAACTTTAGATTCTATATGCAAATTAAGAATTATTTTAATAAATAATAAAATTAGGTTTTATAATCATATATGCATAGCTCATATATCAAATGAAGAATATAATCTTCAACTCATTGGTCAAACCCAAAAACATGAACGAGAAAATGCTAATGCGTGGAGAGTTGTTACTTAGTAATTTTGAATGTTTGTTAAAAAATATATTATGTTTTACTGATTTAGAAAATTATATTAGGTTTTACTTTTTTTTATTAATAGCATTTTATTTCTTTGTTGTTTTTTTTATTGACTCTTGTAATTTTGAATGTTTGTTAAAATTCATATGGATTTTTAAAATATTGTAAATCCATATTATTTTTTCAAATCTTATAAATTATATCTTAATAAATCTTGATTGTAAAAAAAAGTCTTTTAAAAATATATTTAAAGTGCCTCAAATTCTAAATAGTCTTTTAAAATCTACAAGATTTTTATCTCAAAAAAGTCTTTTAATATCTTAATCCAATATACCCCCTTTAATCTATCAATTTGGTATCCAGGTAATATATATTACTGATGGGGTCTTCAAGTCCCGTGGGGGGTGGACCAGCGACTTTGAGTCCACCCCTCCCCCTGCGGAACACTTTGTTCTAATTTTTTTTTTTGTCACCTAGTCCCGCTCTTACCCTCTTGGAATTGGATTTTTTATATTATTATACATAGTTTTTTTTAATTAGTCAATAGTTATACTTTTTTTAAATTAATTTTTTTTTTGTAAATTTAAATTAATTTTTTGGTGTTATCCTTACATCGACATGTATAATTAATTATATGTACAGATTTTATGTAATGCTTATTAGTTAATGAATAGTGATTAGTTTGTTAATAATGTAATTTATAATACTTGACTTGTTTATCTTATTTCTAATTTTTCCTACTTCTTTTTGTCTAACATTTTTGCTATATTCTTGTAGATATGGGGTCAGTTTATGCAATCATATATTACAATTATAGAATATATGAAGGTGCTTCAGGATGGACATTTAAGGGGAAAACAAAAATAATACAAATTTGATGCGGAGTGGGATTGCATGATTTAAAATCAAAGATTGCATAGAAATTGAAGCTCAGTCCCAATCAATCGATGTCTCAGATAACCGGCCATTATTGTACGATTGAAAAAATCACGGTGCTGGAAATTGTTGCTACTGATGATGTTGATATAATGTTCAATCTGTTTCAACAACAATCTACAATGACAATGCTTAAGTTGTATGCTGACATTGCTTGTGCAGACAGTTCTTCATTGCCAGTTGAGTCATTAGATCTAAATTTGCCACATTATGATGCTTCATCACATCGCTGGCAGAATACACATGTCAAATATCTAATATTTTGTAAATAATTAAACATTATACATGCTTGTGTTATTGGATTATTATCTACATATCTAATTGTTATATAATAATGTAAATACTATATAATTATGTAATTACACATGTGAAGTATCTAATTATTATCTCATTATGTAAATACATAATTATCTAATTACTATCTAATTATCCAATTATCTAATTCTCTAATTACGTAATTATCTAATTATTATCTAATTATCCGATTATATAATTCTCTAATTACATAATTATCTAATTATCCAATTATTAATTCTCTATATTGCACATGTCATACATCTAAATATTATCTAATTACATAATATTCTATTTATTTAATTATTATATAATTATTTAGTTACACATATCAAATATCTAGAATAACATAAAAAAGTATTGCATCTAATAAGTAATAAATAATTAAAACAATCATTAAAATATAATCATGACATATTTAAATAAAATAAAATTAAACATAACCAATTTTTTTTTTAACATAACCAAATTTAAATATGCAGTAAAGTTGAAAAAAAAAGAACATTATTTACCTTAGTGTTGCGCCTAGAAAAACGAAGAAAGTTTAATAATGTACCAACCGGTTGAATAAAATGCTCTTTGACCAAATTCTTTGTTGCTACCTCGGCCAAATTCCCGGCAGCCAATTGAGAACTCTTGGAAGAAAGGGAGAAAAAGATTTGAAGAAAGAGAAAGATATTTGAATAAAAGAGAAAAGAGAGAGATTTGAATGAAGAGAAATGAAACAGATTTGGTAGAAAGAGTGGAAGTAAAAAAGTGACTGGGAGATTTTTTTGATTGATTTTTATATTGGGCTCAGATGATTGAGATTGTGTCACTTGGTACACTATTTTTCAGGTGGAAGCGGCATTTACAAATAGAAAAAAAAGTAAGTACTGTGGACAGAGTTCAAAAAAAAAAAAAAAATCTTGAAATGTCTCGCAGAGGTTTGGGGTGAGACCTAATGAGTGTAGCTCAGTTGGTAACTTGGCGCTGAGTTAGTAGGGGTTGGATATGTGTTTGATTCCCGCTGAATGCATTCTTGGGGAGGGGGCTGAACCTTTAGCCATCACTGTTCCCCCGCACTCCGGATTAGTCCCATAGCCGGCTCAAAGAGTCGAAGCTCGTGGGGATACCAGAGGAAACCAACTCGTCTCAAAGAGATAATTAGAGTTGGATAACTCCAAAAAAAAGAGAGGTTTGGGGCGAGATTTAGACCGATGGCCTCCTGCAGCATTTAAAGATCTTAGACACTAATATATCTCAATCAAATATCAAATTAGTATATTAAAAGTTCATACATCCTTATTTGGTCAAAGAGCCTATCTGTTAGCGTAAAGTAATATGTGAATTGTTCATATTTCCTATACATAATTAATGAGATTATCTTCACCAAAAAATAAAAGATAAAAATAACTAGATTATAACACGTGATATGATTTTGTTTGTCTGTTTTAAATTTTATTATCTTGATTTTTTCATTACATATAAATATTAATTAATTTTATAAATAAATGTTATTATATAATGAAGATTGTAAATAATATAATTATTATTCTATTTGAAAATTAATACTAAATTCATTTAATCAAATAAAAATAATATAAATAAAAGGGGAGGTTACATTTACTCATCTTTGAAATGTGGTAGGCCTCAGGTTGTAATTTATTGGGTCATACTTATTAATTAATTAATTATTAATAAATTATAATTGTTAGATTGACGAAAATCAAAGAATAAGAGTTGGTAGTAAGAGATAGTAAATAGTAAGTATAACCTTTTTCTAAATAATAAAAACAATTTATAAATTTATTTGTCTCAAAATAATACTTTTATAAAAAATATAAAAATAACCGAAGAATTTCTTGAAACCATTTTTTCACCACTAATTTTTATTAATTCTGAATTTGTTGGATCATTAAATCTTTGATCGTTCTAAGTTTTCGAATAATCTGAATCAATAACTAATCAACATATTTTTAAAAGAAATAAGTTATGTCATTTTAGGATAGAGATAGACACAAGAAATAAAAATTATAGAGAGAAAGTGAGTGATTTTTTGTAATTTAATTTTTAAATAAAAAATATTACTATTAAAATAACATAATTTTATATCATTTAAAATGACAAATATTTCTTCTATTTTTAAAACAACACATAAAACTATAACTGCGCTGGCAACGGGGCTTCGTAGAGTACGGGGATAGAGATCGGTTATTCGCTCATGGGTAAATTGGCCTCCGAAGAGGAATGGAACCAGTGCTGGACCTGACTGAAAACCATAAGGGAAATAGGCCCAATCATTATAGGGCTTGTGGATCTATTTAAATTGAAAGACCCTGACTCAAAGTATGAATAAATTGCTTTATGAATCTAACTTTCTCGATACATATTTATTTGTAAATATTCAATAAAAGATTTTAATTCTTGGAACATTTTTGTTGTTGTTGTAGCTATCTATTCCTTTCTACTCCTTTTAAGCATCACTCAATGAATGCTTTTGTATATATTGCCACGAATTTTTTTTTATTTCCTTACGCAAAACATTTTCTAGGCACATCGGAGTCCAGAAAAGAGTTATGTCCAAATTAGTTACAGACAGTTTCATCATAGCCAGTAATCCAAATAATTCATATTATTGGGCAAATTAAAAAATTTAATACTGTTAAGATTACTCTATTATTTTTTGAAATAATAATAATAATAAAAACTGCTAGGTAAGGCGCTCGTGTGCCACTTCAAAAGAAAAGTATATACGAAGCCATATTTTCTTTGTTAGTTTCACTTTATGAAGGCTCAAAGTTCGAACAGAAATGACTCTTGGAAATAAAAAGCTTACAAAGAAAGAGACAGAGACTGTGATAGAACACGGAGTAAATAATTAAAAGGGGTCAATTCCTTACATTTGACGAACCAACAAATTCGGCTTCTGATTCGTTACCTGCATCTCTAACATTACCATTTATCCTTCCTTCACCATAACAAATATTTTTCCACAAAACCATGCCACACGCTATTCTTAACGTACCCAGTAAGTCACACTCGTAAATTCACTCACTCAAAAAGTTCTAACTATTTTGAGACAGCAAATGTTGTCTTTTTACCCTTTGCTAAAAACACAGAAAACGACTCTGCCATGCTCAACCCAACCGACCGTTTGTTATTTCTTCCTTTGTTCTTGTTCTTGATTTCCGCTCCTGTGTTTCAACAAAAATGTTTAGCCTCAGGGTCCCCTGTGCATGAAAGGAGCTTCAAGAGACCTGATCCTTTGCGACATTTCAAATACTACAATGGATATTTCGATGTTCGAAACAAGCATTACTTGTCTGTGAGTCGTTTTTCCCTTCTCTATTTCTTAAATTATGATATATTTATTTTTCTTTGAAATCACGTGTACCATCATCATATATGTATGTCTACTATAGGCACATATAGCGTATTATATTATGTATATCGGAATTTGAAGCCAAGGCAAGGTGTCACTCTACACTTTCACATACAGTTCATCATAACCTCAACCATGATTTTATATCATCATCATCATCATCATTATTAATATTATTATTGGCTGATTATAAACAAAAAAGTTTTGATCCTTTTCAGTCTGCGGCATTTACAGGAGTCCACGGATACGCATTTGCGGGAGTTTGGTTGTTATGTGGGGTGGCCTTCGGCATTTTTATGATGGTGAAGTGTCTAAGTGGTGGCTCTGTTTCATTACCATGTTTGAACCATTTCTATCTCCACATTTTCTTCTTGCTTCTCTTTTTGACCTCTCTCGCCATGTAAGTTCACAATTTCATACACTTTATCTTCCTACGCATGCACCATTCAACGTTATTAGATGAAACTGTAATTGAAGCAATTGGGTGTATGACAGAGTTGCTTCCAGTTTTGTCCTCGCCACGAGTCAGAAGACCCTGCAGAGGACAGAAAAACTGAAAGAAACTGTGCTGGATATAGGAGAAGATGCTCTTGGGACCTTAGGCAGAGTAATAAGAACAACGAAACAAATGCAATACCTTTTGCTTCCATATAATCCACAGATATGTTCCAGTTTGAATTCCACCACTGAAGACCTTAGAAGCAACTCGCGTGTGATCCACCGTTTTGTTGAAACAAGTGGGCAATCATTCGACAAAGCCACTCATACTTCGTATAAATTTTTTTCCCTTTAAATAACTTCGAAGTTGATTGTAATTGTGTTTCTTACTTTCTAATTCATTGATTTCGCGATCTTAATGTGTCATAGGTATGTAGTTCATTTCGTTGTTCTAACCATCAACTTAGTGACACTGGTTGCAGCACTAGGTAAGCATTAATCCAGCACAACATGAGAAGCCTCATTCTTATACCTTGTAATATACTTTATATTGTTTATATTTAGCTAATTTCCTCAGACAATTGATTGATATTAATTTGGTTTCATTAATTGTTTGCTCACTTTGCTGTTTTGACTCAGTTCTGCTGCTGCTGCATTGGCGTCCTGGGTTTATAATGTATGATATACTATCATTTTCAATGTTTTAATTAACTACAGAGTTAGTAGCTCTGTTCACTATTTTGCTATGACTTAACATTATTTAGCATTATTTTGTTTCAGCATAATTTTCTTGTTTTGGATCTTAACAAGCCTGTGCTGGTTCTTGACTGGTTTTGATTTTTTCCTTCACACGTGAGTAAACGAACTGTTCATGCATGAGTTATAAGTGGGATTGAAGTCATTGAAACCTCTTTTCAAGTGTCACGACGTTCTGTAAACTGTGCATGCAGTTTTGCAGATGATGCATGCTCAGCTTTAGAGGACTTTGAAGAAAACCCACAAAACAGTAGCCTGGGTTCGATGTTGCCGTGCATGAACGAATCATTCTCAGGGAACTTGATAGCTCAAATTGGCAACACCATCCACAATTTCATAGTTGAGGTACAAAATTTGAACTCCATTCATTCATTCATTCAAAAGAAAATGCAAACGAATGGTTTCTTTCTGTCTCAAGATGAATTCTAATATATTATGTTTTGATATAATGTTTTCTTTGTGTCTCAGTTGAATTCTAATATGTCGGTGATTTATCGGCTCCTAGGAGTAGGTGAAGAAAATGAAGAATTAATGGGAGTCATAAAGATTTGTGACCCTTTCTCAGGATCACCAAACTACAGCTACATTCCACAGAACTGCCCTCAGGATGCCATTCGGATTGGAGATTTACCAAAAGTAAGTCTTACACTAAATTAAAGCTAGACTGCTATTTATATCTTTTACAACATCTCTGAAAAGTAAACTCGTAATTAGATTCTTGCAAGGTTCACATGTCACGAAGAGGACAAAAGGGAAGAATGCACAAAAAAGGGGAGATTTCTTCCAGAAGCTTCTTACAACATGGCTCATGCCTATAGTAGATCCATCCAGGATTTGCTGGATATATATCCAGACTTGGAAAGACTGTCAAAATGCACCATTGTGAAGAACAAAATTGCTGAAATTGTGCTGCATCAATGCAGGCCAATAAGAATTTGGACTAGATTGTTGTGGTCATCTATGATGTCTTTGTCCATTATTATGGTAGTCTTGGTATTCACCTGGGTGGTGGAGGCTTTTCAATGCTGGGAAAAACCCCTCTCTATGTATTCTAGGACTCCAAGATCTACATAGGGGGTTTTATCTATTTACACATTTTAAAGGTAGATACAGTAATCAGGGGAGGAGGTATATACTTCTTTTCCTTTTCTTTTGTTCTGTGGTTTTTCCAATTTCAGCCTAATAACTGGGAAAATAGCACTCCATGCAGTTCGTAAGACAAACTGGAGAACAATGTAAAAAAATGAAAATAATTTGTTTCAAGTGTGAATATTGCATGCTTGTGGAAAAAAAAAAAGTTGTACATTGCAGTTGCAGCTTAATGATTTGTGTGAGATACATTGTATGCAATTGGTTGTAATTGTAAATATGACAATATATTACTGCAGTCATTTGATGTTACTGATATAAATTGTCTCCTGTATTAATATTGAATTCGCTTTTAAAACAATAGGAATAATTATGTTATATTACTAGTTTTATTAAGGGGTGTTTGGTAGAGTAAAATTTTTTTTGTCGGGAAATCATGATTACCAAGAATATAGTGGGAAAGTGAATTTTTCGATTGGTTGATTGTCAAATATTAATGGGAATGTCAAATTTTTCTGATACTTGAGATTTCAAGAATACCACCCTCCTAGTGGTATTTTTGGATGTCATTTTGCTATACAATTTGTTCACAAATCAGAATCTCAAACAAATTAGATTACTGAAAAAAAATTTAAAAACCTTCTACCAAATATTGGTAAATAGAATTCTCGTAAATTTAAAAAAAGTCCAAACGCTCCGTAAAGAAACAATGTACTTTGTTTTACTAAACTCTCTAAAGAATTATAATTTCCGGACAGTGGCGTAGCCACACATGTAGAGCTGTCAAAACGGGCCAGTCCGGCCCATTTAGCCCTAGCCCAAGTGGGTTAGGACCAAAAAGCCCACATTGATATAGATCTACACGGGCCAAAGCACTATGGGTTAGGGCCAGCCCGCGGGCCTTCTAAAAAAATAACGTATTTTTTTAAAAAAATATTTATAATAAAATGGTGCATAGAAATTATTAGAAAAAATAAATAAATAATTTTTAGAAAATTGTCACTTTTTTAAAAAATTATTGCATAGAAATTTTTTCGTAAGACGTTTTAACAGAAAACGTTTCTGTAAAAAAATTGACGAAAAAAAAAATTGTCAAAATTCTTTACAGAATCTTAATTCCATAATATTTTTGACGAAAATATTTCCAACGAAATTTTGACGAAAAAAATTTCCGTCGAAATTTTCGACGAAAATTTCTGTCAAAATTTTTGAAACAAAAATTTACGTCGAAATTTTTGATGAAAAAAGTTTTTGTTGAAATTTTTGACGAAAATATTTCCAACGAAATTTTGACGGAGAAAGTTTTTGATGAAATTTTTGAAGAAAAAAGTTTCCGTCGAAATTTTTGACGAAAAAATTTCTGTCAAAATTTTGACTTAAAAATTTACGTCGAAATTTTTGATTAAAAAAATTTTCGTCCAAATTTTTGACGAAAATATTTCCAACGAAATTTTGACGGAAAAAGTTTTTGTTGAAATTTTTGACGAAAAAAGGTTTTGTTGAAATTTTTGACGAAAAAAATTTCTGTAAAAATTTTGACTTAAAAATTTACGTCGAAATTTTCGATGAAAAAAGTTTTTGTCGAAATTTTTGACGCAAAAATTTTTCGACAAAATTTTTGACTAAACACATTTCTGTCAAAAATTTTTGATGAAAATTATTTTTGACAAAATTTTCGATAAAAGATATTTCTTTCAAAATTTTAAACGGAACACATTTTTGTTAAAAATTTCCCACGAAAATTATTTCTGTAAAAAACTTTGACGAAAATATTTCTGTAAAAAATTTCAACGAAAAAAAATATTTTGTCAAAAATCTTTACGAAATCTAAATTCCGTCAAAAGTTTCACAGATACATTACCCTCATAAATTTTGAAAAAAAATATTTCCGTTGTAATTTTCATTGGGTCACATTTTCATCGAAGATTTTGGACGGAAAATATTCCGTCAAATTTTTTGAAAGAATTCTTTTTTCCCTCAAAACTTTTGATGAAATTTTTTTCGTTGTAAATTGGGTTGAGTATTGTAGCCCGCGGGCCAGCCCCAACCTAACCCTATAATGAGAGGACTTTAAAAGGATGGGCTTAAAATGGCCCCATTACGTAGAGGGCTAAAATTTTGATGGGCTGGCCCTAGGGCTTAATGGGCTGGCCGTAGGGCTTGAGTCCTTTTTGACAGAACATGCACCTGCTTGTTTTAATTTTTTGTTTACTTATTATATATATTACATAATTAATTATAATTAATCAAAGTTAAAATTATAATTTGGCACCACCTAAATAAAAAATTAAATGCTCAATACAAAGTAACAACAAACTATGTAAATGCAAACAAATAATAAAAAACATGTACCGTTGTTATTTTTGTGTTTCACCTTCTTTTATTTTTTATCTTGTATATTTGTTTTTTTTCGCTTTATTCTAATTAGTTATGTTATTTATTCTTATTCCTATTATTTTAAAAAAGAAAGACTTCTAAACTTAATCAAAAAAACAATTAGTTGACATATTTCAAAATTTGGACTCAACTAAACCAAATAAACCCCTTAAAAGTAGGGAAAATGGTTTGTCCTTTTAAAGGACAGAACCTTGTGTCTTTTTAATTTTTGACACTATTTTTTAATGGTAAGACATAGTTATAATATGAAAAAAATTATTTTTCTTTTTCTTTTTCTTTTTCCTCAGTCACTTTAGCTGACGTGTAGAGAGAGAAAATAACTTTTCATGAAAATAGCTTTTTATGTTATAACTATATCTTAACGGTATAGACATAGTGTTAAAAACTAAAATGACACAATTTGTGTCATTTAAAAGGATATACACTTAACCCTTAAAAGTAACAATCATGAAACCAAATGAATAACATGTTTATAGTTATGGAATATGAAGGTCCATTAAACTATTGTGCTTTGAGTTATTGGAGACCCAAAGAATAGTCAAAAATCTAATTATCAAATGTGAGAACTTTCCTTTGTGCTTATGGCTATTGAAAATAAGGGTGATGTTCTCTAACGAGAGATATTGAAATTTTAACGAATGGAGATAATGAAAAAGAGACGAAAGACAATGCTTATTATATATATAATTATTATATTTGTGTGTTTTCATATCCTTAGAAAAATGTTTGGTTCGTTATTTATTATGTTGTGGGAGGAAAGTGAAATTCTTATGTTTGAAATGCTTATCGAAAATGTCAGTGCATTTTTATATATTTGATTTGATATATAATCAATGATAATTGTTCATTTGAATTTTCAATGTTATGTGATATTATTTAGTACATAATTTTGATAATTATGCTAGAATTCATAGTAAAATTTTTTCCTTATAATTTAATATGTGAAATTTTCTGGCACCACCTAAATTTTTGGGCTGGCTCCGCTACTGTTGCCGGACATAAAAAAATTTATCCATTGCCAAATATTTCTAACAATTATGTCTAAAATAGTAGAAGTTGGTTGCGATAGTATTGTTTGAGGACGTAAATATGCCACTACACAAAAAATAAGAGACTATTGGGATGTATAATTATTTCCATTGGAAAATTACACCTAATTAAATTCACAAAGCTAACGTCCAAACAGGGGTGGATATTAGTTAGGGCTAACCTTCCTCTCCCAAGAAAATAAATAAATTTTCCAGTGCTTACTCCTGTCACTAAAATCGTGCCTGTGCAAAATCAAAGTATGAATTTTTAAGAGAAAGAGAGGGGGGCATTCTATCTTTCAAAAAAAAAGAAAAAAACAGAGGGGGGTTATCGCCTTCACAATTTAGGGACTCGGAAAGCCACCTATTTCATTTTCAAGATATTGAGGGAGATCCCAATGAAATCAGAGTTGTAGTCCTGTTCGCAAATGGTACAATGAAAACGAAATTGATTTGGTTTTAGGGTTTTATAAGAGTTATGTTGTACGAAAAGTGATTGTGTAATGTTATAGAGATTCGTTTTGCGTGCCTGAATTTTGTATTTATTTTTTTGTTTTAAAAAGTGTGGGCCCCATAAAATATTGTGAAGGTAGGAAAGTTTGTTATGTCATGTTAAAGGATAAAACTAAAACCCTTGGTTTTAATTTGGGTATCATGAATTCGAGAGTGCGAGAGCAATGCACCGATAACGAGGAATTATCTTCAGAGAAGATGGCTAAAGAAAATTATCTTTAGGAATTATCTCTAGTTTATCTATAAAAAAAAAAAAAAAAAAAAACCACCAAATCAAATTTTCAGAGAGGACATTTCCTTTCCAATTTTTTTTTTTTGTGAAAAATGAACTACAAAAAAAATAATGCACAAATATTGAGTAGTGCATAATTAAGAAAAAAAAAATGTTGCGGGCATTACCATTTAAATGAATAATAACAAACTTCCTCATGTTATCAAAGAATAACTAACCAGTCAAATGACCTGCTATTTGTGTTTGAACTGTGTGTACTTTCTACTCTGCTCCAACCATTACTAAAAAGTCGCTATGAGACAAAACATACATTTTTTTTTTATTACGAGAAAAAAATAATACAGGACATAGAATATGTAAAATAATTTTATACTATGATACTTATACTTAATTTAATTTAAAATATATCTCTATCTTAATCCATTGAAATTAAAGAGTGAATATAACTTGTACACTTTATATATATAAATTTACTAAAACAAATGAAAACCCAGTAGTTGGTAGTTTCACTTGTTAAATTTTATTTTATTTTTTTAAATTATTCTATATCGTGAAAAAAACTTTAATTTTAAATTTTTTTAACAACTAATTAATAGTTAATAAGTCCTTTTTTTAATGTTATTTTCACATCCAGCGTCACCATAACATTTTTTTCACGCCAAAGTCCGTTTTATTCACCTTTTCTGCTTAAGAAAAAAAAAAAAGCCTTCTAATGTTCACGGTACAGAAAAGTTAAAATAAGAGTCGTGTTCGGTCATCAATCATGTTCATGATCTCCGTTTGGCACCAGATTACTATAGATAATTGAATACACTGTATTTAAATGCTGAGATTTCGCTACCTGTCATGATATAATGGACACCCGGCAATAAAAATCTAGTATTTAATCCCACCCTATGATATAGGCAGTGGCTTCGTATTTATGTTAAGTAGACACAAAATCAACGAAAGAAAGAAAGAGGAGAGAAGAAACCAAACAACAACAAAACAGAATAAACCAAGGGAAAGGATTGTTTCCTTGATGCTCATCTCATATTTATGGTAAAAGGAAAACTTCTAGAACTGTCCTTGTGGTCGGTACCAAAAGCCACAGTAACACAGTAACACAGTAACAATTGCTTTGGTTGCAAATCAATGTCATCAAACTGAGACTCAGATCCAAACTGCATCGGAAGTTAACTACCCCATACCCAACATCATCTTGTTAATTTTTAATTTTTTGCCTTCTCTCTTTCTCTGACCTCGTATTTGGATTCAGCTTAATTTGGTGTTTGTGTTCTGCCAGTGTGTCTGTAACGTTGAAAAAACACCAACAAAACCGCATGTCGGGGAGTTTTGCTCATCGCGTTGTTGGGGGGCTACTAGGTGAGAGTGCGACTCTTCCACTTCAGTTACACTTCGCTTTTATCATGCATCTATTAGGTTTATTTATTTATTTTATTAGAGTCTGCATATGAATTCCTCTTTTCTCAACCTTCAAGCGTTGTTAATTTTTGGGTGTGAGCTGTTTTGTGGGATTGGGATCTGACACATGGGGTTGAACTCTGATTCCTATAGTTTGATGGAAAATCAATCTTTTTTTTTATTTTTCCCTTCCCCTCATGTCTGTTACTGTTACAACATCTCACTGCATAGTCCTGATTTTATCTTGCTGAAGATTAGAATGATGAATTCATGGTGATAATTAATACATTGGTACGAATTAAAGATAGTGCTTTGAATTACATCTAACAAACCTGGAAGAGAGAGTCAGTTATTATAACAAATCGAGCATTGAGACTGCTTGCTCTTTAATTTTTAATTTTGTGATTACAGTATATGCATAATTCATGAAACCGAAAAGGGGACAAACCCAATTAGGCATAGTTCAGTGTCATCATTTGCAGTTATCATAATGATTTATGAAATTCTGTACCATGTAGGCTAGATGTTTGTGACTTCTATTTGGTCACTTTATCAGGTTTCCATAGGTTGCATTTTGTTAATTGCAGCATTCTCTTGAAGATAAAAGGGAAGAGAAAATGAGGATGAGGAACAAATACAGGAAACCAACAACTTTACGTTGCAATGCAGGGAGCAGATGTTCTACGTCTGTTGTGGTATTGAGCTTGCTAGGATGCCTTCTTTTGCTTCATTTATATTCCAATATTCGTCAAGGAGATGGAGATGGTGGAGAGTCTCAAGTGCGTGTGGTTCATCATCCCCAATTCCGTGAACTTCAAGAAGTGGAAGAGGAGAACATTCAGATTCCCCCACCAAAGGGAAAGAGGTCCCCTCGGGCTGCAAAACGCAGACCTAAACGGACAACCACACTGATTGAGGAATTCTTGGATGAAAATTCTCAACTGAGACATGTGTTTTTTCCTGGTTACAAAAGAGCTATAAATCCAATGCAGGCTGCTGAAAATGATAATTATTACTACTACCCTGGTAGACTTTGGTTGGATACTGATGGAAATCCCATTCAAGCCCATGGAGGGGGTGTTCTGTATGATAAAAAATCAAGGACATACTATTGGTATGGTGAATATAAAGATGGGCCCACCTACCATGCTCATAAGAAAGGAGCTGCTCGGGTAATTTATTTTATTTTAAAGAACTCTTTTGTTTGTTAGTTAATAATTGCCGTTATACTGTACCTAAAAAAAAAAAAATTGCCGTTATGGTTGTAAGATTTTATGGAGCTTATTTTTTATTATTGTAAAAATTTAATGGTTGTCGTAGTGGTTAGCATCTTTATGCAAATGCAATGTTTTATATGATTGCATCTTTCGGTTATTTCGATGTAGAAAAACAATAAGAAGACTTCCTGGTAAGCTAGAACTCACTAGATTAGAGATGCATGTTTGATTCTCATATCTGCATTGATTCCTTCTCTGTTTCCAGTTGCTTACTTAGAGATGCATTTAATTCGTGTTAGATTATTTATTGTTTAAGGTGCTGTATGCTTCAAGTAAGTAATTTCTGTGTCGTTTAAGTTCTTAACATTCTTAGTATCAGCATTAGTAATTCAATTCTTTGGCTGAGAAATGGTATATGTTTCCAAGGTCTCATTTTGTTCTTGAGATGCTAAAGTTAGTCTAAAAGGGGGATATATAATGACCTTTCAATTTGACAGGTTCAGATATTAGAAAATGTAAGAGTCTTTTCAATTTGGATTAAATGCAAACATATGGAGAGCTCATGTTTAAAAAAAAAGAATCACTCCCTATTAAACCTCGACTAGCAAAGGTGGGGGTGAGGGTAATTCTTGTACGCAGTCTTACCTTTGCATAATTGCAAATAGGTTGTTTCCCGGATTCGAACCTGTGACCTTTCAGTCACAAAGGAACAGCTTTAGGAGAGTTCATGTCTAAAAAAAAGAAGTAGTCATCCTAAGAGATATAAAGCTAAAGGATGCACTTTACAGAATAAAATGCAAAAATACCTTTGCAAAAAGTTGAGACCTTCTGCTACAAGTGAAATTGCATAGGTTCTATGCACAGCCTTTTTCACCTATCTAGAGCTCAAAAATTCCATTGGCTATTTGTTCAAAGCCCCTCAGAAATCCACTGATTATAAGTTCTTAATACTTGCAGTAATACCACTTCTTGCTTACCTCAAAGGTAACAATTTCTTTAAGTTGAATTTACATGGCTTTATATTCACAACAAAGAAAAGAAAAGATACTGGCTTTTTTTTACCTTCCTCGTGGTATTCCCTTACCTCACCCAGTTGATATGGCTTTAAGTGATGCGCAAAAGTCAGGGAAATTTCTTTTACAAGACTCAAAATTCTCCGTGCTAATTGAAAGGCACATCTGGTCAACTAGCAAGTTTACAAGTGGAGTGGCTGAGGAAGAACTTTTGTACCTGTATCCAAATAACTTAGGCAATCTTATCCTTTTTGTTCATTTTTCTATTAGGAAGAGCAAAGCTTGTATTACTAGTGAGTTTGAGTTTAGAATGTTTTTGGTTCCATGCCCAAGTAGATATCATCATGAATGATATTCTTAGTACCAATAGGAGTTTTTTTTTTATGTTTTTTAATCTATGTTTTTCCTTTTCCTCCCTCTGCTTTATGAACATAAAGTGAACTTGTTTCTCCTTAAATCAGAATTCGCTTTCAATTACTTGTATATTTTGAAATAACTATTTTCCTTACTCTTGTGGTTATAGTAGTGTTTTTGTATGATAATTTGAGCCTATATATCTTGCCGTTATAACCTCACCTTCCAGTATCTACAACAGGAATACTTTTTTATTTATATTTTTAAACCAACCTTGCACATTTACTTAGATGCATAACTTTGTGTCCAAACACTAGTCATTATCTCTTTCTCCATCAGGTGGACATTATTGGAGTTGGTTGCTATTCTTCTAAGGATTTGTGGACCTGGAAACATGAGGGAATTGTATTGCCAGCAGAGGAAACAAATGAAATGCATGATCTGCACAAGTCTAATGTGCTTGAGAGGCCAAAAGTGATTTACAATGAGAAGACTGGAAAGTATGTGATGTGGATGCATATTGATGATGCCAACTATACCAAAGCGGCTGTTGGCGTAGCAATCAGTGATGCACCTGATGGTCCTTTTGATTATCTCGGTAGCCAAAGACCCCATGGATATGAAAGCAGGGATATGACAGTTTTCAAAGATGATGATGGTGTGGCATATCTAATCTACTCCTCTGAAGACAATAGTGAACTGCACATTGGACCCCTTACCTTAGACTATGTCAACGTGACATCTGTCATGAGAAGGATTCTTGTGGGACAGCACAGAGAAGCACCAGCTTTGTTCAAGCATCAGGGTACATATTACATGATCACATCGGGCTGCACAGGATGGGCCCCAAATGAGGCACTGGCTCATGCAGCTGAGTCAATCATGGGGCCTTGGGAAACAATGGGAAATCCATGCCTCGGAGGAAATAAAATGTTTCGGCTTACAACATTCTTTGCTCAGAGCACTTTTGTGCTTCCTCTACCTGGCTTCCCAGGTTTATTTGTTTTCATGGCAGATCGGTGGAATCCAGCTGACTTAAGGGACTCAAGATATGTATGGTTGCCTTTGATAGTGGCAGGACCTGCTGATCAGCCTCTGGAGTACAGTTTTGAATTCCCATTGTGGTCAAGAGTGTCTATCTATTGGCATAGAAAGTGGAAACTGCCTCAGGTTTGGAACGGTTTGAAATGATGTAGATTCTCTTTGTAGATTTGTGGTCATATACAAAGTCTCGGTATATATCTTACCGTGTTGCATGTCTTGCATGCACTTGTTGGAAAGTTCGTGGAGTGCTTGAGGAATCAGACATAGAAACTTTTTAAGTCTCAATAACATGCAGTGGACTTGAAACCTCTTAAATTTAGGGGAAGTTGAGATTAATTTGAGGGAGCTTATGTATATTGAGAAAGATTATTCACATAATTCGAGTTTTGCTAATAATTCAGTATTGTTGATTAGTTGTGTCGCGACATTATGTGTAATTAGTTATGTAAATGATTCTTTCATATGTGTACTTTATGTTGATTTTTATTTTTATTTTTTTGGTGGGTTTCTTGGAATTGCTTCACATGCATTTTCAGTTTGTGCATAAGATTACGAACAATAAGAATATGCTGTTGGTTTGGCAAAAGCAAAGTATCCGTACAATCACCAATTGCATATAGCCAAGAATTTCCCTAAAGTTAGATGGATGGGCTGTTGAAACTTGAACATATATCATTATCGTAATTAGGGCCCTCCTGGGCTTGGGTTTAGCTTGTGGCATATTTCTAATAATAAAACCCGTAGGAAGGCCTAATGTTGGGCCCAATTCTGTGGCCCAAATGATGTGATCCCAGTAGCTGGCTTCAACATATGCTTGGATCTGGTGTGGGATCTCAAGTTGCATCAAACCACCGTCTCAGGCAAAAAGTGACTGAAAAAGTGAGCAGGAGACTGGGTATATGACAATTTCAATTAATTTTAATCGTAAGTTTGGTCCTTATTTTCTTTCTTAGTCATTCTCGTTTAGCTTTTCTATTATTAAATTAGCAAAATATAATCTCGCCAGTATTGTCGGAAAGAGGTTTTTCTTTTTTTATATTTATTATTATTACCCAAACGGGTTAATACAGAGAGACAAAGATCTTGAAGTGCCATGGGTTGGAAATTATACACTGGAGTTAGGCTTGTACTTGAACTGGTCCCATAAAAAACATAAAGATCAGCTTGTCGTTGTCATTGCTATAGAAAAGGATACTAAAGCGTAAACCTGCAGAAGGTGGTATGGGCCAGCATCAAACTCCCTTATTAACAAACACCAAAAGAAAGCAACTAATAAATGTTTTTAAATCAGGGAGGTGGGGAAAGATGCAAAAGAGTGGAGAGTGGATAAGTTAACGTGGAGGGGGCAAGTCTCATCAGAAGTTCAAGATATGCAACCCTTAAAAGATGAACCCACTATTCATATTATTTCCTTTTCATTGTTTATGTGTACGTACGATTCATTGGCTTTCATGGGAAAAAGGAGCCTCTTATGAGCCCCCCCTATCTTACCTTCATCAAAGAGCTCAGGGTTTTGTGGGGCCATACAGAAGGTAAAGCTAAAATATGTGTCATATACAAAAATAATTGAATTTAGAGTTAGAAAGAGAGAAAGACATTAAAAAAAAGAAGAAGACCATTTCAAAGGCAGCGTGCTGGCCACTAAAACCCTTAACCCACTAACGCCAATACGCCTTTTAATGAGATTCCTCAAGCATTAACCCAACTTGGTGACCGTCCTAAGATTCTATTGCCCAAAAACTAGATAACGACCTCGTTTTATATATGCAGGTTTATGGTTGCGCCTTCACTTAGTCATTAAACTCTTAATATTATTTATTAAACTCCAAATATCCTTGAAGCTGATATCATCTTCGTACGTCAAAATACCAAACCCTGTTTGTTTTCATGGACCTATTAATTTTGTGAACATAAATTAAGATTATTTTGGTGGGCCAGTATACGGCTAATTACTATTTATTATCTAAAATATTATAAAACAGGAGATTACAAGAACATTGTCCATCTTAATTATGTTTTTCCTTGCCTTGCCTTGATGGTTAGTTAAGAACATAAACAATTATGTAGCTCATCTCTAGTCAAATTTGGACAGAACCAAGCTTAAAGATAATACATATAAATCAATGATCAACAACCGCCAACTTGAAATTAGTCAATGTGCTTGAACCTGTAAACTTGGATGGTGACAATTAGTTATTTTAGCCTAAGAAATTTGGACGCTGTTATTAATATAACAAAATAAAATAATAAATACTTGACAGAGTAATTTCACAATCATTATCATTGGTAATTCATTATTATTTTTCTTAGTTATTGAAAAGGTCCCTGTATTTAATCAGATAAATAATAAATATTAAATGTGATTATCACTCACTAGTCACTACAAATTAGGCTTAGCAACAAGTACTCGTTCAAACTTATTAACCAAGCATTTGTTTCTGTTTTTTTTCTTCAATTCTATCCTTGATATTGATAAATGAGAGAAATTATTAATAGAATGATGATAATATTTTGAATAATCTTTAAAAAATATTTTAAGTAATTTAATATAGGACAATTCATTCAAACGTATTTACATTTTATAGATATAACTAAATTTTAATAACTTACTTAGTTATTGTATAATGATCTTAAAATAACCAATAAAAAAAATCAGAAAATAATAAGTTTGGTGCTAGTAAGATCGAGATGCATTGTTTTAATTCTTAACACTGAACAATTGAAATTAAAGTCGTTTCAATTAATTCATACATATATAAAAATTTGCAAGCCAAAACCTGTACTATACTTCTAATTAAAAAAAAGAAAAGAAAAGTGAATAGTAATCAAAACCAATTTAGTTGATGATTCCTTTTTGAATAATTAATACAAGCAAACTCATAACCACCAATTAATCCTATTGTCTTACTTACCAAACTTTAAAAAAATAAAACCCATAACTGAAAAAAGAAACAAAGAAAAAAGAAAACCCAACACAGGCACGTGCTAAGAGAACAAAGAACACGTGCGAATCAGTCACGTCAAGTCATCCTCCCACCACGTCAAGGCCTCCATGCACTGGCCCACACCACCGGCTGATCCTTCCACGACAAGAATATTCCGGTGTCGGAGCACTGTGTCATTGACCAACCCTCCTTGTACCTCCTCAAAAGTGCTCTCACATCATCGCAAACCTCCTCGCTAAACGGCACAGTATTGAAGCCACCCCCATGCAGACGCTGCGACCACCGCGACGCCGTTTCACGCCGCTCCATGGAGTCTGACGGAGCACAGGCGATCAAATCAACGATGGCTCTCCCCGCCGCTCGTTCAAGCATCAAACGTTCATTGCTCGTCCTCGAGAAACTCTCATCCAAAGCCTCAAAGTAAACCCTAAACCATCTCAAGCATTCTTGGAAACCTTTCACAAACTCAAACCCTTCAAAACCCACATCAAGGTCAGCTTCCTCTTCCACAACGGTCACAATCCTCGGTTGCAACCTGCATAACGAAGATATCAACACGTCACGGTGGTTACCAACGGCTGTGATCGAATGGAAAGCGTTGACACAGTTAATAGCCAAGGCCTCATCGTCCTTAATGTCTAATTCGGAGAAATCCAAGTCGGAAAGATGACCGGAATGATGAACGACATTGAATTTAAAGGGAACACCCATGAGCCTGGCGAATTTTTCCATCCTGGTGCCTATCTCCTTCATGACTTTTTGAACGGAGCCACCGGGAGTGGCGGTGACGACGGTGGTCAGACGGAGGTGTGGTGTGTCGTCGTTGCGAGTGGCCAATGCTTCGAAGAGGGTAGGCCATTGGGTGCAATAGGTGTTGCTAATGTCAATTATATGCAACTTTTGGTGTCCTTCTAAGGCCTCCAAGATGGCACCATTGCAAGCCACGTGGCCGAATGTTGTCCATGGGCTCACCTCTTGGAACTTCAACACCGTCTTCCTCGTCGATTCGAAGGAGCATGTTTTCTCCGATGCGGAGGCTAAGGTTCGGTAGGTTCGGTCACCTGCTTCGGTCATGCGGCTAAACAAGGCTTGGAGGAAGTAGGAAGCGAGTTTTTGATCCGTGTCACCGTAAGGTGAGCTTAGCTCGTTGAGCATCCACATGAGTTGGTTAATACGAGCGCTGTTCTTCTCAGCAATGGCACGTGCTGTTTCGAGGAGGATGTCCTGGGCCCACTTGCCGGTTGAGAATTCCAAGTTGAAGTTGAAGGAGAAATCAGTGGTTGTGGTTGTGGTGGGGGTGGGTGTGTTGGTGTTAGTGTTAGTGTTAGTGGTAGTGGTAGTGGAGGTGGATGGGTGGGGTTGATAAGGATAGACGTAGTGTTTGGAAGAAGAGGAGGATAAGTCATCTTCATCCATGAAAAAGTTGAAGCATTCTTCTTCGTCTTGTTGTTGTTGGAAGTAGTGATGATAGTTTTGTGTCGAGGATCTAGAGCTGCTAGATGTTGTTCTGGTGGTGGTGGTGGTGGTTGTGGAGTTGAGGGATTGATGATCTTCTTGGTGTGGAAAATTCACTAGCCTAAACAACGTATCCATTTAACCAACATCGATCAATAAACTTTGACTCTGATGATGATATGGATGGTCGCGTCCCAGCACAAGCTAGCAAAGGTGCGTAACGTGTTTTTAACTCTGGGAATTTTGGAGGGGTATTGTCGTGGATCAATTAGGATTCTCTCTAGCTATAGTTAACCTTGCAACAAAATTCGGTTAATTTTTAAGGGAAAGAAAAGAGATAGATGAGAGGGTTAAAATTAATGTAGCTAATATAGTTGATTAAGTTGTGCTTTAATTTGCTCTCCTTTTTGTGCAATTAATCGATGTGCGGGGAAGGGGGAATTAGTGGGGTTGGGTTATTCTTTTATTGAAAATAAATGGGTATGGAGAGAGAGAGAGAGAGTGTGGATTCACTGAGAAGTGTTTCTTAGTCAATAACTAAATGACTTGGTAGGGCTTTGTGGCCTAGCTGATGCTTAGAATAGAATTGGTGTCTGACAAAAGATGAAAAACAACAAAGTGTGAGCAAAAGGTAGAAAGAAGAGATCCTTTTCATTCTTTTTGAGAGAGAGAGAGAAAGAGAAAGAGAAAGAGAAAGAGAAATTTACAAGTATTTGATGAGTGGGAGCAGGCGTGCCAAACTGCCAATTGGGTATAGAGAGAGAGAGAGTAAAGCTGCCGGCGTGGATCATCTTCATCAAACCCACTATCATCATTCATCTCTCATCAGCAAAACCCACTCACGTTACTTGCCTCCTAATCCCTCTCCAAACCCTGCCAAAATTCCAACCAACTTTTTTCCCTTTTCTATTCTATTCTATTTACAAAAACCCACACATCATTATGTCATATATATAATAATATTCTCTTCTAATACCAAAATGCACTCCTTCTCAAAGTTCTAGGGCATGCCTTCTTACTTTTTCTGCACTCCTATTTGATGGTTTATAAGCACGCACTAATTACTAGCACCCAAACTCTAGCTAGCTAGGCCATTTCTTTGAACTTCGAAGACCAAACCCAACCATTGCTCTCATCCCATGTCCTACTCCTCAAATATTTATTTTTATATATATATATATAATGATTGCTGCCAAAAACTCTGCTCAACTTTCCGTTGGTCTAACTCAGTCTACAACCCCTTAATTAATCTTTGTTAGGTATTAGAATAAAATTACTTCCCCATTTGTTGCCCGGACTAGACTACCCTCCTTACATATTGATGTCCCAATTATTATTATTATTTATTTATTTTAAAACCAAGTCTCTGATTGTTGTATATATAGTTTGGAGGGGTTTTCAGTATGTCTGCTTTTTTAGTAGTCATTGTAATTATTATTATAGAGTGCGGTTGCCGTATAGCTATTGTTTCTTAAATAGGCCAATTGATTATTGATTAGAGGGGAACGTGTTTGGAAACGTACACGGGCTCTTTGTTTTTCTTGTTCAATAATCTCTTACAATTACGTTTAATTATAAACATGTTACAACCGGACAAAACATTATATACTCTATTCGCTCGCTAAATATTATCTTATTTTATCTGTTTTAAAGTGAGTCTAGTCTTTTTTTATTTTTCCTTTTTCTAAGCCATTACTCCCAGACAGGATGAGACATGTTATTAGCCATATTGAAATATCAATGACCGTATATACAAATGGGAAAGGTGGTTTCGTGATCAGCTTTTTCTTTTTCTTTTTTTTTTCTTTTGTTGTTTCCCCTAATTGTGGAGGTGAGGAGTGATAGTGAAAGGGATCCATCTTTTGCTTTCAAGTTCAACCAAGATAGTGAAAACTTCCCAATTTGCACCCATTACCAGAGCTATATATTAGATTTAGTTTATGAATTTAGCCACAAATAATAGAAATTCAATACCCTTCTCTACCCTGTCAACAAATGAATAAATAAAGCAAATAAGACATGGACGTGTACCACTTAATTTTGGCGACTTTTCTTCTTTCTTTTTCCTACACGTTGAGGTGAGCCCCATATCCCCATTTTAAATTATATTGAAAGCTATTACATTTTTAAGAAAGGATATAGTTGACGTATCAACTGCTTCAATTATATATAATACTAGACAATTTCTTTTGGAGTGTAGATAGATAAAAAAAAATTTGTTATTTTACTTCTAGTATAGTACGTCATTTTCATAATTAGTAATTTACTTCTTTCATTTTATAATTAATAAATTGAATTTCGTAAAATAGAAACAAGGACATAAACTACTCTTTATTTGTTAAAGTGATGTAACGGACCGACCATCTTTACTTAATCATTTCTTAAGATATATGTGAGTGAGTTTATTTTACTCTCGATCAGTAGCAATTGTTCCCTTTATGCTTTCGAAAGACAAATTTTATAGTGTATCGATATTGTTCTTGTTGAAATAGTGTAACACGCGGCACACTCTACACAACAAATTTTAAATCTCAATTTTAACAAAACAATAAAAAATAAAATAAAAATGAAAGTGACAAAACCATATACAATCTTTAAAGCTAGTGTTTAGTTTAACACCATAAAGTTTTTTGGTAGATAATTCAACACTACAATATAAAGTAACATTTGAGTGTTACTCTTAAACTTGTATCAATTTGCACTTAAAATTTACGGCCTACAGCATGCCACATAAGCATTGTACGGATACAAAATGTTGACTTATCTCTCTGTAAAACTAACCATTCCAAAAAGTTGATATAAAGAATTGTTGAGAATGACTCTTATTTTGCATCTAGTCGATAATTTATGTTTTTTGTGCTTGTAAATGTCTAGAGCTGCTTACCGTTTATTTAATAATTTGGGGTTGCTCTTACGAAATTATATTTCCTAATGTGTTTGTGGGTTATGTATTGTATAAATAATTATATTATGTTATTTGATATATATTGGATAAATTAAACTGATTAAACAAAGATGTCCAAATAGATTCCTAAGTAAGTGTGGGACAAATGGGTGGATATAAGTGTTGGATCAATTAGGTATAATGGGAGTTTACTGGCCCAAAAATTAAAAAAAAATACTATAAAAGGTTATGGTCCCCAATATGTCAAATAGTAACCCTAGTTTCTCTTCCTCATAAAGGGAGAGACAACACACTAAAGAATAAGGATTAAGGTTATTTGACTGAGGAAGATCGCATATCTCAAAGGTGAAGATCGAAGTTATTCTGCTGCTATTGAGACATGTATGCTTCCATCTTTTTGTTAATATTCCTTTACGATTTGGTACGATGGATCTTGGTTTGTTGGTGATGGTTATCATCATAAGGTTAAGAGGAATTATTATTCCAACAATTGGTATCAGAGTCATCATCATATTGAATCACGAGGGAATTAAGTTTTGTGATTTTTATATATGATGAATCATGAAAATTTTTGTTTTATTGTCTCTTGGCATAAATTTTTTTGAACTTGGGTTTCATCTCATGTATTTTGTATTAGCTATGTAGTGTTATTTTTGTTTGACTTTGGAACAAAAGTTGCAATCTTTTGAAAATCTAGGATTCTCAGTTTAATGAGGGTTTATTATTTAAACTTTTGAATCTGTATAAAGATGTAATATTTGATATTCTTTGTTAAAAGCTAAATATAATTTTTTTTGGGGTATTGTGCATCATTTTCAAGCTTTCATTTGAAAAGACTTACCTGTGCATCGACTGTGCATCATTTTTAAGCCTTATAATGAAAAGGTATTTATTGTTATTGATATAGTATATATGTATGTACATTGAGGATTGATAAAGAATAATTTTCTTTATTGTTGTTATTTTATTTTTAAATGGGTTTATTATCCAAAGTTTCTATTTGAAATTGAATATGATAGATTTGTTAGCCGCCAAAGTGGCCATATTTATAAAGGTTAATTTGATTTCAAATAGATTGATCATATAAATATATATTATTTATGCGAATAATTATCGGCCCAAAAGAAGGTAGTTGTTTGGCCAAATAATATATGTTGTATGATCATGTGTGTGTTTGTTGCTTATACAGATAATAGTCGGTCCAAAGGAAGATTATTATTTGGCCAAGTAATGGACATACCTGTGGTAATAAATATGTGACAATTATTAAGGTTTCACCATGTGAGTCATAGTCGGCCCAAAGGAAGGTTATGGTTTGACAGGAGTTATTGACAATTTTTTATTACTTCATTGAGAGTACTACTTACAAGTTGATATTTTTGTCCAAAGAATGTCAATGTTGTGCTAGGTATCTTGTAAATAAACTCATTTGACTTCAGATTATTTGTCAATATCATGCATGTAACATGATTATGATGGTGTTTAAATATATACATGATATGACTATTATGAGTATGTTATCTTATTCCGTTCTCTTTACAGTTTCTGCTACTTCTGCTAACTTTGTTGCTCAAGTGAATATGATTCCCATGCTTAATGGGGTGAATTTCAAGATTTAGAAAGAGCATGTGGAAATTGTTCTCGGCTGCATGGATTTAGACAATGTACTAAGGACTGAGAAACCCAGTTCTACTTCAGAAAATCTGAATACTGATAAGGTTGAGAAGTGGGAACGCTTAAATTGCATGTGTCTGATGATCATGAAACACTTTATTCTGGAGGCGTTTAGGGGCTCGATAGTTGAGACTACTGATGCCAAGATGTTTCTGAAGGAACTCGAGCAATACTTTGCTCGAAATGAAAGAGACCGAAATGGGTCAAACCTTATCCAAACTCATTAATATGGGGTATAATGGAAAAGGAAACATAAGGGAGTACATTATGGAAATGTTTAACCTTGCTGAAAAACTAAAGGCATTAAAGTTAGAGCTGCCATCTGAGTTGCTCACGCACTTAGTTATAATCTCTTTTTCTGCACAATACGGTCAGCTATAACACCTAAAGGGAAAAATGGACTTTTAATGAGCTTATTGCTCATTGTGTGCAAGAAAAAAAGTTACAGCGAGAAAAGACTGATAGTGCTCACTTGGCATCAACTTCTCAAGGCAAGAAAAGAAGAGAGCTAAGGATAATGCAGAAGCTTTGCCCGTGCAAAAGAAACAAAAGAAGCTGGATCAGGAATTCACTTACTTCTTTTGTAGGAAATTTGGACACATTGAGAAAGAGTGTTCCAAATATTTGGCATGGCGCATAAAGAAGGGTATAACTCTCACTTTTGTTTGTTCTGAAATTAATTTAGCTTTTGTGCCTGTTGATACTTGGTAGGTAGATTCTGGTGCTACTACTCACATAAGTATGACTATATAGGGTTGCCTACGTAGCCAACCGCCAAGTGATGTTGAGAGATATATCTCTGTGGGCGATGGCAAGAAGATTGTAGTTCAAGCTATAGGGAATTTTAGATTATTGTTAAAGACTAGTGTTTATTTGGATTTGACTGAG